GGAGTACCAAAGAAGTACGTTAACCTTGTAAAGGCTCTCTACTCGAACACAACTGGTAGAGTGAGAGCTTATGGCGAACTGTCATCAGAATTGATTACATCAAGTGGTGTTCGTCAGGGCTGTCCACTCTCCCCATTCTTGTTCAACTTTGTGGTCGACGTACTTTTAGAGATAACACTCTCCTCATCTAACTTTCCAGGGGTTGAACTTCTACCGGGAGGTTCACTTGTTGACTTAGAATATGCTGATGACATAGTTTTATTTGGTGAAGACGCTGACAAAATGCAGAGTCTTCTGACCACTCTAAGCAACAATGCAAGCATGTTCGGGATGCGATTCTCTCCCTCGAAATGCAAAATGTTGCTTCAGGATTGGGTTACATCGACACCCGAACTAGTGATAGGGAGTGAAGTAGTTGAGTGTGTCGATCGCTTCACTTATCTTGGAAGTCTCATCAGCCCTTGTGGTCTGGTGTGTGACGAAATCTCAGCACGGATACAGAAGGCTCGACTAGCTTTTGCCAACTTGCGTCATTTATGGCGTAGGCGAGATATCCGTCTGTCAACCAAAGGACGGGTTTACTGCGCAGCAGTACGTCCCGTCCTACTTTATGGCAGTGAAACATGGCCGGTAAGAGTAGAGGATATTCGTAGGTTACTAGTATTCGATCATAGGTGTCTTCGAAACATTGCTCGTATATCATGGGACCATCGAGTAAGTAATGCACTTGTTAGGAAACGGGTACTAGGTAAGGATGGAAAATCAATTGATGAAGTGGTGAAACTTCATCAGTTGAGATGGCTGGGACACGTGTTACGTATGCCCAACGACCGACTGCCTAGACGTGCGATGTTCAGTGGTATAGGAGTAGGTTGGAAGAAAGCTAGGGGCGGCCAGACCAAAACATGGCACAAGTCCATGAAGTCACTGACAAGTGGTCTGAGTCATGTTGATAGGTGTAGACTACCTGGTTGGGGACCGCGAGATGATAGCGACCGATGGTTAGAGACCCTGAATGACATGGCTCAAAATCGTTTGCAATGGCGCAGGTGCATCCACTCTTTGTGTTCTCCCAAATTTTGATCTCCTGATTCCGCCTTATCTCTTTTTTTTCTCTCTTCCCAAGTTTATTTCACTGTATTATACTCTTTAAGTAACATCTCCAAACACTAATCTTTCCGACTACTGCTTATACTCTTATTACCTCTACGACTACGGGATTTGAATCGACCACGGTATCTCTGTGCTAATGTGGTGTGGCAACTCGAACTGATGTACGTACGTACGTACAAGTTTTTCACATTTATCTATGTTGCAGTTAGTGGAATAGTTTGAACTGTAGTTGTACTCTGTTATTCTTCTGTTTACTTACATTCGAAAGATCACACTCGTAATTTATACAATCCATCTCTGTTTTTTTCACTTGTACACTACCTGCTTCAAATTGTAGTGCTACGTTAAGCCCACATCAGTTTATTCTAGCTTCCGGACAGGTCAATCTATTCACTCTTTGACCTTGTTAGCTATCCGTTTATCAACCTTGACTGTTTTTATGTAAGCGTGTGTGCATTTCTTACCCTATTCATCACATGTGTGTAACTTATTTGTGTGACTATAAATATTGATCAACGTGTGATTAAATCGAGTTAGCTCATATACCTTCCGCTTCACTCTCTTTTCGTTTCTTCGCTCGTTTGTCTGGATCAATGATCGTATGAAATATATATATTCGGAATTCATTTTCGTATTTGACTTATTTAATTCCGTTATTCACTAACGCGGATCAAGTCGATAATTATATACGAAGATAGGCGACATATATATTTCGACAACAATAATTTCAATAACAATCCGAAATGACCTAACTGGAGTCAGATCTAGGGCCACTGAAAATCGTAATGCTTTTATTCATAGAAAGTTCGAAAACTAAATCTCGTGTTCGTTAGTATTCAATATTAGGTGGTATCTACAACTTTTAGAAGGCTGATGTTCCATTTTAGTGGTATGGCAAAACTGCGGTGCCAATTGATGGAGCTTTTTTCAGCGACTCTCTTAGAATCAAATTATTAAATTTTAGAGCATTTAAAAAATATTCGTAGGATTAATTTCAATTTGTTAAACACCTTTTATATTCTTTTTACTTATTTACAACGAATTCTAAATAGTTACAATTAGAACTTTCTCTATTAGTCGTGAGTATTGTAAGAACCTAACACAAACACTCATCAATCCGAATTGCCATAATCCATTAGCCCAATGGGATAGAATTATCAAGATCCCTATCGTAGTAGTAAAAGCAGTAGTTTCAATCTTAAAAAAGATTACCCCAGGGGGTTTTCTGAATCCTTGTTGAAAGTTTATCAGATACCAACTGTTGTGACGTGAGACCGCAGATTAGAGTGCAGCATTCTTATCGATCGATTACAGTGATACGTAAAACACGCACGAACGGCCTAGAGTCCCGATTGGCTCTGCTTCACTGTCTATCCCAGCCAGTTGAGTCCAGAACACAAATCTCAGCCTCTGAGATATGAATCATTATATTTCAGACATACTCTATTTACATACCAACCAACCAGACCACATCGTACCATAAAATAGAAAACAACACTTGTACAATATTTGACAAGTAAAATAAATATCGACCAATAGAAAATGTCCATTTAAAGTCTAAGGACACTATTAGACTTAACATGATAATTATTGGTATACTCCTCTGCATCCCTAACACCAACTAATCAGTGTTGATAAGACTCGAGGTAGATGAAGTAGTTGAAGTACTGAACTACTTCACTCACCACTACTAGTTCAAGTGTTGACGCAGATAAGTCCCAAAGCAATATTTTGCAATCATAGGGGGATAAACACTTCCCAAACATACTTGGAATGGTTATCAAGGCTGTTAGAAGACTTCATTTCGTCAACGTCTTCATCAAACAGAAGTATGTCATCTACTTACTGTAATTCAATGACCAACAAACTGAAATACTTTGGTTCAAATAAAAATAGAATCATCTTTATTATTAATGCAGAACTGTGTCTAGAAATCAGGTTGTAACGATTGTGGTGCAGTTTATATTAAAAAGTCCCTTAAAATCTAGACTTGTACCGAACAAAATTTAAACGTTATGAAAAAGATCCAATAACTCTTTAGAACCTAGAAATTTGGAATTCGATACTAGAAATATCCGAATAATTCTTCCAAAACAAAAACGGCTTGGGTTATCTGTGACGTTTTCATATTTCACTGGGAGTATCGGATGCATCCCCTTCAGTCATTTTCCCATTCATTTAGTGGGTGATCGGTGCCCTTTGCAATGCAATTTTCACTAAATGTTTCATTTCAGATATCTAAAACTGTCTACCATGAACATGTCTATGGTATACAGCTCAGTATACCGAATGGAAAAGTGTTGTAACGTATGGTGTCCCTAAGTTGATAGTGATGCTCAATCTTCCTACACAGTCCAGCCTTACACTGGAGTGAAAAAGGCTCAGAGTGAGAATGAAAATTTATTGAGTAATCCGAATCAACACTTACTAATTCATATATACACACCTTTCCGTTAGGAAATTAAGCCATTGATGTTGTGCTTTACCCCTTGGAAATGAAAGCTATTTCTTGACCAATCATGTTCACTTTTCATTTGGCTAATTTCTGATTGGCCCCAATGCATCAAGAAATTAAATGTAGAGCAGCCTCTTGAAATGATATCTCCAATGTAAATTGCATTATAATACCCATTATTTACCCACTAAATGGATGTCAGAATAATCGAAATCTCTGGATATGAAACACTTATTAAAGGAGAAGAACGTGGCGGATAACCTCGGTCCAAAATAATGTATAACCTTCTGAAAATAACAATTTGAGTAATTCAGCCACATTGTAAATCCTATATTTATTCACACATAACTAAGTACTCATGAACATACCTGATATTTTTGACCTGAATGACATTAAACTAGCTTTCTTGAACATTTTTTATCTGCACTACATGGAATATATTGTATATTCACCAATGACTGGCTTCAAGAGGTATTTCCCGGAGTTCTAATGAGAAGCATCCACCAGTGGGATTCAACCGAGTCTGTTGTGACATAGTAACTCACTGAAGACAATGGTGGATGTGTCGCTCAATTTGGTGGATTAATTGAATTTAGACAATAACACCGTTGGATATCGGCAAGCTCAGTGGTCTAGAGGTTAAGCGTTCGCACACGACACCGATAGGTCCTGGGTTGGAATCTCGCGAGGCGGTATCGTGGATGCGCACTACTGAGGAGTTCCACAACAGGACGAAACGACCGTCCAGTGATTTCAGGTTTTCCATGTTGGTCTAGCTTCAATCGACTCATGAATTCAACTATTGAAAAAATTTAAAAGTTAACACAATGTTTAAACATAAAAAGTATTTAGGCGAACAATAGTTTTTGATAACTTCTTTATCAGGTTCTTCTTTTACATACTATTTTATCCTGTTAAAGCTGATCATTTTAATTAAGACTTAATTTCTTTTCTCAACATTACCAATCACGTTATTTTGTTTTGTTAGTAATTTGTACTATTTAAACGGTAATCAGCATGAAATCTTCCATCTCCAATTAATATCATAAATCAATTCAACTTGAATATTTTGTCTCTTGTAAAACAAAAATGATAATTTCGAATTTATTACAACACAGAGCCTGATGAGAAAGTTATCAAAAACGTTCGTTGGCGTTATTACATTTTGTTACAAAATTACGACATATTGAAAGTTGGATTATCACAAATAGGTCATTTTTCTTACAAACATAGCCAACCTAGTGTTCAATGTATTTCAAGTTATCAACTTGAGTTTTGGCTATGATATTTATGAAATAAAAGAATTCACGTTAACAATATGTAAAAGTCAAGTGTGGTAAAGTTGACAAGGGACTTCATAAATATCTTTCTACTCATAACTTCACTTTAAACATTAAATCTGTAGTTTGATTTGTTTGTTTCTCTTTATTAGCTCGAGAAATAATGAGAGAAAATCGCCCACGAACAAGTACCACAGTATCACCGATAAATCTTCGTCCTAGTCCGGTAGTAATTCCATCTCTTTCAAGGCGTTTAACTGAAAGCTTATTGACTCCAACACGTTGGGCTTCAGCAATTATCTATCCGCATAAAGATAATTTTACAGAAGATATTTTTCGTAATAAAACAACTGAATATATAGAGTATAGGTAAGTTGTCATTATTGATCTTGACTGTGTGCATATTTTGTTGTTCGTAAGAGTATGGTTTCTGTCATTATTGATTGAATAATCTAGGTCAGTTTATTTTCCTTGAAATCTCAGATTTTATTCTCACTAAATATGAATTGTTAAGATCCCTGAATTTTAGGCTGAACTGAATTATTAATTAGTATAATGGTATATTCAACAGTGAATGATGAATCAGGCTCCACTTCGAAATAACCTCATCTGATTTCATTGTGTACGAGAAGGATCTCTTTATTAGTACGTTCTACAAATTTTGCTGAGATTGACATTTTACCACTATTCTAGAATAAGTAACTTGAGAAAACTATATGGTTCCCAGAATTTGAAGATAATACATTGATGGGGTCCATATCAATTATCAAGTTAAAAAGGGATAGTTATTAATCCTCCAGTGCTTCCAGGCTTTCCATGGTGGTCTAGCTTCAATTGACTCATGATCTCAACTATTGAAATTACTACAATATATATATATATATATTGATGATACAGAACACAATTCAATAACTTAAATCTTGGTGAGTTTATAGCTATCATTACCAAGGTTTGACTTAATGATCCCAAGTATACTGAACATTGAATAGATTATCAGTAGTAAGATAATGATATAATTATAGTATCACATCTGACGTTTCGTAATTCATTGTAAGACACTTCTTCAGAGAGTACCTAACTTTTACTTCTACTACTCTATTACCAGTCTTTCTCAATTTTTCTCGTAAAAATAATCTTAATTAGGTTGGTTTTTTTAGTTTTTGATCTTCACCTATGTGTTCACTATTCTATGAATAATTTTGTTTTATTTATTTAATTCGAAAACAAACAATATTCAAATGTAGACCATATTTTACATATTGGATATCATTTATTCATATATTGATTTTTATTGCTGGTTCAATCGGTTATGGATTTGCACCAATTGGTTTGGGGATAACTACACGTATTGTTGGCAAAGTGTTACTGCCCACATTGACTATTGATCAAGTTTGTTGGATAGAATATGAAAATTTATGGATAGGTCCAAGGCAAACAGATTTAGTCCGATTAGGTGCACGTTTTCCGCCATGTATGCGATTCGATCCAGTACTACATGATTCAGTGATTAAACGTCAAAAGAAATTTGATCGTGCGTAAGTTTCTTCATTTAATAATTGAACAATTTGTAAGTATTTCTATAAATTCCAAACTGTATAAGCGTTACAACTGCATCTAGTTAAGCAGCAAGGTTGATAAAAATAATTTTACTTGGTTTATTAAACTTTAACCCACAATTGTTATTGATAGACCATAAATACGGAATCATTATGTATAAGGTGGTTGATTAGAACTTGTCAATCAACCACCCAGCATTATAAAGCGTGATGTCAAGTCAATTCGGTTAGCAGTTGTGTCTAAAGTTGTTCATTCGAATTATAATAGCACCAAGGACTACAGGAACGTATTGTTGGTTACCATTCAATATTCAATCAATGTATACATCTCTGAAACTGGATGAATCTCATGGAAGTCATCAGTTCCCTTAAAATTGAGATCTGAACAAAATCATAACTGCATTAATTGAATCTCAAAGTCATGTGACCTGTGTTGGTACTAATATCTCAAGCAAATCAAACAAAATTTCTGAAGTTACACCGTTACACCAAGTGACTAATTTTTGAATTTTAAAAATTGATTCGTGAATTCAACTATTAAATTACTACCGTCTCCACCCCCCTCATTCCGATAATAATCATGTTATCTTTAGTGTCTGGCTCCAAGAAGTATTTCTTGGAGTTCTATTGAGAAGCCGTGATCAGTTGAGTTCAATCGTGTCTGTTGTAAGAGAGTTACTCACTGAAGACAATGCTGGATGGTGGCGCGATACCGTGGATTGGTTGAAGTTAGACATTAACACCGTTGGATGCAGGCTCAGTGGTTCAGAGGTTGAGCGTTCGCAAAAGAGACCGAAGGTTTTGTGTTCGAGTTCCGAGTGCGGGATCGTGGGTGTGCACTGTCGAGCAGTCCCATACTAGGACGAAACGGCCGTCCAGTGCTTCCAGGCTTTCTATGGTGGTCTAGCTTAGATCAAGTCATGAATTCAACTATTAGATTTTAAAAATGTCTACCCATGCAATGTAATTTAAAAAACCATTTTAGCGAAATCTTAAATGTTGTATATTAACTGATCTCTGACTGTACGAAACGTAATAGAATGGTCATATTCCCCTATTAATCGCCTTGTTATGATGCTAAAGGAAGTTGTAGGCGAATGCAGTAGTAAAACTATTTTAGGTTAAAAATTCCTATAGAATATTCAAAGATGAAGAATATTTGAGCGAACAATTGTTTTCAATAACTTCATCAGGTTCTACAAAGGCTTACAAAAGCCAAAATACACCGTGCATTAACGGATTTAATAATGTTATATGTTGAAAATGGTGAACTTTTGCATCTATTGCGACATATACACTTCAAAATTGTGTTATTTGTAAATTAGAAAGGTCATTTAATAAAGGTCAGAATGATTTGAAGTAGTGCCTATTATACTGATTGTGATTTGACACGTTATAATTCGTTACTAACTTATTAAGTATATTGTTATTATTCGTACTACGCAATCTAGTATTGTAATCTTTCTATTACATTATCTTGGTTATCCCTTTTTCACATTTCCTCATGGAATTTATACGATTGTACAGCTTGATAATAAATTCGTTGAAAAGAGATCCCTTCACTGAACTTATATATAGGTTCGGTAAGCTATAGTAAGCATGTATACTATCCACTTAACTAAAGTTATCTCCCGTATATTAATTTCTCGATCATTGTTTACTCATTTGGCAATGCACCTTAGTATCCAGTCTTATCGTGTTCCTCAGTCCAATTCGATTAATTCGAATGTTAGAAATAAAAATAACAGTTAAGTAGTAGATTATATAATATAAATACCATAATTTTCATGTGTTTTTGCTTAGGCGTTTATGTATGAGTTGATTTTTTTCTTCACTTTCCTTCTATAGTTCGGGATGTTGTATTCGTAATGATGGTGGTGGTTGTTATCAGACGCATAGAGAAGTATGCTCTCGTACACTAGCTACATGGCTTCATTATGAAACAGTTAGTTTCAGTAAGCCACAAACTAAAGAACTACTTTCGACTAATATTGCAGATCGTGAAATTGACGTACATATATTGAAGGCTTCCCATCCTGAAAATAATTCTCACAGTCATAATAATAATATATCAAGTATTATACATTCTCTACGTTCAACACGACTTGTTGGTCAAGCTGGACCTGTATGTGGATTAGATCCAGATTTTTGTGCTCGACCACGTTCTATTGGAGCATTTGCTTGGTCCGAGACAGATGTTACTAAATGGCCTGTAAATGTAAACATATTTTGTCAATTTCTGTTTTTGTTACTCCTTATACCCCGTTAATCCCTTTTAAATATAGGTTCTGTACGACACCCAATATTCACAAGACAATAACAAACTGACTAATCCTCTACCTATCAACTAATGAATACGATACAACCATTCGTGGAAAAGCATTATACTGCAGTTCGTTGTATTCTGTTTCACATGTTTGGAAGCAATAAGTGGTATTGTAGTGAACAAGAACATGGGTGGGGACAAATAGATGTATTTAGCACAACAATTACAGATTATCTCAACAAAATCCGAATACCATATAGTAAACCGTCAATTTGCAAAATATTCATACATCAAATCAAACTGGACTGTTTCTGTTGCAAACACCAATCCATTGTCTCCCATTCCATTGTTCATGCATTTTTTTACTAATTCCATTGTGTTCTCGCTTTACCTTTTGTGATCTTCGCCATCTTCTGCTGTCAGACATTACGTTCTTTTAACGCACGTTATATACTACTTATATCAATATAAGTAGCTCACACCACAGTACCAAATAGTTTAAATTCGAACGACTGAAGAAAATATGTCAGTTTGCTTAAAGTCCTCAGTAAATACCACTTTTTATTAATACTATCCATCTACTGGAATCAAAGTAAGCGGGGGAATAGTTCATTTAAACCCAGGGACAAAATAATCGAAAGTCAAATGTCCATATCCATTATGTCAGCTAAATTTAAAAATGTAGTTATGTATATTTTGTCTGGAGTTCAAACTCAGTGGTTCGAAACATTGATATTCAATCATTGCTTAACACTTCCGAACCCTCTCCAAGCAGTAGCATTTGAGCTACTCAGTCTACTACAGAAAATGTATACGAGGACTTGAATTTATATTCTTGTCATTATTTGATGATCATGCTAACTTGAAAGTAATTTTATTCACATCCAGACTTGTCTTGTATTTTAATGCATTGGAAATTAACAGATGAGCTGAAAAAGATAGTTTTTTCCATTTGATAGGGGTCATCAAATATTGAATTAACTAGTTATTGAAGCTTTTGGTGGCAATGATAAACTTGAAAATATCGATATGGTGTCATTAACTGTGAAAATATTTTCTGTTAAGTTTATAAAAGTATTTTGCTTTCCAATCATTCGAGTAGATGAATGTGTTCTTCTGAGGTCAGTTTTGTATCTTATCATCTAAATTCAAATAGTCAGTTCCACTGTCCCTATGATCTTACCTAACACATTTGTAACTTTGCTGTAAAGACTATGGCTCATGAATTGGATCATCAGTTTGAACTGTGATCCACATTTGGCTATCTATTTCTCATTAGTTATTACTAACCACTTTACGAACAAATATCTGTATATATATTACACAATTTTATTTACAGAACTACAGACAACAGTTATTAGTCGTTTACTGTCAATTCATATCTCTGTATTAAACAGTTTTGAATATTATGAATTGAGTAAATATTACTGTTTTCATGAATATACTATGAATGTTTTGTTCATTTTAGATTTGTGAATTACCTGATACTGTACCAAATATGGGTGGTTATGCACCACATATGGAATGTCAAGTAACTGGTCATCCATGTTGTTTAGGCATAAAAGGTGAATGCATTATGACTACACAAGAACATTGTGATTTTGTTCGAGGCTTTTATTATCCAAATGCTGCATTATGTTCACAAGTAAATGAATTCAACTTGATAATAATGACAATTTATTTTTGAGAAGTAAAATTGTCCCGTTTTGTCCCCTCATCCATACATTGCAACAGGATAACGTATTTTCGTAATTTTTCTAGAAATTCAAATGATAACTTGAACGTCCATTAAGACCTAGTACATTCTCTCATGTTTTCAACATAAACACAAGTTAAAAAAATGAACAAAATGAAGTTTTCCGGACGCTTTGTGTAGCAATGTAAGAATATTTGAGATTTGTTTCTTCACTGAGCACAAAACATTACTTCAGGACTGATCTATGTCAACGCATATTTTGACCGTTGGGAATAGGTTAGCCCAGCATTTTATTTTTTGATGTGATGTATTAGTTATTGCCGAAATCCCGACAGAGATTTAAGAAGCTCGCTTTTTATTTACGAATATAGCATCATCTTTGAGACAGGCGAGATAATCGGCTGTTTGTCGTAAAGAAGAAGCTGTTCCACTCGTATTGCTTTAAGGCTGTGAGATATGGTTGATGAAAGCAAAAACTCGCGTAGGTTGTAATGATTTGATTAAAAGTGTCTACATCTAGTGACATTATTAAATGCGTAATGCTGAGTTTTGCGTACTGTTTCATTTAAAAATTAAAAACTGATCAATGAGGCTGTAATTCATTATTCATTGAGTGTCTGCTATGTCTCCCTAACTTTTTTAGTCTGACTTTTCTTCACTTCTTTCATGGTAGCTGGGTTTATTTGCTCTTTTGTTCATACAAGAATTATCTACACCCATGTTCTCATAAGTTGAATTTCCTTACTGATCTGTTTAGTGATTGCTAATATTAATTACGATTGTTTCTCTGGTTTCAGGTGAATTGCTTAAATCAAATTTGTGGTATGTCACCTTTCATAAATAATGAATACCCAAATCAAATGTATCGAATATTCACTTCATTATTTCTCCATGCTGGGTAAGGTTTTATCGTCATTATTTGCTTTCAAATTACAGAATTGTATTTAAACTGTATACCTACATATGTATGATATGAAAATACTTTCTATCAAGAACTGACATCCAGCTGAGGAATCATTGAAAATCCGAATGTTCCAGACGACTATTTTGTCTTACATTCTCGGTTATCTTTATGTTCCAGCAAGAAATCGTGATCATTGGGGCTCATTCGACTTAGGTAAGAGACATATATCGCAAATGGTGTAGTGAACGTAAACACGAGTGAGGACAACCAAATGTATTTGAACACAAAATTACAGAATCTCTTGGCAAAATCTGAGAACCATGCAATAGATTCTTCATTTGCAAAATGTCAGTCAATCGTCTCAGACTTCACTGTTCCTTCCTTTCCACACCAATCAATCTCTGTTCTCATTCTCTTTTATTTGATCTCCTCAACCTTCTGCCGCCAGACATTTCACTTTCGATCGATCAACATACTACTTATATCTGTCGACATCAGTAGCACACACCACGATGGTACTGGATGGCGTTCGCTCTGTATCGTAAACTAATTAAAGTTATAGATATGAACAATGGAATAATAACTTGGGTTCTTAAAGACATCTTGGTCCCTTGAATGTATAAAAGTTTTGGGTTCGATTTTCTAGTTATAATAATAATTTATATTCTGAAAAATAATAATTATAGAATTCAAGCCAGTTTACAGGCATGATCAATTTGATATAAGTAAAAACGTTAGACATGCAGAACAAACATGTGATAAAAGAAAGTTTTAAGTATACTAGTTCAGTAGTTGTTTAAGCAGTACATATATTACAGCGATCCAAAGCATCAGCCGGGAATTTTTAATATTTCTTAAATGGACAGCCTGGTGATTTATGAACGGTGTAATTAAAATCAGTTCGTGTGCCAGATCGAAATAATGATAATTATCTACAACTAGAGAAATTAAAACGAAAACAGAGAGCACGGAACAACAAAAAAGTAATTACCAAAATATATCAATCAGGTCTACCTAAATGCGTGTGTCATGTGACACAGTGATATACTGTTTGTGTTATTCAAATTAGTTAAAGTTGCTATGGGCAGTGTTGACATATTGACAGCAAGTGGGTGGTTTTACTAAGGGGTTCACTAATAAAGATGGCTAAACGTTTAAGGTTCCTAAAATATCACTTGTGGAATGGGATACACTTAAAGGCGCTAGACCATTCAATGCATTTTCAGAGGAGCAGTATGCATTGATGCAGCGAACAAATAATGAGAGTGATTTTATCGTGCGGATAGATTGTGATAGGTTATTCCAGAGTCTAGAAAATTTACAGTTGAAGTAATTCATATAAAGAGATGATTTAGAATGAGTTTGTTTCACTAGTGCCAAGAAATTACGGATGTCATAATGAGAGGTTTCTGCATATTGAATCGCGTGATCGGATGTAAACGATAGTTTATGAAGTACTTTGAAGAAAAAGATAAGATTTAGTTTGAGTCTCCTCCTCCATAAAGGGTCTAGCCCAAGTTTATTACATCTGGAATTATAAGTTAAGGTACAATCAGTTCCAAGAATACGAAGTGTAAATCGTCTGTGTACTGATTCCAGCCTTAATTTATCCTTTATGAGCGCACTGCTAAGAATAAACGTGCAATATTCTAGAAGAGGTCGAGCACAAACCTTGTACATTAGAATACGTGACTCAGTGTTGTAAAGATTTCGAGTTATGTAACCTATTAGACGTTGAGACTTAGAGGTCTGTTTTAATATATGTTCTGTAAACGACAAGTCTTGGAAATATCTAAGTCCTAAGTCTACTACTGTATGTAACCTAGATAACACTTCACCATTTATGGTAATGTCTAGGTTGAGTGATGTATCGCCGAAGCATATCCATCCACATTTAGCCGTATTAAGCTCCAGTTGCCATTTTAAGCACCACTGTGCTACCTTGTTAAGCTCCATGCTGATGCAATTTTGCATATTTTTCAGGTCATGTGGAGTTTGTCTTTGAGAAAAAAAGCATCTGCATACTTTATTATAAATGCTGTTTATATCAAATCAGCTGAAGAACAACATCCAAATTGATGAGATGTCATGCATAAAAGCTTATGATTGCCAGCTAACACGAGATCCTTTTCTAGGATTTTCTGTTGATTGCCTCTTATCACTTAACAATTATTATTTCCAAAGAACTCGTGACTAAATAAAAAAATGTAAATCAGTCAACAGTTTTATTCACTAGACAAAATAGACAGATTGACGTTACATTTGACTGCTTTAACTTGCTTTATTCATAATAGTGTGCAAATATGTAGTCGGATTGATAAGAATCAATTGCGTAGACATGCAAACTGAAAACGTAATAAAAAAAGCGAGCCAACCGTCTTATCTTAATGTAACATTATGATCCAAATCCTCTGAGCAAGAATTGTGGACCGTAGTTTTACTCTTGGTAAGCTTTAATAGCATCAAGATCTACCTTTCAATGGTAAGCGAAATCATGATTCTTTCAAACTGAAAACATTGGTCATTCACCGTCCAAACTGTGAAATTTAATGATTGTGTGGGACTGTGTTCGATACAATTATATCACGTAATGACTCAGCGAAGTAAAAAATGTCAGTTTCTTCCTGAATACTTTTTCCATCCATGTGCTATCGATTTTTTTCTCTAGTGTATTACATTTAATCTTGTCGCTTGGTGTTCAAATGATTTTTATGCGAGACTTGGAAAAAATGATTGGTTGGCATCGTATCACTTTAGTGTATATTTTATCCGGTTGTATTGGAAGTCTAACATCTGGAATATTCTTACCATATCAAGTAAGCCATTTGATTTGATTAATAAATGGATGTAAACCTAGAGTTGTTTAAAATAATTAAATCTAAATAAACACTGAAGAGGACTTGTTGTTCTAGTAAATGCTTTTGGTAGTGTTATGTTCTCTTAACTGGATGGTTTAATTCCGAAGCTTCTGTTATCCCTATTGACCATATCACCAGTCCCTCCTTCACTTAGAAGTTAGCTTTCGGCTTATTTAATGAACATTAAATCATTCTATCATGATGGCTATCTACCAACCAGACAAGAACAAACGGAAGAATAAAGTTTCTAAGGATGTGAAATCTGGTCAGTTTAACTGTCTATCCGTTCGCTTTTATGATCAAACAAAAATGTGGTTTTAAACGTTAAATTAAAAGCTTATTCCCAATAAATAAGGTGAATTTTTTTCAAATTCGGTAACAATTTGTTGTACCTTTTACCCTATTTATTTGGTCTTATCTGTTTCGAATATCAAGGGATGGATTTTCTTGAGAAATACATCTGTGTTGGAGTTTCAAAAGAAGAGTTTCTTCAATAATTTTAGGTGACCAAAACTATAAACATTATTGAATAGAATTATGACTTATTAATTGTATTAAGACTGTAATCGTATGTAAAATAAAGTTCTTTCTATTTTAATGCTCTAGCTTCAGTTGACACATGATCTCAACTATTAAAATTACTATAACTTCCACAAAATCTCCTTCCAATTCTGTCTATTAGTTTTTAAAAAAATCAATTATTTGATGAGTTCAAAATGAGGCAACGAATTGACACCTTAGATTAAATTTAATTTACCTCATCAGAATGTAGTTAGAATATGTAAACATTGCCGAGGTAATTGATTTATTGATATTACGTTGTTCTATTCCTTTAGAAAATGAAAGTAGTTAATGACAATATGACTTGGAGATGTACAGAATATCGTATAATGAGGTGTAGGTTGTGTTATCATATGAACTATGGATCGTACTTCTAAGCTTATGATTGATTGACGGAAAGATGTGCGGTTCGAGTTTTAAACGTTAACTGCTCTAACCTAAAATATCACAACAGTTACTCAAGTAATGATTTTAAAATTTAGTTGTTCACTAAACCTATCGACTTCATACTTACAATTTTAATGAGAATTCGATTAGCTAACTTAAAATTAACCCGGCTACGCAAATGTGACACTATGCTTCCTATGGACGAATGACATATATGAATGTCGCCTACCTAAAATGACTAATATTACGCATATTAAACATATTCATAAAACGTATTGTGTTATAACAATTAGCAAGGTTATGAAAATATATGACAAGACACAAAAGTTCCATCGTGCGCAACCATGACCCAGATAAATAAATCATTTTATTTATTACATAACTACTAGTACACAGTTGGATGCTTTTCTCAATGTGTGTCCTATCCACTTTCAGCACTTCTTCCTCATTCCTTCCTCCACTGGTATCTGGTTTGTTCTCTCCAACAGTAGGTTGTTGCTAATAGTGTCCGGCCAACGGATCCGAAGTATTTTGATTAGACAACTGTTAATAAACACCTATATTTTCTGGATGATGGCTTTCATAGTTCTTCAAGTTTCCGCCACAAACAGTAGGACTGTCCTGACATTTGTATTGAAAATTCTGACATTGGTGTTGGCTGACAGACAGTTGTTTTGAGTTGCAGATGTTCTCCAATTGTAGATATGCTGCTCTTGCTTTGCCGATCCGCGTCTTCACATCTGCATCAGATCCACCGTGTTGATCAATGTTGCTGTCCAGATATGTAAAGGTTTTTACATCATTCAAAGTTTCTCCGTCAAGTGTGATTCGATTGGCGCATGTTGTGTTGTATCGGATAATCTTGCTTTTCCCTTTGTGTATGTTGAGACTTGCTGCTGCTAAGGCTGTTCTACACTGGTCGTCTTCTGCATTTGGTGTTACGTGTGCGAGAGAAGAGTACCATTCGTTCTTAGAATCATTTGATGTGTTGTATTGATAGAAATATATTTTTATTTCCTAATCAACCGTTGCGAAATTGAGCGAACTAAACTACATCATTTTATTTATTCAGATTGTTTCGATCCAGTTTCCTCTGAAGTATTTTGCTTCTATCAATGTCATTCATGCACTCAATTTGTTTTCAATGTGGAGATGTATTTCGCTTTAAAAAGTCATTATTATTAACACTATTATCAATAAATCAGTCAGTTTAGTTAATTTTGATTGTTTGTTTTTTTGTACCACGAGGTTTTTTCTTTTCTTTAGGTAGAAACTGGACCTACAGGTGCACAGTTCGCTTTACTTGGTATCACTTTAGTTGATTTTATACATTGTTGGAATTTTTTAGCACATCCATGGTATGCATTACTAAGAAATATTTTACTGGTATTTATATTATTCACATTTGGTTTATTACCATGGATTGATAATTATGCAAATGCTGGTAGTTTTCTATCTGGTATTTTATTATCATTTATTTTATTACCATTTCGTGGTTTTATTTATCCACCTGTATCTCTTACTGCATCCATAGCTACATCAGTTAATCAAAATATATTTGATAATAATTATTATAATACACCTATCACATCACCAAGAACACCATCTATTCTATTTAATTTCAATTTACCTGATATAAATCGTAAAAGTTGTACATCATTACAACATCAATCCTCTATGCATCCACAATATCTTCAACAACTACAATTACAACAACAAAATTCTAAATGTCATCATCGTTGTTTTATTATTATATTATGTTCTATTCTATGGTTAATATTATGTATTGGCTTAATTCTTATGTTTATATGGGGTCCAATTATTAATTGTCGATTTTGTAATTATTTTACATGTTTGCCATTAACATCAAATTTTTGTGATAATTTACAAGTTAATGTAAAACAACGATCTGATTGTATTTTACCAAATTGGATTTAACACAATTCTTTTTGTGTCAGAATTATAGTAATTTCAATAATTATTATCATAAGTCAATTGAAGCTAGATTATCATAGAAAACGTGAAAATGACCGTCCAATGCTTCTAGATTTTCCATAGTGATCTAACTTCAATTGACTCATGATTGGAATTAATTTTCTTAATGTACATCTCCATTATGCAATATTGATCAAATACCATGACGTTTTAACAGATACATTAAAGTAATTCGTTTTCTTTATAAATTTTATTAAAATAAACTTTTTGAAAACTCATTTTTTAGGTATCTCTCCTTCTTTTGTGTGTGTGTGTGTGAAAAGACATCACTTTTGTTTGTATTATTGAATATTCAGTTTATAAATATAAATTTCGCATATCACATTGTGATTGTTTTATCATTATAATTTTATGATTATTAAATTTCTGTTCTTAAATTGAATTAGGATTGTTGTTATCTCATACTCTATATTTTATCACATTCAAAACTGTAAGTATATGATAGGGAAAATATTTAATACTGACAATATTTCGCAATTGAAATGACAGACTTGATCTTAATCAGAGTAATAGTTGAAATCATGAGTCAATTGGAGCTAGACCACCATGGAAAACCAAGGTAGATAGTGGCACGAATTCCTGAATTATTATTAACACAGCCAGATGCTGGTTCAGTGGTCTAGTTGTTAAGCAACCGCACGCGAGACTGATAGGTCCCGGGTCCGAATCCGGCGTGGTAGCGTCTTGGATGAACACCACTGAGGAGTCACATATTGAAGTGAAGTGGCCGTCCAGTATCTTCAGGTTTTAAACGGTGGTCTAGATTTCATTTTGTAAATCAAAATTTCTTCATGAAAAGACACTATATGTTTTTTCAAGTTGTCAAATCAATTTAGCTTAGGCGATATTTTTATGAATGTTAGTTGTTATCTAAGATACTTATGACGATCTACAGAACATAGATAAAATGTACATACTGCTGAATAAACATTGTGGTATTATCCCATGATTAGTTGATTTCAACATAATTAAAAAATAAAGGTTAACTAAGTTCATTAATGTTAAACTAATCACTATATCAGAAGGAACTTTTTGTGTGGCTATTATGGTAATTTTAATAGTTGAGATCATGAGTCGATTGAATATTGACCAGCACGAAAAACCTGGAAGCATTGGACGACCGTCCTATTGTGGGACTCCTCAGCAATGCGCATCCACGAACTCGCCTATAACAATGGTAAAGTTGTGTCTATGGGTAGTGAACTTGCTAATTCCATTCTAATCATTTGTACTTAAATTATAATCAACAACTAGATTTCCCTGTGCAACAGTTAACACGAATAAGTCATAAACGCTTTTTTATTTTTTATACGTCTAGTCACTTAATTCACTTTTCAGTTAGATCCGAATTTATTCTTTGCGCGACAATTTAAAAATTACTATACATAACTGAAAAGAAACGTAGTTCCGTGTCTACATGCTCGATAATACTTATCTACTTCTGTTACTTTTCGTAGAGGAGCATAGGCCGCCCACCAACATTCTCTATCGAACTCTGTCTATCCTTTGTAGTTGCTATTCATCCTTTTGATTTCTTCCAACTAGCGGTGTAATGTGGTCTTTGGTGTTCTTCCTTTCCGTTCCCCTTCAGGATTCCAACTAAGCGCTTGCCCCGTGTTCCAGTTTGGTGATTTCTTCAGTGTATATCCTATCCACCTCCAACGTTTTTAACTAATTTCTTCTCCAACTGGAAGCTGGTTTGTTCTCTCCCACAGTGGACTAGGTTGTTGCTGATGGTATCCGAACAATAGATGTTGAGTATCTTGCGTAGACAATTGTTTGTAAACACTAGTACTTTTTTGATGATAGTAGTATTAGTTTCAGCTCCGTACAGCAGAACTGTGTTAACGTTCGTAGTGAAGATTCTGATTGACAGTTGTTTTGAGCTCGATATGTTCTTTAACTGTAGAAATGCGGTTCTTGCTTTCCAATCCTCACCTTTATATCTGCATCAGATCCTCCTTGTTCATCGATGAATCTCCTCAGGTACGTTGAAGTCCCCACCTCCTCCAGAGTTTCTCAATCATGTGTGATTGGGTTCCTGTTCTCTCTGTTGAATTTCAAGATCTTGCTATTTCCCTTGTGTATGTTGTGGTCTACTGATGCAGAGGCTGCAGCTACACTGTCTATCTTCTTTTCATTTTTATGGGATAGAAGAACTGGGTGATCTGCGAAGTACGGATCGTATAGTTGCATGCAAAATTAACTAAAGAATATGTTTTGACAAGCACTTACTACTGACCTATTTTAAGCCTTATTCATCATTGACAATTAACATTTTCATTATTAAAGAGTTAGCCCACTAATGTTGTGTCATTTCATGGATAGATCTCCTAAAGAATTTATTTTTCCAAGTGGTTGAAGAGACAAACTTTTTATAAAACTAGTATTCCGACCATCCATTCTCTATGGGATTCAATCAATCAAATTGCAACTAAACAGGAAGGATATTAGTTGTATTGCGACTAAATTATATTGTATTATTATTAGCATTATTCAATATTATATTTTTGGTACAATATGGAATTCGCAGCGTAAGGTATTTCAACAAGTTTCCTATTCTTAATTCTTGATCGATCCTGACGAGAAATATGAAGTGATCGCCAGTTATATGTTCGGGAATCGACATCTGAATAATGTTCGTTCTTTTCAATGCATATTGCCAGCCACCATGATGTCGCTGACTGTGCCTTTTCGTAAAGTGTAGTTAATTGTCGCAAACTTTTCATAAACGCCCCTGCATAAGTTGTGTGCTCAATAGACATAATGATTGTTTAAAACAAACAAGAAAACAGGTAACTTTTTGAAATGGCAGGAACAGGTAGCCCAGATATTCAAGCAGGCCGCCGACTTTTCTAGATCTCATAATGAGAAAGTGAGATTGAACCAACCACGTGCGTACTTTTCTAAATAAATAAAAAGGGTAGCAATAGACAAATTTTTTCTTCATTACTCGGTCCCGTAGGAATCATGTCAGCACCTCAAGAGCCCTCTCTCATTTCCATCTATAAAATTTGTTCGAACTGCTTATTCTAGCCAATAATTAGTCTTTGTTTATTCTCATGGACTACAAGCTGATTTTTGTCTTATCCACCATGAACCACTACAATTGGGAGTTGTCATTCTAATATTTAAATAACCTTTCTATCGGATTAATATCGATTCATTTTGCGTTTACATTGTGACTCATCTTTACATCGTTTTATTTTTGCCTTGATATCTTCAAACATATTTCAAACAGCCTTAAAATACTACTACAAGCAGTCACATTATTTCAGGGCATTAGTTTTACCTAAAAACAAAACTTCAATATTCAATCAACCAATAACTCTTGACCGTTTTTTTCTAGATTGGTAAAATAAATTTCTGTGATTCATTTAAATTTTCAATATAGAAATAGGTTAATAAACAATCGTACTACTGAGGAGTCCCATGCTGGGACGAAACAGTCGTCCAATGCTTCCAGGTTTTCAATGATTGTCTAACATTCATTCATTCATGATATCAATTTTAAATAAATAATCATTTAGAGATAACATTTTGTTCAGTAATCATATAAAAGTGGTAATAAAAAAATAGGACAAAATAAATTTTTGTAAAGAATGAAAATGATGACAAATAAAATAGGTTAGAAAAAGAAAAACTGAACAAAATTAAGCATCATAAGTGAATTAGTTTATGCATAAAAAAATTGCACAACTCCAATCAAAGTCCATAGTCGTTTAAATAAATGGGTAGTAACAAAAGTGTAATCAGTTCTTGAGCATTCTTCTACACGTTGAACTAAATTATAAAATGATTGCCATAGTTTTTGATCTTTTATACACATTGTACCACCACCACGTTCTAATTGATGAGGCTGAAGCAAATAATCATATGATGGGAAAAAAGCAATACAATTTAGTTTCGAGATTTGTAAACTTTAGACTGATTTAGGAATATTTTAAAGGTACCAGGTAAAATACACTAATCTATGGCACAGGGACAACTAATAATTCTTAATCTCAATAATTTAGGCTAAGAATGGGTTCACTCGTCGTAAACAAAAATCAAAAAGTATCGGTGCCGAGTTATTAAAAGTGAATAAACTGCGCCTTGATGGGCAATGGAATTTGACTAATACCACAAGTTAGAACAAGAGAAAAATTATGGTTCGTGACTGGTGTTGCAAAGATTTAAGTTTACAAAAAATCAGATCGTTCATTAACTGATAAACACATTTACCCATACTGAAATTTAATAAACCCAACAGAATAGTTATTACAACGAGATGGGATGACAAACGTTATATGCGTTCAGGCAAAGGTGAACTATTCGGATTTCTCCATATGTGGCTAATAGCTAGTTAGATCGGCTATAAGGTTGAATTTCGTTATTGATACTTGATCTGTCAAGGTGTGAGTAATATATGTAGAAGTTCAAACAGCTCAATCTGAAGATTGTGCTGATAATATCTCCAAAAAAGACCATGAATTTTATGATTAAACCACTCAGCTCAGAGAACTCAAATCCTATATCCTGATAATTATCGTTTGTTCATTAGCGAATACCTTTGAGATATATCCTCAAGATTATAGTTAAAAGAGTAATTAGTTGGTTGTATGACAGTTATTTACAAAATCGGGCAGTTGTCACATTATGTGAATCTGCCGAACATAATGTCGATAATCATTTTGAAAGTTTTCGTACCCGTGTCTAACACCAGTTTAAATTTATATACAACACTTAATCAACAGCATATCACGGATACAAATTTGAATTAATAAATCCTAAGTACAAAATGTAATGAGAATATGTTTATTTGATCCAGACGATTAAGTGAGTGGAGAATAAGCAGAGGAAACACGAAGTTGGAGCACAAGTCAAAACACATCATAATTGAGGAGATTCTTTGTCTAAATAAAAATAGACAGCGTATAAAATATGAGTCGACAGAAAACTAACTACATCATACATAAAGACAAACAAGCATAAACACACCAAATTATAGTAAAAGTATTCAAGGTTAGCATATACATATTTGACAAAGACAATTATGAAAGCACGAAGTAACTGGGAAGCTAAAATTAATTTTTGTCCCAGAAAAACTCACGTGGGTGTTACGATGAAGGAAAGTACTGGTCATTACCCATAAACCAACCACACTTGGTGGGGCATAGGTCGCTGAACAAGTATCATCGACTATCCTAAACTCTCGTTTCCACTTGTTGCCAAGTGCTATTCATCGCCTTGATTTCTGCGTCCAGATCCCAACGTCATGTATAAACTGGCCCGCCCTTTTTCCTTTCACCTTGAGGATTTCAAGTAAGGACTTGTCTTATGGTGCAATTTGATTATTTTAGCGACATGTGTCCATCCTTTTCTGATTTCCTCCCCAGCTGAAAGCTGGTTTGTTCAGTGTCAGAGTAGATTATTGCTGAGTGTCTAGCCAATAGATTTGAAATATCTTTAATAGCTATTTATAAACAACTGTACGTTTATGATGATGATTGTGATAGTTCTCGAAGTTTTAGCTCCGTACAGTAGAACTGGTTTTGAAACATAATAAGTTTGGTGTTGTATGACAGTTGTTTTGAGTTACAGATGTTCTCCAATTGTAGAAATCCTACCCTCACCACTTCCTCTTTTCTTATAAGTGGTACTGTCCAGATATATAGAAGCTTCCACCTCCTTCAGAGCTTCGCTATAAAATGTGGTTCAGTTGGCACTCACTGTATAGTATTTCAAGACCTTTCTCTCTTCCTTGTGAATGTTGAGACTGACTGCTGTAGAACCTGCTATTACACCGATAGTATTTGTTTTTATTTGCTGCTGTGTATAGAATAGAAGGACTAAGTAATCTGCGAAGTTCAATTAGTCAACTTGCGTTCAAAATGTCCATTGTATTGTGTACATCTCCTGAAATCTGAAAATATTCATAATTCAGTCAATAATAAGAAGAGGAAAGGCGAGAGTAAGCAGCCTTGTCCAAGACCAGACTTCAATTGAGACGGATCTGTGAACTGTTCTCTATGTATGACTTTAAAGTTCAATCAAACGTATGAGTTCCGTATGGTGATGACGATCTTTTCAAGCACTCCATAGTGCCGGAGATCTCAAAAGGCCCTCTTATCCACATTTTCGAGTGGTTTCCCGTAGTCAAGGAAGTTTATGCACAGCAGTGAGTTCCATCTAATCGATTGTTCAACAATGATTCAGTGTTCCGATTTATTTATTTATTTGAACACATAAATATTGGTACAAGAGGGCAACAAATATATATGAGCCAAACAAAACAATGAGAATGGGGAGGAAAAACGGAAGGTAGGGAGCGTAAAACCAAAAAAAGAAGAGAAACAATAACGAATAGTGTAAGGAAGTGTAATAATAATAATCATAATCATTAGTAGTAGTAGTGTTAGTAGTAGTAATAATAATAATAATAGTAATAGCGATAGTAATAGCAATAGCAATAGTAATAGTACCCTTTTTAAAGATAGGGACAACTATCGATTCATTTCAGGACGTTGGTACACTCTCTAGTTCCCAGACTTTTGTAAACAACACAGTCAGTTCCTTAGCCAGAAAGTCATCACCATCTTTAAAAAGAACCGGAGGTAAGTCATCTGGGCTCGGCGATTTGTAGCGCTTCAACTTCACATTATTCTACCTACCTATTTCGCTGCTCTGAAACCACACTAATCGGTCTTCCTTTTGTTCGTACCTGGTCGCTCATTTCTATGACGTTGCGCTCTAGGCTTCTTAGTTTTGTCATAACGTTTCCACATATTTCCTTCTCTTCCAGCTTTTCCTGTTGTTGTTGTTGTTGTTATTTGGTCTGTTACTATTGCTTCCGCTCATTGACTGTTGCATTTTCCTTCACTCGTTTGTCTGCTTCTGCATATTCAGCCTACTCTTTAGCCTTCTTTACTTTCGTCCGGTTGTTGTCGATTTCTGTCTTCTTGTTTATACTTTCTTGAATCTTAACAAGGCTGTATACAGAAATTCACGTATTAGTGTAATGCTTGTTGGGCCCATAACCTCGTGACATTTTGAAGTTATTGCTGCCTAAATCCCTTTCCGATTGCTCGCCAGAGTTTTCCGTTTCTCTTAATAGATGTTGTAGGGATTGGAACATGTTGCTGTGAGTTGTTTTGAACTAACCAAGTTTGTTAGCATTTCGAATGAATTTCACATCACGGTTTCGCTATCGTTATTATTCAAATGGAAATAATTTCGAAACATTTAGCTTCTAAAGGAATAAAATTTACCACTGTGATTTATATCACAATACTTTGACATTGTTGGTGAGAAAACATTTAATTGTTCGATAGAATTCGATCATCAGTCAATAAGTCAGTTATGCATCACTTAATACATGTGTATAACGGTTCAAGTCGTCATACCCCATCACTAAAAACGAGACAAATAAGACATTAACCACCACTCAATGAACAATTAATGCAAACATTACAATCTCACTTGATATTAAGTGAGGTTACAAAGTGAAATAAAACTTATTTTCTACAAGCCCATTGGGGTCATTCATTTTAATTGTAAGAACATCCTAATTTTTTTTAAAATTATATTAACCAATTAGATTCCTCTGTTTCATAAGATATTTTACCAGATTTCATTTAAATCGTATGAATATTCACTTTTATTAAGCAAACCATCTTTTTGCTTGGGAAGGCAGCATAACTACTCTTGTTCACAAATATAAGTTGTTACATAGAGCATGCTGTTAAACTGTTTAAGCATTCAAATTGTTACCGTTTTTGACCAAGAAGTAGTAAATGTATTGATCACATAATCATACAATATAACCATCAATAATCTATTTATCACCTGACGGTTAATATCACCAAGACAAATCCAATTACCAGTATCTTCAGTAGGCTTTTTTGAGGACACAGTAACAGCCCATTTTGCATGATCTTGCGCATTCCGTATTGTGGTTCCAGTAGCTCCAATGTAAATAGATTTAATATTTTTCACCTATATATAGAAAAAATAAAACAGAATAGTAAGAGGAAATATCAAACGAATATATGCACGCTGAACAAGGTATAAACTGTTGTTGGGAGACAAACTTCCATGCGATTCCTGAGGAGGAAATCAGAAAAGGATGGACACATTTCGCTAAAATAATCAAACTGTACCATAAGGCAAGTCCTTACTTGAAATCCTCAAGGTGAAAGGAAAAAGGGCGGGCCAGTTTATACATGACGTTGGGATCTGGACGCAGAAATCAAGGCGATGAATAGCACTTGGCAACAAGTGGAAACGAGAGTCTAGGACAGTTGATGATACCTGGTCAGCTGCATATGCCCCACTATGGTCTTTTTGGAGATATTATCAGCACAATCTTCAGATGGAACATTAAGAACGTCTACATATATCACTCACACTTTGACAGGTCAAGTATCAATAACTAAATTCAAACTTACAGCTGATCTAACTAGCCACATATGGAGAAATCCGAATAGTTCACTTTTATCTTCAGTTAGTGTTACCGATATCCAAGAGGATAGTGAAAGCTTCACAATTAAACTACCAAGCTTAATGAACACATGGTTCCCAAAGTCATCCCTACTGAACTATAAGACTTTTTCATCTCCTAATCATAATTTCTTTTACAAATGCATTCCTCATTGCAAACATATCTTCGTAACATGAAAATTTAAAATAATTACACATTAGTTTTTTTCAATATTAAGATAAAACTTTTTTTATTGAAAAAGTAATCAAGTCCAGTCAACCAATAATGATCTGAACATCAATGAAGTCAACCTAACACACATGTATACGTCAAATAAACATCATACAAAATAAATAAAAACTGAATAGATTGGATACAACGACGAAATAACTAGTCAATAATTCAAATGAATTAAGTCTCGAACTCGACTGGTATTTAAAAGGTCAAATGTTACGAATCAGGTTATTGTAAAATAAATATTATTTGACATATATAGTGAATATTCTTTACACAATGACACTGCTGTGACCTTAAGTCCGTCTACTTATCACGTGATTTATTCGCCAATCGAAATACGACTTATTCAATCATAGTATTGTGCCAAACCAATGACGTTCGACCGGTATGAGCAGCCTAGCATCCTTATCGATACTTTGTTTTCCTAGCCCTTCCAGTTGAGTCCGGAAGGCCAATTACAGCTTCCACTATGCAAATCATTTATTTCGAACCTACTTGGTATATATACCAGCCAAACAGGCCAAACAATATCATAAAATAGGAAATAACATTTAGACGAAATCAAACCAAAATGTGGTTGGGATGTGGAAGACTGTAATCAATAAACCGAAATAACTTAAGAATAGTAGTCATAATAATCTGTAGGTTAAAATGAAGCATATAATGAGGGGAATATATATATAATATTATATTATATAATTACTGAATAGTAATACCATAAGAATATACAGATATTATTCCATTAATAGATTTCAGAAGTTACTCGTAATTTAATCTTCACTAGGATATAACATGCAATATGTGCTACACAATAGTAAGAGCAGTTACAACAAACACCTACTTAAAAGCTTATCTTCAGAAAGGAAATGCAGGCAATCAATAGTTTTATTTAGATATTATTAAATTGAACCTATTTCGATATAAATGAGCTCCGTAAATAAAACTAAACATGAGGGACAACATCTGAGTGTGTAAATAACAAAAAAGAATAATCAAGTCATATGAGTATTTTATGGCTTTTGAAAGATTGAACTAAAACAAGGTCTAAATAATTCAATAGTTTCAATTTGATGGACTTTGGATACATGTATTATGAAACCAATGTAAACTTGAATGGCACTAACTTAAATGTAAAACCAAATATTATCAGTTATAAGTGGTATGATAACTGGTCTCAAGTTTATGGAAAGCCAAATATTATTTACAATATAAAAATAAAAAACATTAACAAAAATCAAATGTTCTAATGACTACAAAATGTTATTTGCTAAGTATATTTTTTCAAGTGAATTAGAATTTTGCCCATTAGAACGTCAAACTAAATGTTTTTTGTCAATCAAACAATAACTAAGTACATTATTTAGATCGCGAACCGATCATAGTTAGAAATGCATTGAAAACAAAGAAGCACTGGAAAGGTGTTTTGTTTTAGTATAAGACTCCTCAACAGTGTCCTTTAAAGGTTGAATTGGAGACCTACAGTTTTCACGGTGTGATCAACCCTTAAAACACTGAGCTGATATCCAAAGATTACGCGTTCATTGTGTGATGCGAAGCTCCGGTGTTTGACATCTGGTGGGGCTGTGGTTACTCACTGCCGAGGGGTCCTATACTAAAATTTCATGGTTTTAAATAATTATTTGACTTTGATCGGTTCGTTATCTCGACACCACTCAACAATCTACACAAACTCCCATATTGATAGCTAGGTATATGTTGAACTGGGAAAGAAAATACGACTTTCAGAAGGTAAAATGAATTCAACAAATGATTTCATACCTTGTCATTATGTGTAAACTGTTTAAATTTACAAGCACTTGCAGGACTTGGACAAAAGAGATTGAAATTACCTGTAATTTCGATAAGTGATTGCAACATTATTAAGTTTATTCTAATTGTCATTTATACATAATTACGTGTGACCTTGTCCCCCTTACAGTATATGACTAGATTTTCAACAATATAACTATGCAATGATTTCAAACTACAACGTTTGGTACCGTATTTTCTGACTTAATGATGTTTAATAAATATTTGCTGAATAACAGAAATAGTTTGAGGACTATTAGTAGAAATTAATTAAAATACTGAGCGTCAACTTCTACTTAGTTTTTGGATGGTGACATCTCAAAAATATGGATAGTTTTAAACTCAATTCCAGATTATAAACTTTGATCTAAAATCTCAAGTTACTTTCGACGTCAGATATTCGCGACTTATATCCGTGAACGGATATAGATGATGTCGCTCAAAACCAGCCGCAACTGCTTTCTTTTCGTTTTACTCATCCTACACTTTTGACTCTTGAAATTCATTTGTATCATTTTAAGTTGTTTAGGTTCCAAATGTTAAAATTACGACTGTAATTTTTAAAATTTCTTTTTACGTCCTTGAGCGTGACAACTTGGACCGATATTAATACATTTCAGATCATATCCTGCATTGTCTATGAGAGGTAATTGAGTGTAACTGGAATATCGGAGTTGCACAAATTTAACAATCGTATGATACAGTGAATAAAAAGGAACATGCAAGCAAATAATGAATTCTACTCACAGAATATTGCCGACGACATGCCGATGGTATACTTCCGTCATGTTGCCAAGTCTCAGTATCTAAAGACTTTTTTAATTTTGGCGCGACGAAATCAGCATAAAGATCTGAAATATTAGACAGAAAGCAACGGACTTAAATTTAGATGAGCTACATATTTGCATCATGAAAAAAAATCTACGGAAATGAGGTTGTCGTCTAAACAGTATTACGTCACTATAATGTTACACACAGACGTGTTGTTATCCAGGAAAAATATACAGGGGCAGTTAGCAAAAAAATAACCTTCTTGTTGGTGACATTAATTTACATATAGCGATAGTGAAATATTTTTATACTTCTTAAAATACATGACTCTTGAGAGGATATAGAACTAAACTGATGAATGCTTAAAGCCATTACTTCATTCCAAATTTCGTTTACGTACAGTGAAACTGTAAGCGAGGAATCTTATATTCGAAAGTAAGGTGTTCGATTAATAAAGTTAGCTATTCGGATAAAGTTCACATTTTTGTTAAGAACGGATGAATGATGAAATTATTGAATGAATTCAGTATGACATTCAAATGTATTCTGATAACTTTAGTCATGGAGTAATTTAGTAAGATGTTCTTTTATGTTATAGCTATTCATATTTGATGAGTGATCAATACAAGTTAAATTTGCACATATTATTAGTACCGATATACTATTTTGAAATATGATGTTTGGATGTGAAATAAATCTTCATCTCTCTCGAGTTGGTTCGTCTTCAATAAACATATTTTACCGAGCACAAGAATTGATTTGCAGCTAATTTTGGGGGTTGAACAATAGGGCCCACAGACGGTATTAAGTAACAGTAGTTTATAATCAAAAGCTCATGCAATAATATATTAATAAAAGCACTGGGGTCACAACAGTCTACATAAACGCAGTAATGTGTCGGCAATAACAGTGACAGATATTGATGGTACAGCTCACCATTGTGTTTAAACATCCTAGTTGTGCAATAAGGTCTACAACTAAGAGCATGATTTTAACCTATGCGAGTAAACGAGATTAATTGATGGAAGTGGTTTTCCCTGTTAGTTGCTGTTAACATTGATTGAATTTTATGGTTCAAAATTACACAAATAACTGGTAGCATTAATACCAGTCACCAGATGCTAGTCATTATGTCATACAGCCTAGTAGTAGTATACATTTTAAAGTATTGCCGTAAGCCAGAAACATTATAAAGAACTTGACACCTGCTGACTATCTACATATTTTATTACGATTCCAGAGTACAACTTGCTGGAACACATGTTCCTGTAGGTTCTACTATGCCAGGCAGGTCAATTGGGGAACGGTAAGACTAAAAGCAGCAACTCAAGGTCTGAGGGTGAAGTCGTACTGCTGACTGTAGAGGGGTGTGACAGCAGTAAGGTGTTTCCGTCGGACAACCAGCATGACAGCAATGCTGCCTTTTCGCATGGAAAGAAGGGGTTAGAAAAGGTTGACCCTAAAAATGTCACACCTCACCTTACCTCACGGATTTCCGTCTCCGGCGGTAAGACCCATTGACAAAAACGGAGCTAACACATTAAAAACCTCCCACAAAAAGACCGTGCGCGACCGGCCTCAAGCAGTTGTCCCTTGGGCTCTGCGGTCACGCTCTCAGGTCGTCAAGACCAACACTAATCCAATTTCCTTTTCAGGTTCCTCAAGAAATACCCTTCCACGGTGTGAGTAGCCGGGAAGTGACATCAGCCCTCATACCCGTAACAGCACACGAGACCAAGTTGGTCACATTCAAATCCTTCCTACACCTCCTAATTGCTCTCTTATCTCCCCGACTAACCCTTATCACATCCCTTTATCACCTCACACCACTAGGAAAAACGATTCGAGTACGCGGGACGCTATTCCTGGTCTCCTGAAACCACGCTCTAAATTACACGTAAGAGCTTTTAACGTCCGAACACTGTGCCAAACAGGACTTTAGAATCTCGCGCCATCGATGTGTGCTGCGTCTCAGAAATGCGCATACAGGATCCAAGTAGCGTCATTCATTTGACGTCACCATGCCAAACCAACTCGATTAACGCTTTGTGTATCTGGAAGCCCTGATTCTGCTTTCCGTGGCCTCGCCGGCGTAGGTATAGCATTGAGTCCCAGGGCAGAACTAGCTCTCTTAGAGTGGATCCCAGTAGACAGTCGTTTGTGTGCTGTCCGACTAAACGGAACAGTAAGAATCCGGAAAGATAGGGACACTCGCCGTTGCCTCTTCGTCGTTTCTGCCTATTCTCCCACTGACTGCAGCTCAGATGATGTAAAAGATGAGTTTTACAGAAAGCTTTCCGACCTCCTCCGAAAAGCTAGGCGTTCGGATGTAGTAATAGTGGCCGGTGACTTTAATGCTCAAGTAGGTAAACTAAGCGATAGGGAAAGACACCTGGGTGGATCTTATAGTGTCATGGCTCAAAGAACAGATAATGGCGACCGTCTGTTGCAGCTATGCTCAGATAACCGCCTGTTCCTTGCAAATACTAACTTTAAGCATATGGAAGAGCATCTTTTAACATGGAGACCCCCTAATTCGTCCCAACGTTGGACCCAAATAGATCACATCGCTATCAGTCACCGATGGAGGGGCGCGATAGAAGACTGTCGCTCATTCTGGAGCACATGCTTAGATTTAGATCATGCTCTAGTACGAGCGCGTATCTGTCTGCGTCTTACTGGACGTAGGAAAGACGCTGCAAGGAAACCTCTTAGGGGCCTACTTAATAATAGTCAAGCTAAGAGTATATTTCAGGAACAACTAGGAAAACAGTTAGGCAGCCATGTATGTGATGCCCACCCCGAGGCAGCATGGAATGATATCCGAAAAGCTGTGGAAACAGCAGTGATATCTGCAAGTACGGTAACCCGTAAGGTTAGGGAACGACACTGGATCTCAGCAGCATCTATCGCACTGATAGATGCTCGGAAACTCATTCCACCTGGCTCTGAACATAGTGAAGAGCGGAGTCAGCTTAAGCGCAAGCTGACAAGAAGTCTACGCAATGATCGCGAACAGTGGTGGGTAGCGAAAGAAAGAGAGATGGAGAAGGCAGCGGCAATAGGTAATAGCAGACAATTATTCAGACTCGTTAAGGAAACCAGAATTAGGAACCCGACCGTTAGCGAAACAATCTCAGAGAAAGATGAACATATTATTCATTCTCAATCCAGGAGATTGGATCGATGAGGAGAACACTTCAGGGATCAGTTCAACTGGCCTTCCGCCACACTTCGGATTCCCATGATCTCCAGTCGACCTGAATGGCAAGTTAATGTAGGTCTTCCAAATCTTGACGAAGTTGAAAAAGCCATAGGAAACCTGAAGCGAGGGAGAGCAGCAGGCCCTGACAGGTTTACTCCTGAGATTTTTAAGGATGGTGGTCTAGTATTAGCAGTGAGATTAACTGAGGTCTTCAGTAGAATTTGGGAACTGGACGTATTCCCATCTGACTGGACTCAATCACTGATTGTGCCAATCTATAAGAAAGGACAAAAGTCCTCTTGTGACAATCACAGAGGAATCAGTTTGACTAATATAGTGTCTAAAATATTAGCTTCAATAATACTCCAACGCCTAACTAAAGCTCGTAAAGAGCAGACTAGAGGAAACCAGGCTGGTTTTCGACCTGAACGTGGTTGTATAGACTAGATATTCACACTACGTCAAGTCCTAGAACATAGACGCACGTTTAGACGCCCCACAATGGTAGTATTTCTCGACATTGAGGCGGCATTCGACTCTGTTGATCGTGAGGTTCTACGGCAGTGTTTGTCACTGAAAGGAGTACCAAAGAAGTACGTTAACCTTGTAAAGGCTCTCTACTCGAACACAACTGGTAGAGTGAGAGCTTATGGCGAACTGTCATCAGAATTGATTACCTCAAGTGGTGTTCGTCAGGGCTGTTCACTCTCTCCATTCTTGTTTAACTTTGTCGTTGACGTGCTTTTAAAGATAACACTTTCCTCATCTAAATTTCCAAGGGTTGAACTTCTACCGTCAGATCCACTCTTTGTGTTCTCCCAAATTCTAATTTTCTGAATACTTCATGTCCCTTTTTCCCTCTTTCCAAATTTATTTCACTGAATTATACTCCTTGAATAACATCTTCAAACCCTAATTTTTCCGATTACTGCTTATACTCTTACCACCTCTACCACTACGGAATTTGAATCGACAACTGCATCTCTGTGCTAATGTGGTATGGCAAGTCGAGCTGATGTACGTACGTACGGAGTTCTACGTTGTTATTGACTGACTGATCTCATCATTAACTACTTAAACGGATATTATTAAAGACCAGATGTATAATACTGTACTGTATCTGATGCGTATTGAATGGATGCCTAATGTCCTCAGTTTTCTTTAGATTATTCCAATAACTAAGTTTTCAGAATTTCGAGTGAAAGATTACTACCATGTGGATATCCTAACTGAACTAGAAGATATATCAAGGTAGTAAAAATCAAGTTTACGTTCAAAAGAACAAACTTAACAAAACCGGATAAAAACGAATGAATGAAAATACTGATTGACAAACCGTAATCAATCATGTCACGATTCGACATAAGATATTACACAACCGTTCGAGCTGAAATAAAAAACCTTCATATTATTGGAATATTTGTCCGCTATTTCTGTTGGGATGAGAGGGTGTTGTGAAATTCCATTAATAAGGTGAAATCCTATTTCAAGTTAGCTGGACATAATTAGATTAAGGAATTACAAAGTAGATCATTGTGTTGAAAACCAGCTAAGGTGTATAACTTCTCTATTAATGTCAGTTATATGTTAGTAAGATGAGCATTTTCATAAAACAGAAAGTGGAATATTGAATTTAAAGGTAAATACATTATAGTAAACTTGCGTAAAGTTGTGTCCCAGCAATTAACTGAAATCTTATCTAGGAAAACATAATAAATATTTCATCAAACAACAGAATTTTCAAAAATAGTGTTTTAATAGGACTAAATGAATTGTAATGGTAATTACTACATCACTCATGTTGAATGATATAATTTGTATAATCAAATCACATATGAACGTATTTTATTTTATTACAAGTTAAACAAAATACTCTGTTGAAATGTTTGGTGGAAGTTCTAGAATAATATCAACTAGTCAAACAACCAACTTTAATTTTCGTCAAGTAAATTTAAGCATACTTATCACGCACTGATTCCAAATTTTTTTTAATTTTCATTGAAAAAATGATTACATTACATAAGTATGTATGACTAACCTTTACCGAAATCCGATGATTTTGAGAAATGATTTAGTTGAAAAGAACTTTTAGCAGTTTGAATCTCAATGACTCTACTTGGTGTTACAGTAAACACTTTTTGATTCTGAAGTAATTTCGCCAAATCTGGGAACTCTGACTTTACACTGGGTGAAATATATGCACCTTGAAATAATGGACGAGCTAAAGCAAACTGTGTGACTATCAGGTGAAACATAAAGAACATTTCAGCATAACGGATATTCGAGATGAAAAAATGGTAAACAAAACTGGGCGTTACAGAAAATTAATTTTCAGCAAGTGAGTAACAGGTTTAGACCTAGTTAATGTAATCCGATTTTGAGAAACTGCGTACAATACCACAAAGCTTGAGGAGATAAATGTGAATGAAAGTCCAGAAAAGTAGCTTCTACTAGATCTATAAATTATATTGTCTCATTTATTTCATTTTAAAAAGTAAATCAAATAAGGGTGAATGTAATGTATTAACCGGTAATGATAGAATGATGTTGCATAATGTTAAAAACCCTTTTAAATGCATAAGAATTATCCAAAAAATTAAAAATGAAATACACTACACATTATTATCAGATACCAAAAACCTAGCTCTACAACTAATGAAGAGAAGTGATACTCTGTGGAAATTTTTAACACTAATAATCTCAACCAAATAGACTTCCTTTTACACGAAAAATAGTCAAAAGTAAGGATATCCATACTGCACATAAATGTTAAGGTGTACTAGTTTTTGTTGTTGTACATCACGCTGATAAACCAATATAAATTATCAGAACAGTATTATTTCGTGTCTTAATTCTAGCGGTTTCATTTCATTTCGAAGTTAACAAAGGTCGCCTTAATGCTACTCTTAAGTACCAGGTTAACTACATTAGCATAGGAGTCAGTGAACAAAAGATTTGACCACTCACAAACATGAAAAAATACACGTGGTAACACTATGTGACCCGACAAAACCTTCCGTCAGAAAGAATTTGGTGTAAAGTCATCCTCACATAACAAAAACATTTATAAAGGATGGTAACAGTCCTTGAGTTCCCACAAACTGCGTAAAGTGGAAACAGATAAATAAATTATGACTAATCAAGAAAAGCAACATCCAATTTATTCTTTCAATCGTCTACAGAAACTACCAGACTAGTAAAGAGTGAACACTCTTTTCGAAGCCCATGACTGTAAGTAAAGGCAACACCTGCCACCAGGTTTTTCATCACTCAAATCAGAAACAGCAGCAAAGTTTGCAGAACACACCGCTCAAGTTATTTCCGTTTTTATAAGGTATACATTGCCATTGAGAGACCTAAGGTTTCTATCATTTAGTTTTCTAAAGGAAACGTGTTTTCACAAGTCGAAATGCCCATCGTTTTTACTTCATCCAATTAATTATTGCATGCGTGATATAATGGGCCGAACGCAAGTCAGATAGTATAAATAGCCAACTTGGAAATGTATTTACTTGTGAGCCCTCTCCCAACATAGAATTACTTCAAACAGCAGTTTCACGAAATAGTTTACTTGCTGTAGACGTTAACTAGCACAACTTACTAAAGGCATTAAGCTGTCTAGATGAGGGAATGTCAACAGGATCAAGTGAGCTACAGTCCTATTAACTGAGTCGTGTAAGTTTCGTAACTGTTCTGTTACAACAATATTCGGGATGTTACTCAGCTAGTGTATTTTAGTGCTGAACTAAAAAGTCACTTATCCAAAGAACAGGACTAAAAATTATCCACTAGATATTTGACACTGAATGAAATGCACCAACTGACTATTAATGTAGAATGATACACTGTGGTCGAGTAATAACTGCTTACAAAACCGAATAATTGACATAAGTCCTCAATCGAACTGAGTTTTAGATAATAAAGTAACTTCTCAGTAGAATGAATAACGATGTGCGAACACTACATGTTAGTTTCAAGTTTAAGATAAGCTGACTTCAGATATGGTAAGTACCTATCAAGGCAGCTGAGTTTTCATGCCCAATCGGAGCATAGGCAGCACTAACTATAAAACTGGAAAAACACCCTTGCTTTCAGTCTTGAATCGTAATGATTTGGGAGTTATAGTTAGTTATCCCTTGGATATCAGGATTCACTGACGTTTGGTCCAATATCCAGGTTTAGAAAATTACGGTCACTAAGATTAACTTTTACGAAGATGCACAAGAATATTTCCACCAATGTTGTTACATTTCAGTTAAGATTCACACCAAAAACCTGTGTACACACTTCAAGATTATGCTAAATAGGTAAATGAAGTTTCTTGAAAGAAATATAAATGATTGCTGCTTACGTAAATCTAACCATACATGACATTTCTTGCAACAAAAGACCTGAAAAGTTACGATTGTTTTACACTTTCGTATTGTAGATCAACAGATAACTTTATAATGAAATACAGAATGGTGATATGTTAAACCTGGCAGATTATTTTGTTCTTACAAATAAGTCAGAATAACACAGAAGACACATCAGATGAGTTCTAAAACAAATGACGAACATACAATGTGTTTCAAAGGACTTTCGGAAGAATAATCATCTCTTGAGACCAAATGCCGAAAAAGGTGTTGTTTTGCCATCAAGTGACTCACTCAAGAGAAGATGAAACACAGACACCCGTCCTTACACTATAAAATCACACGTCTGAATTCGAGCCCAATCTACTGAAGGTAAGCAATTTACCTAGAGTCTCTCCAGCATACAATATATTTGTAGCAAACCTGTACAGACTGAGCAATTTATTTGCTGCAGCATCCTGATAATAAGTTGTTCCAAGTCTTTGGTAGCATCCAGTTCACTCACTACACAGAAAAACTTATAGTGAATCCAATAGTTATTCGGAGGTTGACATGAATGATGGTATATGTTCCAACGTAGAGGATTTAATGTGTGGTGAGCCCCTCTTATTATATCCCTAAGTAAATCTTTGCTATTTTAAGTAAATGGAAGACCAAACAAATCATGAGACAGATGGACGTTTCTAATCCTATTAGTTAATCCGTTCATCTTAATAAATTTGTTCTTACTAATCCTAATAATCGTTTCACTTTTTCCAAAACCACTTCTGAATTTATCTATGCTTAACTTCATTTATCTGTGTACCTATTTAAGGTGTACAAAACAATCACCTAAAAGTTCACTTGGTACCTTAACAGGTTGTAAATACAGTATTACAGAAAAAAATACTTGAACTCTAAGAGATCTTTTGGATCTCATAATTAACTAGTTATCTATAAGAAGTGAATTTGTTGAACTAAAAAATGCAATGAGATTATAATTTGTGGACGTACTAAAGCAATTCAGCTCTGAGACAGCTCTCTACTTACTAAGGTCAAAAGAGGGTTACAAAGTTGAAAGTTAGAGTTTATGGTCGGGAGTAAAACTAAGGATCATTATCACCAAATGACATCAATTAAAGTGCCGAGATGCTAGTGAACTACATGGACGGATGAATTTCACAACAAAATCCAGGGCAAGCTATCACTAGTGATAGCTGATTCTATTGGTCCGTCTATATTTCAGTCTCGCCAAAAATATATATTTTGAGTATTAAATGAAATCACCAAAATTCAAAATTAATTACTCAGAGACTCGAGGTATTTCTTTTCCAAAGTTACGCACAGAAAATGTTGACCATATGTATATCCGGTCCTTGGGTAAACATATGACAGATTCGTATATGACAACTTTGGTATGCTGTGGATAACCCAAAATCCTGTATCCGTGTCATCGAAAGCAAATGCACCTGCAAAAAATGCTATTATTTGCCACACATACCTTTCATATGACCCCACCATAAGTTCTCTCGATCATAACCTAATGGCTTGGTCCAATTAGGAATCTCATCGTTATACATCCCGATCACAGAATCAGGCTTATCAATCAAATCGAACATGGATTCGAACGTATTTCTCATCATTCCTTTTTCATTTATCGGGAATTTGGATAGCTGCCAGTCCCTCTGATCAGCGTTCATAAACACAACGTCGTAACCTTTTGGTAATTTGTAACCGACAAACCTTGAAACATGTTAAGAATATGGTATTTTTACCAGTCGACTGCATGACCATCATCATCAAGGCATGAGAGAGGTTGTGAAAATTTAAACATATAAGTCATAAGTAATACAGGAAAGAACATGACAACTAACAAGCAATTTGAATATCCCCAATGTGGCTGAAATGTCGACGTTATCGTGTTCCGTTGAGTGATAAAACATTTCAACATCCAATATAATTATTAAAAAGCTGTACTAATGAATTGTTTTGAGATAACTTCTTTAAATAAAAACCGCTTCATATTTTTGACCACGTTCATAATGGATGATTCGCATGATAGGTACTGCTTCTGGCCATTGAGTGAAACGGCTTACGCAGTGTAGCAGTAAATAAATCCCCAAACTAATTAGCTCTGTAAGTTTTCGACATTGGATACTGACCATATGTTTCAGTGGACTCATCAAGTTGAAGGCGCTCGTTCATACATCCGCACCAGATCACGTGTGGTAACGCTATGCTCAACATCTACCGCAACCACTAGCCCGATTAGATCAGAGAATTTCGATATATCGGTAATCGCCAAATACATTCTTCCGATCTCCTCGACTCTGTCTTTTGAGTTATCTCGGTGGGTACAAATTGTATTAAAAGGTTTTGCTGGTAAAAGCGTTGTCAAACACTGAATACCTGTGCCATCTTCATTGGTGGGACTGATGTGATCTGGTACATCTAATTGCAACTGTGAGTCTGTTACTTTTTGGGATTTTTATATATTATTGCCTCATTTTTTAAATTTTTATACATTGTGATATTTTTTCCCGTGTTTCATGATATTTATATATTTTTCCCTCGTATTCTCGTACTTAATATCCCCCTATGCCCGAATAGACTCCTAAGGTATTTAAGATTAAGACCATGTCCCCAACCTCGTTTCACCTCATGCCCTTCTGGCCCGACAATATCGAAGCCTGGTTATGCTACGCAGAAGCCGACTTCCACAAGCTCGGCGTGAACGACACACGTGCGCAATTCCTCGCAGTAGTCAAGGCACTACTGCGGGAATTCAACAGGTACGTAACACCTAGTATGTTTACTAGTGATGTTTTGGAACCTTACAAAATCTTAAAACGTTCGATTCTTAAACGAGGAGAACTAAACGATCGACAAAGGTTAGATCAACTCTTTAGTAACATAGACCTGCAACACGGTTCTGCGACGGACATGTTGCAAAGAATGAGAGAAGTGATAGGCCTAAGAACTTTCGACGACAGCCTTTTCAAACAACTTTTCTTGTATTCACCTCCCCAACAGGTGCAAGCGGTTCTGGTCTCGTTTCAGAACAACGCCTTAGACGAGTTGGCTGCATCTGCCGATCGTATTTTAGAAATTACAAAATCTTCTACCGAGGTATTTTCAGTCAAAGAAAAGGCTCACATGACTCAGAATGACAAAACCGAGTTGTGTCATACACTCACGCGTTATCTTAATTCTCATAACGACCTTAATCTCTCACACACCCTACGTAGAAGCATTTCACTAAAGAGATCTGTCTCTAGACCACGAGAGACGGATAACCCTGACTGCTGCCGGTATCATAACCAGTATGGAAAGTCTTCCAGAAATTGCAGAAAACCCTGCAATTTTCCCATCTCAAAACCGACCGCCTCGAAAAACAACTCAGGAAAATTCCAAACCGGCACGCGTTAACGGCAACCATACTCGGCGAACATAGCCGTCTGTTGTACGTCACAGACGTGACAACGAGAGTTCGCTACCTCGTCGACACTGGCGCAGAAGTTAGCGTTCTCCCAGCAAATCATAACGACCGGCTTCATGAATCGGCTCTAAACTTACAGGCGGCAAATGGTAAGCCGATCGCCACGTATGGCAAAAGGTACGTTTACGTTTACGTGAGTATACGCAAACCCATTCATTGGATTTTCGTTGTTGCAGATATTTCTATGCCAATCATTGGTATGGATCTTCTACAACATCATAATCTGATCATCTACACGAGCAAACGGAAACTAGTAGACGGAAACACTAATTTATCCGTTTGTGTAACTTCTTTTACTGGTTGCAGATTATCCCCAGTCACAGTTAAGCATATGAAAGACCCACTCTATAAACCACTACTCGATAAGTACCCTGGGATACAACAAACTCAACCGAAACTACCGTGTGTAACCAACAACGTTACATATCAGATCACAATTACAGGAACACTTGTATTCTCTAAAGCACGACGACTAGCTCCTGAAAAGCTGAGGTTGGTGAAAAACGAATTCGTCAAATAGCCCTTATGCATCTCCGTTGCACATGATCCCTAAAAAGGACAGCAACGATGGGCGTCCAACTGGTGACTGTCGGCGATTGAATGCGAAAACCATTCCCGATCGTTACCCGTTGCCTCACATTCACGATTTGAAAGCTACCTTGAAAGGTACAACTGTCTTTTCGAAAATCTCTGAAGATGATACAGGTATTCAGTGTTTGACAACGCTTTTACCAGCAAAACCTTTTAATACAATTTGTACCCACCGAGATAACTCAAAAGACAGAGTCGAGGAGATCGGAAGAATGTATTTGGCGATTACCGATATATCGAAATTCTCTGATCTAATCGGGCTAGTGGTTGCGGTAGATGTTGAGCATAGCGTTACCACACGTGATCTGGTGCGGATGTATGAACGAGCGCCTTCAACTTGATGAGTCCACTGAAACATATGGTCAGCATCCAATGTCGAAAACTTACAGAGCTAATTAGTTTGGGGATTTATTTACCGCTACATCTCTATGCTGTGCTTCAGACAAGTACTCACCAAGTGAGTCTCGACAACTGGACTACATTTCGCAGTTTACTTCAGACATTCAACACATCTCTGGAGCAAACAATGTAGTTGCAGACGCCTTATCTCGCATAACATCCTTGAACAGTTTCCAAGAAATCGACCACCTTAAACTCACCCAGCTTCAGAAGAAGACACTGATTTTCAGCACGAGTTATCGTCAACAACCCTTAAACTACGCATCAAACAGATGGGAACAGGTGAGGAAACCTTACTTTGTGACACATCTACAGGTAGGGATCGCCCAATCGTCCCGAAACATTATCGACGCAATGTCTTCAACACATTGCACAAACTTTCTCATCCAGGTGTTCGTGCAACCATCAAGCTTATAGCAGAACGGTTTTGCTGGCCTGGCATGAATAAAGACGTGAGGGAGTGGGAACGCTCCTGTTTAAGCTACCGAAAATCTAAGGTTACCAGACACAATAAATGTCCCTTAGGCTAATTTAAAACTCCCGATGCTCGTTTCGACCATGTTCATCTGGATTTGGTAGGACCTTTACCAGATTCAAATGGATACTCTTACCTCTTAACCTGTGTAGACCATTTCATTCGATGGCCATAAACAGTGCCTATCAAGGACATCACTGCTGAAACAGTGGCCTGTGCCTTCGTCGAACGATGGGTAGCAAACTTTGGCTGCCCTTCAACCATCACTATAGATCGCGGACGTCAGTTTGAATCTGATTTTTTCCGTCGTCTGACCACACTATTGGGAATCACTCGCTTCCGAACGACCGCCTACCATCCACAGGAAAACGCGTTTTCACCGACAACTCAAAGCTTCACTATCAGCTGCAAACGTTTCACAGTGGACCGACGCTCTTCCGCTCGTCTTACTAGGTATCCGCAATGCAGTGAAAACTTACATTGGATACACTGAGGCTCAACTCGTTTATGGAACGACACTTCGACTTCCAGGAGAATTCGTGGATCCTTCACCCTCTTCAATGAGCATGGATCTAACCTCCTACACGAACAGGCATACAAACACAATGTGTTCAGTTAAACCTGCTTCCACTCGACCACAATCAACCGATGTTTTCGTTCGTCGAGACTAGCATCGACGACCATTCGAATCAGCATACGAAGGACCTTTCAAAGTTCTTCAACTTGAATCTAAGTACTATATAGTCGATAAGAACGGAACAAACGATAGCATCAGCATCGATCACTTAAAAGCAACTTATTAAGAAGGAAGTCCTATTCACGTCGACTTTCCTTTGGTACAATCGCACAACACGACTCCTACACTCATAATCCCTCAACCAACAACCAACATTAGCGATGACACCCCGAATGTGTCTGAAAATAAACTTAAAACGATGCGTTCTGGAAGAAGAGTGAGATTTCCAGAACATTGAAACGACTACTGCACCTAAGCCACTACTCGACATTTTATATTATCTTGACCTTTCTTTTAACGATATATAATATTAAAAAAAAACAATTTTAATATGCTTATATATTCATATTTTTATTTGAAAAAACGAACGAAAAGAACATAAAAAATTTTAAAATGCTATTACCTGTGCTTGAGATTATTTTCCATTTTTTTCGCCGACATAGTGTTTTTACGCACATACCAGTGTATTTCGACATACTCTTACACTTTTTTTTCTTTTCAAGGACGTTGTCGAGACTCACGAGGTTAATACTTGTCTGACGATGAGCCTAGATAAAAGGTAAGTGCTTTATGATCGGTAAAAAGGGTGAAATCTCGGCCTGCGATAGAGTGTTGGAAATGCCGTACAGCACAATATATGGCTAGGTGTTCCCTACGGAAAATGCTGTACCTCGATTCCATGTTTAGCAACCGTCAACAGAAAAATACCAAAGATTGCTTTGAGTGGTCAACCCATTGTTGTAAGAAATCTCAGATTGTTGAGTCGGATGCGTCTACTGCAGTACTAACGGGCGCTTCAGTGTCCTGATGTGCAAGCATGGTTGCCTATGGTATAAATTTCTTAACCGTGAAGAGCGCTTGTCTAGCGGCATCGTTCAAACTGATGGATTTCGCATTTTCACGAAGTTGGTCGGTTAGCGGTTTTATAAGTGACACGCATTTCGGCGTGAACCGTCTATAGAAACTTACAAGGCCGTTATATATGCGTAATTGTTTAATGGTGGTCGGTTTCGGGTAATCCGGAATGGCCTAAGTCGCCGACTGGTCCAGCAACTAAAGGAGGATGGAATGCACATAAATCTTGATATCGAACTGTTTCCAATTTAATATTATGCCTCGCGGGATGATGCCCTAATTGAACAAACCACAGCTCGAATTCACTAAGATAGAATTCTGGGGTCGAGCTTTTTTAGTCATAGTAGTGTTTAACTCTTATGGTAACAAATTTGACTCACCTTTCAGGCTTTCACCCTGTACAGAGTCTGGTGTGTTGTAAATGACAAACGTATCAACATAATATAAATAAGGCAAAATGACTCCGACACGAATACTATGCGATAAAGAAATACAAGCGTATGTATGTATGAGTTTCCTGTCAACGATAACGTTACTAATCTATCAGGTTTACTTCCACAATACAACACTAAAGTTAAACATAAATTCGCTTTTGTGTTCGAAACTACGTTCAACACATCTGCATGAACGAACCATTCCATACCGATTAAGTGCGTAATTCTACGAGCTCTCGTGCACATCGTCTGCCATATTGTGTCCAGTCCTTCAGAGTAAAATAGAACTGAGTCAGCGAAACGCACCTTTGAAACTATCACTATGAAGTCTGTGTGTTACTACCTCGAATGCTTCAGAGAACTTAGCAAACATTTCATGGATCTACATCATCAATTAGTGGTAGTGAAACTGAGAGTGAAGCTGTAATGGACAATTTAAAAGACGGTATCGCCTTCTATCTTTTGTCGAGAATAAAAGACACGAATGTGGCACTATCTTTCCTGTCGTACACCAATAGTTGGAGACTTACAATCATAAGATAATTGTCATATAAGTGTCGGTGAAAACAAACAAGTTAATTAAGTATATAATGAAATGTGCGTTAACGTACATATTGAAAATTTAAAGGTTCGTGGAACCAATATAAGATTAGCCTAGCAAATAATGTGTCGTAACGCAGAATGTTGCAGCCTACATACTTCACATGCGCAATTAGAAAGAACATTTGATGAGACCATTAACTTATTGGTCTAGAAATGATCTGTCAACGTAGCATAGTCATGACAGCATTGAAAGACATGGGCCATTAGATCTCTGCTTCCTATCCTTTCTTTTCCTCGTCAAGACGTCTTGTGCGAGTTATAAGATTATGCTTCAGAATGTTTTATTCTAGTTCACACTTAATAACAATAATCATTTAATCTTTACGCATTTGCAACGAAAAGAGATCATCATCCAAGCTAAGTAACGCTGACGATTCAGCCAAAAAAATAATAGAAAAATATCTTCTCGCTCTCGAGATTCATATTCATATGAACTACCAATAAGAAGAAATGACTATCCTTAATTGTATGTTTCATAAGCAAATACATATAATTTGTATTTAGTTTTCTATCAATATTGTGCTGTTTTCCCCTGGATTAAAAAACAACGAACAAGTTAATTTGCGCATAAAATAAACAACGTACAATAATGTATCATTCTTTAACAATATAAAACTTAGTACTTGTATAAGGTTTTATATATCAAACAGAGACAATAGTTTTATCAACAATGTAAATAATTGCGTTAATTAAAGTAAACCAGGTATTATTATAATAATAAAATAAATGACTTAAAATTAAGTCTATAAATCAAAACTTTGTTACTGAGCAATAAATAACTAAATACAATTAACTGTTATATTTAATGGAAGTTAGCAATTAATTTAGTATGAGTTAAGATAAGAAATAATCAACAAATAGTCTACATTATTTATTCATTGAATCATTTAAATCTACTGTAAAGCAAACAAACAAATGTCTACCATGTATAACCTACTTGTTTACAAATACTTCATGAAATAACTTATTCTATCAGCAAGTTAAAAACAAAATTAAACAATCACAGACGTCATTGATACAATCAAATCATACAGAAAAAATTACAGTCAGTGAGAGAGAATAGAGTTACAGAAGAATCAGTGTTGTACATATTTCGTACAAACTCTTGACATAATATCAGTGTTTTACATTTAAACTAGAGAAATAATAATGAAAATAAGTGAGAAAAGTTTACTGCACAATACAAGTGTACCTGCTTCACTACTGTTCAACATACACTGCAACATTTTTGTAATCGTTTCACAATTAAACATAATAAGAAGCATCTGAAATAACAAATCTATAATTATCTAATTGTTCAGGTGTAAATTTCAACGACTGTTCATGCCATACCTCTTGATGAGTACGTGAATAAGACGACAGAGTTGATGAAATAACTTTTTTAATTGATTGTGAATCATGTAAATGATCAGCAAGTTTTGAAATAATTGATGGTAAGTAATCAGGAGTGTTGTGTGGATTTCCATGAACAAATGAGCATAAAGCTAAAATTGATGCATAACGATCACGTAAAGCAATGGAATATTCATTATGATTATTATTGCTTGAAAAATTAGTTGGTTGAGTATTGGTACTATCATTGCTATGGTTGATATGCATAACTGATTGATTTGGAAGGGGTCGATTGATTTGTCTCATCAGTTGACTAATCCATTTCTTATCATACTTGAGAAAATATGACAGAAAAATTAACACAATGTATAAACTTGCATATAATAACCACATTTCTTAATTATGAATATAATGAAACATAAAATGTTTTCTGAACCATTTGATGGAGGCGGAACTGAATGGATTAAGATCTTGTGCCCGCTATTGTAATTCATCATAAAGAACATTTAGTGGTGCAAAACTAATTCTTTAATAGACAATTACAGAGTGATTAGCGAACACTAATGAGTTCAAAAATAAGTCGATAAAAAGGCATAGACAGAACGATAGATAAGTACAAGTTAGGTTATTAAGTTTCAGAAGCATGATGTGAAAACACAATTGTAGTTCAGAATTATGATGATGCTATTCCCACCAGTAGCTCGCTTACCAAGTACGAATTTATGTATTCGGTTTTAAGCTATATTTTTTTGCGTGTAACGATTGATGTCACGACTCAGCTAACAAACCAAATAATTCGAAACTGACACAGTAGATGGGGTTGAGTTTGAAACAGAAGAAAAACAAATAATAATCAACACTATATACCGAAAAACTAGCCCAAGTAGAAGTAGACAATTTTTATTATCAGACTCCAATTACTGAGCGTTATATTTGGTATATAAAATATGACAGTTAAAGAATAGACTTTCACAAAAATATTTCTTGATTCTCTTTCATGCATTCCATGACCGTTTCTTGTTTAGAAACACCATTCAATATTAACAAAAAGGACGGATTAGCATATATGTAGTTGTGTAACAAAATAATGAAATGCAAAATTACATAATTAAAAAGTAATTAGTAACAATATCGAACAATACAGCATATACCACAATGTGGTTTTCGACAAAAAAACACATACACATGATGTTTTCACTTTGAAAAATCATCATCAACATCCTACCATTTGATTATACAGTACAGTTGTAAATAGAACGATTTTTCAGCTGACCACTTCTATAAAACACATCATGAAAACAGTTGATTTCTTTTTCTTGTCAGAAACTAAACTTGTGAACTATGGAAACTAGGCTGCTCGACATTAACTTCGATTGAGCCAGTTCAATAATGGTAATATATAACTTCTATATATCAGATTTTTTTCATGCGTTGACACATGAAAAATATGTGGATCTTAACACCAAATTTTACAAATGAGTTATGTTATAATGAAACGAGTACTGGGGAAGTAAGAACTTTTAAGACAATTATTTTGATTGGGTAATTATTAAATAACTAGATTATTATGTTCCTTTATTCCATTTATTGTAAGCTTACATTTTGTCAATTTACAATTACTATACGTCTTATCACTCGTAATTTAGAGCTGATCAGTTATTTACAGCTTCGCTGGTTTCACTGCCACTGTTGGCCTTTCTGTGTATAACTATGATTTTCTATTTTATGGAATGATGTAGTAATATATATCTGTATATAAACCATTAGTGTTTGAGATAGATGCTGGGCGAATGAAATGTAATAATAATAGAAGCTTGGCTAGAGATAAAGAAGGGCGTATATATCGTGAGATCCGTAAGAGAAAAGCTGACATCAGCTTAAAGTTAATTGGATTAATCAGAAAGTATCATTGGCTAAGGCTAAGGACGCAAGGCTATAGACGAAATAGAGTATGCAGGGTAGAGTCCTGATTGGCGAACCTTGAGAATGATATTGATTAGCGTCTCAAGGAATAATATATATGGTCAAAATATATGACTGTCCCACTGTTGTCTTAATTGATTTTACACGTAACAAGGTACTGCTAGAACTTAGGGAAAACCAATCTCTTGAACTTAGTCAATCATCAATGAGCAAATAATTCAGCCACTAAATAGTTGAGTTTATAGAGATTTCCTACAAAACGAAGATAATCTTTATTGTATACTGACATCATCGAGAGAACCAACAAAAGGCAGAGAGCCGTATAGACCCGTTACGTCATACTTTGTTACAATCATCATCTGGTGTTACAAGTGAATTTGGTTCGATCCAAATTTTACGATAGTATGTTTTGAATGAACTGAAAAGTAACTAAAATAAACCCTGTATTTTCTTACCTTAATCACACCAACTTCAATAAATATAGCCAGGACAAACATAGCAACTTGACTAACTTCAATCAAAGAATCATTAAGACACATCCATAAAATACTTCTCAACCGTTTATTCACAGAATTATCCAAGGCTGTAGTAGTAGTAGTAGTAGTAACATTCTCTGCTGATAAATTGCATTCAGGAGCATGGAATGCTGCTAAATTGAATACTACAAGATTTCTTAACAATAATAATCCTATAGCACGTGTACGCCATGATACGTGCTGTAGGAAGTATTTTAAAAAATTTCCAATAAATGATAAAATATTACCAATATCAGATTGACCTTGCCCTGATAGAGGTAATGCAGATAAATAGATTAAATAAGAAGAGATTGCACAAATTAAACCATCATTCATATCATCATCTATTTTGGTATAATTTTGCTTTTTTGATAAATAAGAATTATGATAAAATATTTTCATATTTAATGCAGTTGTAAAATAATCATATGCATTACCCATTGAACACATATCGGCTACAATTGGGGCTAATAAACAACAGATACTTGTACGACTTAAAAATGCATATTGATATTGATTCATTTGAATGGAATTCTCATCATTTATTTTCACTATTGATGATGATGACGATGATAATGATGGGATAAATGTAGGACAACTGTAATTTAAGAGAAGTCTTAAACATGAAAATAAACAATATAAACGATTGGATAATACAATAATTTCAGCTAGGCGATAATTATTGAGAATTACATTGTTACTATTATTATTATCATTATCATCATGATTGTTGTTGTCTGTTGTAACTTCAATGGTATTCTATAAAAAAAGAAACAAATCTTTCAATAATAATAAATCTTTAAGAATATTTTGAATCTTATGATTATGTACTAAATATTATATGAAATTGAGTATTTAGAAAGAGGTGACCTAGTTGAATGTTTAAGGGAATTGACTATTAATCATTAAGTTCCAGGTTTTTAACTCATTCCAATATATTCCAGATTAGAGCAATTAGAGGAGTAATCATTATAATATACAGAAAATGTTACTTAAAGCTAAATACACATACATTTATTTTGTACACGAGTATATTTTCTTTAAATTCAGCATTCAATGATCAATAGTTAACCCAATCAAAACTGAAGTAAAACAAGCAAAACAGCTGGGATATACAAAAATTAATAATAATAATAATAATAATAATAATATGTGGACTTACCATATTTTTGTAAATTTCTTGAATGATATTAGAATTAATTTGTTCAGGTGGAGCTACCGATAACATTAAGCTTGATTCTGACAATTTTTTTCTTTTTAATCGTAAAACATTCAATGTATCACGAACAATTAATGGTAAAAACTGTAGACAAGGCAAGAAAATAGTATAAGAATGATGGGATTTATCTGACCATGGAAACTTGTTCAGTTTAGAAAATATGGTTAATCTTTATATTTTATATAAATCAAGCGTTCCGTATTTGATATTACTACATAAGAATCAAAACTGATAGTTGGATCTTAGCTCCATTGGTACATAAGTAATCAACGAAATCAGGATCTTATAATTGCTCATCCATCTGCTGATTTCCAATTTAGTCCATAACCAGGTCATGTGAGAAGTTATCACTTAATGAGTTTGTACCACTCCATTCCAACAATAAATGTCTTATTCGAATGCTTTAAAAATTCCAAAACTGTCTTCAATATAAATCATTATTACGTATCCTCTATAACATCAACAGCATCTCTGAGCTAGTTTCAAATGAGAATAAACCAGCTGGTTTCTATCATAAAGAGGGATTTATCATCATAAAACTATGTCACGAATGTTGATAATTTCAAAAATAACTTCTAAATGTTGCTGTTTTATGATTTATTTAAAATCTTCACACCGACGAAATTTCACTATGATAAAACTCTTATGTGCATTGTTTGAAAAAAAGCATTTTCAACAACTGAATTTTAAAAGTTTTAGTATGTTAGATTTTCACTTGATTTCTAAGAACATTGCAAATGTACTCGTACATAGTGTTATATATCTAGGTTAGTTGCGGTTAGCTGAATAGAAGATGACGTTATTTCTGTTGAGTATACGTGGCAATCTTTACTGTTTATTACGTAATACCATACACGTTACGACTTGATGCGTTTGTTAGTAATAAAAACGTGATCATACTAATGAAAGTCATTTACTCACATATTCATGGTCTATTTATTTGAACACACAAATATTAGTACGAAAAGGGGACCGAATACACATGCACCACACAAGTCACTTGATCAATGTGTAGGTTGTGGTATTATCCGACTGTCCGGACCGAAACAGGTGGTCTTCATAGGGGGCCACACCAGGAGCCCTCGACCCAAAGATCCGATCCACAAGGTAGTGAAGCAACGTAAGGAGATGCGGTCCCATGGTAACCCGTAACCGACAATAGGTTCATGCGTCATTTGTTTCCTTAGAATCCTGGATCCCATAAGCATCATTAGTTTGGAATTAGGGTTTTCCAACTCCCCTAGGTAAACCATCCATATCAACCATTCCGCTGAAAGAGCAAGACATTCGCTTTTCGTCCTCTAAATTTCGTAAACAGCAGTAATGCCGCGAGAAGGCAGTAAGTAGGACTTCCCTGGCAGTGGCTTTATACGCGTGGTCATTGTTGTGGATGCGGAAGGATAGACCAATAATTATCATGTTAAGTCCAATGGTGTCCTTGGACTTTAAATGGACATTTCCTATTGGTCGATATCTGTTCACTTGTTGAATATTGTACAAAATGTTGTTTTCTATTTTTATGGTACGATGTGGTATGTTTGGTCAGTATATAAATAGAGTATGTCTGAAATACAATGATTCATATCTCAGAGGCTGTGACTTGCGTTCTGGACTCAACTGGCTGGGGTAGACAGGAAAGCAGGGCCAACCAGGACTCTAGGTCGTCCATTACGTGTTTACGTGTCACTGAGTCGATCGATATAAAACGCTGCGTATCAAGCCCTGCAGTCACCCTTTACAACAGTCATGTGAGAGCATTTGAAACGGGGAGCTGACTCTCTCCACTCTTGGCCGTACAAGGGCATTTGAGGGCTATACTGATGATCAAAACAGCATTCCAGATAAGCAATCATTTAAAGTACGTACGTCAAGGTTATCTATTAGTAGCATATTTATTCAATTTTTCATAGATAAGTTACCGGAGGTAAAACTCAGTTCATCTGACTTTATGGAAATTAACCTCCATACAAACAGCCACTTATTAAATTAGATCATACTGACGCCATTTTCCCATTAAGTGAAGATAAATATAGATGATAAGTAATTATAGACATTTTCAAACTAGTATTTTGATATGACAGTTCACTAAAATACGAAAACACTAGTTTGAAGCAGGAAATAAGTTGATAAAGTCAATAAATTGGTGTTATATATGATTAGTTAACTTTACTTGTTACATAATTCATCAGAATTGGCTTTGAATCAAAATCTAAGTAGTGTGAAGAAATGTAAACTATTTGCCTAATTCTATTCTACTGTAATGTAACACAACTATTAGTGCTTCATCTAAGATTCTATTTCGCTAAATCTATCTATTTAAAACTTCCGTCATCATCTAGATTTAAAAAAAAATGAAAAGAATATAGAACATTATAAACACTTACCGATTTGAATAAAAACTCACCACCGAGTAATTCTAATGGATCATCAATTTTAAATAAATTTCTTATAAATAATTGATAATTTAAAGCATCTTTTATCGATAACTGATTCGATAAACATATTAACTCAGTTTGTTTTAATTTATATTTAATTAGATTTAAATTATTTTTATTATTATGATAAATTAAATTATTAATAGGTAATACACGATAAACAGCATTACTGGCTGATAAATCTCTTAACCATACAGAGTTATTACATGCTTGTGAATACCATATAGTAGAATTGTTCATAGTAGAATAACATTGTTGATAAGATAATAATCGTCTATATAATGGTATACCAAGCCAACCTAATGAAAATACAAATTTATAACATAATCTTTCATAGAATACTCGACGGTGTACTAATGGTAAATGCTGTATTAATATACATGATGGACAAGTATCTTCAATAGAAGTAATTCCGTGATCTTTATTAATAGTGTGTTGACAAAATGATGATGGATTCATTTGTGAATCGTTATTATTATTATTATTATTATTACCATTTTTATTAGAGTCAATTAATCCTTGTATAGCCCAATCCCATAATGGGTGTAAACAGTGGACATCTGAATTATAATTGATTGTAGCACAATTAATAATATAATCATACATAAAATGAATACGATGAAATGGTCCACCAGCTAATGATTGTTTAACAGTGTTAGATAACAATGTTTTATCACAATGATTACGATCTGAGTTTACATCTTCCGAATGAGTTTTAGAGTCGGCTAAGAAGGAAAGCATAGAGAAAATGAAACAAAAACAAATGTTAAAAAATTGAAAAAAACGCACACCGAAAGTTCAATATGTCATTAATACATACTACGTATTTTCCTTGTATACATAATATCAAAAGGACTGAAAGTAATTTTGATTAGGAGTATATTGCCCTGGTACGGACGAGAGTGGGGAGAGTCCGCTCTCCCTCTCGAATTACTCTCACACGGCCACGCGTATATAGCCTCTGCCAGGGAAGTCCTACTCCTTGCCTTCTCGTGGCGGGGGTGTAGTTTACGAAAATGAGAGGATGAAAAGCGAACGTCCGGCGCTTTAACCGGATCACAAACCAATGGTGCACATGGGCTCCAGTATCCTGCGGGAACAAATGGCGTATGAACCAATCGTTGGTCACCGGCTACCATGGGATTGCATCTCCTCACGATGCTCCGCTGCCTTGTGGGTTAGACCATTAGGTCAAAGGCTCGGGGTGTGGCCCCCTAAGATGACCACCTGCTTCGGTTTGGGCACCCGGGCAGTATCACGGCCCACACACAAACGATGAACTCCATGTCTATGGCAACTACTTTTCTCGATCCGATAAACAATCAATCGATTCAAATAATTATCATTACTATTATTGTCATTATTAATACTATTATTATTATTATTATTTTCCACATTATTCACCCTCTTTTATACTTATACAGCGACTCGTCTTTGGTGGAAATTCGACTGTATCCAAACCTTATCGAGTCACTGTCCGGTTGAAAATTGTATGTTACCACCGAATACGAGAACTGAAGCAGTTTTTCTGAAACCACGTGCAGCATTCAAACTGGCTGCCTTCAACGTTCGCACACTAGTGCAGGTCGGACAACATATAGGGCTGGCTATGTCTTTGGAAAGTCCTAATATTGATGTTTGTTGTCTATCCGAGACCCGTATTCAAGACTCTGGCGAAGTACTACAAATTCGATCTCCATCTGTCGCTTCGAAAAGCTTGTTTTACGTGCGCTTATCCGGGGACCCTGTGGCATCTTCGTCTGGTCTTGCTGGCGTTGGTGTCGCACTAAGCGCTAGAGCTGAGGCAGCACTAGTCGATTGGATCCCCATTAACAGTCGGTTATGTGCTGTTAGATTAGAAAGTTCCATCAAAGTGAGAAGAAATCGGCGTGAGAAACGATGTCTTTTCGTCATCTCTGCCTATGCCCCGACAGATTGCAGGCCGGATGCAATTAAGGATGAGTTTTACCACCAGTTATCTGTTCTCCAGAAAGTGCGCTCGACAGATATTGTAGTACTAGCCGGAGACTTGAATGCCCAGGTCGGGCATCTAGGCACAGAAGAGAGTCGTTTAGGTGGCCGATGGGGACTCGTTGGTCGCAGGTCAGATAACGGGGACCGTCTACTGCAACTGTGCACAGACCACAACCTGTTTCTGGCTAGCACTAACTTTCGGCACAGTCATCGCCGATGTGCCACCTCGCGTCCTCCCTCTGCATCCCAAGCCTGGACTCAGATTGATCACATCGCGATCAGCTACCGCTGGCGTGGTTGTGTAAAAGACTGCCGTTCCTTTTGGAGTACCTATCTGAACTCTGACCATGCCTTGGTCTGCGCTAATCTTGCCTTACTTTTCAGTGGACAACGAAGTGACCGCCATCAAAGGATTAATATTAGCAAGCTGGTTGCAACTTCTGTTGCAAATAAGTATCGAACCGAGCTAGCCTCCAGGCTAGCTACCACTCCACCGAAAAGTAAAGATGAGCATTGGTTACAATCGCATGACGCCATGAAAATGGCGGGAACAGTCAGTTGTGGGTTTGCGAAACGTCCCGCTTTTAAGCACTGGGTTTCTTCTGGTTCCTTACAACTTATTGAAGCCCGTCGGTCGACTCCGGGTGACCGTGAGTTTGACCATAAACGAAGGATGTTACGTAAGGAAATTGGGCAAAGCTTGCGTAAGGACCGAGAAGCCTGGTGGTCGGAGCGTGCTAATGAGCTGGAAGCAGCAGCTGCATCTGGTAACTACCGGAAGCTTTTCCAGCTCATTCGAGCCACTGGCAGCAAGAAGTCTGGTGTGAGTGAAACAATCTGTGAGGATGATGGGATGCCAATCACTAACATCCATCGACATCTTGGACGATGGGCAGAAGTTTTCGAAGGGTAGTTCAACTGGCCTGCTGCTCCGGCAACATCGGTCAGACTGTCCTGCCCTCCATGGCCGGTGATGACTGATCCACCAAACGAGGCGGAAGTCCGCAAGGAACTCCAACTCTTGAAGCGTTACAAATCACCTGGCCCAGATGACTTACCTCCGGCTCCTTTTAAAGATGGTGGTGACTTTCTGACTAAGGAATTGACGACGTTGTTTACAAAGGTTTGGGAATTAGAGAGTGTACCAACGTCATGGAATGAGTCGATAGTTGTCCCTAACTTTAAAAAGGGTTCACGTCGTTCCTGCAACAACTATCGGGGGATAAGTCTACTTCCGATTGCGTCCAAGCTATTGGCTTCCGTCATACTTCGTAGGTTGTTCAAAACCCAAGAAAGATTGACTCGCGAGGAGCAGGCTGGGTTTCGTTCTGGTAGAGGATGTATTGATCATATCTTCACCCTCCGCCAAATGTTAGAACACCGCCATACTTATCAAAGGCCAACAACCGTAGTGTTTCTTGACATCAGGGCTGCCTTCGATTCGTTGGACAGGACTGTTCTCTGGGATTGTCTATTGAAGAAGGGTGTGCCTGAGAAGTTTATTAACATCCTAAAAGCCCTATATAAAAACACCTCAGGTAGAGTGAGGGCATACAACCACCTCTCTCCATTGTTCTATTCGAGTAGTGGAGTTAGGCAGGGTTTCCCAATCTCACCATTCCTCTTCAACTTTGCCATCGACGACATTCTGGAAACAGATCTGATAGATGTAAGTAATGGCGGTGTGGATCTGTTACCTGGAGAAAGAGTTCTTGACCTTGAGTATGCGGATGGTATTGTCTTACTGTGCGATAATGCCCAAGGCATGCAATCCGCACTTAATCAGTTGGCAATCAGTGTCCGTAGGTATGATATGTGCTTTGCACCTTCGAAGTGCAAAGTACTTCTACAAGACTGGCAGGATTCTAATTCTGTACTCACCCTGGATGGTGAGCAGATAGAAGTAGTCGAGAAGTTCGTGTATCTGGGTAGCTGCATAAGTGCTGGTGGTGGTGTGAGTGATGAGATCAATGCACGTATAGTGAAAGCCAGAGCGGCTTATGCCAATCTGGGCCACCTTTGGCGCCTTCGTGATGTTAGTCTGGCTGTAAGATGTCGGATCTACAACGCGTCGGAGAGAGCAGTTTTGCTCTATGCTTGTGAAACCTGGCCTCTCCGAGTTGAGGACGTTAGACGACTCTCTGTGTTCGATCATCGTTGTCTCCGAAGGATTGCTGACATCCAGTGGTAACACCATATTAGTAATGCAGAGGTTCGGCATCGTGTGTTCGGGCACAGAGATGATAATTCAATTGGTGTCACCATCTTGAAACACCGACTTCGGTGGCTTGGACATGTTCTACGAATGTCGTCTCAGAGAATTCCACGTCGTGCATTATTTGCCGACTCTGGGACTGGTTGGAAAAAGCGGAGAGGTGGTCAGTGTATGACATGGTGTCGTGGTATGAAAGAAAGCTGCAAAGGACTGGCTTCTGTCGGTCCTTCACGACTCCCTGGTTGGGGTCTGAGAGATGGTGCGACACAGTGGCTAGAGACGTTATCAGATATGGCTCAGAATAGAAGCCAGTGGCGATCCTGCTGTAACCTTCTTTTACTTTCTTCATAAAAAGTGGTTGTGTCTCCCTTAACTGAAAGATTTCTTTCGATTGTACCTTTGCGTTCCCTGATTACTAGCACACTACCTTACACCAATCTCTTCGTTATCGTTCGCTTTTTCTTTTGTGCTCCTTAGTTTTTTTTCTTTTTTTTCTATCTCTCTTCGAATTTCCATTGTTTTATGTGGCGCATATATATTGGCGCTCTCTTGTACCAATATTTATGTGTTCAAATAAATAAATACTGCCTTATTTAAAAGTCTAAGTCAGGAAACGTCGCGTAACATCCAATAAAAACTATAAGTTGTATGCCCTCCTTAAACTACTTACAGAAACCATTTGAGGACTATAACTCAACAACCGAGTTATATTCAAGACTGAATATTAAGACGGGAATAATACAAACTCTTGCTAATAAACATCACATTCGTTAAACAACTTAATGATCATTTGAAGTTAGTAGTTCATTTTGAAATTCATTTATTGATTTTGGGAGCAATAGGTACTAAATTTGTGTCTCAATGAGAATACTGACAATGGAATGAAGGCGCACTAAGTAACAGGTCTTAGACAGGATGACACGGACTTCCCGGATTTCATTACTAGCCAAGATCTGAATATAATAAAATCGAATGATATATAAAAACTTAGAAATCTTAGAAGGAGAATTATTTAAAAGCATGATACTGCCACAGGAAATTATTTAAACATCAGGAATTAAAAAACACCGAATCTTGAAAAATTCAACGGACAAATATGCACAATAAATGAGATATGTCTTTCGAAAAAGATATTAAGAATAAAACTGCAAAATTTACCTACTTTAAAATCATAAAACAGTAGTATGTAGTTGTATCAGGTGGGAGTATCAACAATCAGCAAGGTTAGGGACATACATACTCTAAAAAGCTAACGCTCCATACAAAATAAACCTTTTTTTAATTTACAAGTTAGAATACCATAGAAATCGGTCAGGTAGCTTGTATCAATTTTAAACTCGAAAACACGTGATTATTTATATAAAATACTGAACTACAATGTATCATAATTAACAAATCCCAAAGGCTACATAAGACATAAGTGATAGAAAGTTGGGTAACAGAATTGATTAACTGTAATTTAAAAAGAACTACGACTATTACTGTCTTAATTCTTCTTCAGTGACACCATGAGTTCCTTTTCTTAACCGTGGCTTGTGAATAGGAAAAGATATAGTAATAATTAATCGGTGGAATGAAAGTTTACAAGTAGAATAAATATAAAAATACTATGAACCAACTGTTGAATAAGTGTGCATCGAGGGTATATACACTAATCTATCTCAAAATAATTTTCGAAATGTTAAAATCCTGTTTTTGTTCTAACTCGTAACATGATTCTCCACTTTGTAAGATGCTGGAGAAATTGACAGTATGTGGAAATACTTGGATAAAGCACCACAGTAAGTATGCATCTTTCGGATCCATTCCACACCCAAATACCTTTGAAGTTAAACACATTAAGTTTAATGACTCGGGAAACAATACCCTAAAAAAGAACTGTGATGTTTGTACATAATGATGGTTGCTTTGAACACTGTTGTACACTCAGTTATAATTTCAATACAATACAGTATTATTCTTTTTACTTTATATCTGGATCTACATCAGTTGTGAAAATTGTGAGACGTAATACATTTAAATAGTATTCTAACCTGTAATATCATCATCATCTCTTCCTCCGGCAAACCTTCCGGCATAAATTGGCATCGTCCATTGAACATGTCTCACAGCTGGATGCAATTTTTCATCAACCGATTGAGCCAAATCATTAACTGATACATTTAATGCACAAATTTCTGACCAACACAATATTCTTGGTATGAAACAACCCCAAAAGTAGTATTTCCACTGACGTGACCATAATGAACTAATATTAACGATATCACTCAACACAACTTGTATCCAATAGAAACCAATAAACTCAGCTTTCCCATCCAATGGTAATTTAGAATTAGGTAATGTGATAAGTAAGGTTTTCATAAAATATTCTAAATGTTCCAACATATTTTTCGGACCAAAAGCCAATAAACATGATCTAATTAAATAATGTATTATGAATGTATAGTAACCTTGTTTATCAAAATGAGATCTATGCATATATAGTAATTGTTTGGCTAATGACGTCCAAAATTCACGTGTTTCACTCAAAGGACTGCATAATTTTTTCGCCAATAAACAAGCAGCCTGTTGTCGATTGTCATTTTCATCATCATCAATAATGAAATGAGATAACCATGATGGTTGTTTAGATGAGGCAATGTTGTTTGAATTATCATTTGAAACAGTCATAGTAGTAGTTAAATTAGTTTGATTTAATGGTTTTTCTGCAATTAATTGTCCATTTTTATCAAATGTTGGATAAGGTAGAATAACATGTGGATCGTAGATATATAAATGAGTAGGATAGTAACTAAGCGACGGCAGAAAGGAACGACGAGAATATTCAGCGTAAAAGAGAAGAGAATAAATGAACGTAAAAAACAAGTGACTAGATACAGGTAAAATACAAATGGGTCATGTTAGTGGTTCGAGGTTAGCGCTATAGTGTAATGTAATGGCTTATCAGTTGAAATAATCGTAAATATAATGAAAGCCTCACGTGTGAAACACCAACATCAAAGAATGCAATTTTATCAAGAAAACATATACTCATAATTCGAAACAAGGTCGAACCGAAGACTTTGAATGTCTCGCAGCTGGGAAGGTGACTTTAGACCAGTACGTCAAAAACTAAAATTTCATGTAACATTACTTCAGTTTGTGATATAACATGATAAATTATACACAATATCAATGATGTACATTTAGCACACCTTGAATTGAGTTGATGTAATAATATAAAATAATATGAAATAAAACAAAACTATCAATGAATCATTTCAATATTTACACACTTCGACAGCATTAATTTCTTTTTGGAACTATACGGATGAAATCAATCAGTTGAAAATCATGATACATTAAATTTACCAGATAGTTAACAGTATTTATCCTAACTGGTGTAAGTTAGTAGTGTGGTTGCTCATAAGTGAAATTTAGGCATGTGCATAGAGAATTCGATAAGTAATAATAATAAAACATGAAATTCTTTTTTACATTATTCATTGGGATAATTAGAAAAGTACACCTCAGGGGAAACGAGTGAGTAAAACAAATAAATACTGTGCTCTGATTGTTTGTTACAATTAATGTAGAAATTAAATATGCTATAAATTTTTTCCCGTTTTAAAAAAAAATGATGAGACTATAATTTATAGACGACGGTTGAGCGATACTAAGATGATCTTGAGAGTGTCCACCTAATAACTAAGACTTAATGAGGGTTATAAATTAGAGTGAGGAATTCGAATTATGATTTACAACTAATGGTTAACGTTAAGAACTAGATTTATGGTTTTCATCACAATGATAATAACATCAGTTATAATGCCAAAATTCCATTTAGCCAAACGAATGAATGAGTATCGTGCCAAAATCCGAGACTTTTTATCCTATACCTGATTGGTCCCATCCATAAACTATAGTCTCGCCAAAAACATGTTTTTACATGATAAAAAGTAAAGTTTAGTATAACAATAAACTACTATAATGGATTAGAGGATACAGTGAAAACATTCCCAACCGAAGCTGCTACCTTGACGCGGTGGTCGGGCTTGCCTATCGTGATGACCCAACCAAGCTATATTGGCTGGAACATATGTTCCTGTAGGTTCTACCATGCCAGGCAGGTCGATTGGTGAACGGTAAGACTAAAAGCAGCAACTCAAGGTCTGAGGGCGAAGTCGTACTGCAGACTGTAGAGAGGTGTGACAGCAGTAAGGTGTTTCCCTCAGACAACCAGCATGACAGCGATGCTGCCTCCCCACAAGGAGGGATGGGGTTAGAAAAGGTCGACCCTAAAAATGTCACACGTCACCTTACCTCACGGATTTCCGTCTCCGGCGGTAAGGCCCTTTGAAGAACGTCAAAATCCTTCCACAAAAAGGTCGTGCGCGACCGGCCTCAAGCAGTTGTCCCTTGGGCTCTGCGGTCACGCTCTCAAGTCGTCAAAACCAACACTAATGCAATTTCCTTTTCGGGTTCCTCAAGAAATACCCTTCCACGGTGTGGGCAGCCGGGAAGTGACATCAGCCCTCATACCCGTAACAGCACACGAGACCAAGTTGGTCACATTCAAATCCTTCCTACATCTCCTAATACCTCTCTTATCTCCATGACTAACCCTCCTCATGTCTCTTTATCACATCGCATCGCCGGGGCAAACGATTCGAGTACGCGGAACGCTATTCCTGGTCTCCTGAAACCACGCTCTAAACTACACGTAGGAGCTTTTACCGTCCGAACACTGTGCCAAATAGGACAGCAGGCTTCCTTAGCTAGGACTTTAGAATCTCGCGCCATCGATGTGTGCTGCGTCTCCGAAACGCGCATACAAGATCCGAGTAGCGTCATTCATTTGACGTCACCATGCCAAAATAAAGAACCGACTCCATTTACGCTTCGTGTATCTGGAAGCCCTGATTCTGCTTCCCGTGGACTCGCCGGCGTAGGTATAGCATTGAGTCCCAGATCAGAATTAGCTCTCTTAGAGTGGATCCCAGTAGACAGTCGTTTGTGCGCTGTCCGACTGAACGGAACAGTAAGAATCCGCAAAGATAGGGACACTCGCCGTTGCCTCTTCGCCGTTTCTGCCTATTCTCCCACTGACTGCAGCTCAGATGATGTAAAAGATGAGTTTTACAGAAAACTTTCCGACCTTCTCCGAAAAGCTAGGCGCTATGATGTAGTAATAGTGGCCGGTGACTTTAATGCTCAAGTACGTAAACTAAGCGATAGGGAAAGACACCTAGGTGGATCTTATGGTGTCGTGGCTCAAAGAACAGATAATGGCGACCGTCTGTTGCAGCTATGCTCAGATAATCGCCTGTTCCTTGTAAATACTAACTTTAAGCATAAGGAAAAACATCTTTTAACATGGCGACCTCCTAATTCGTCCCAACGTTGGACCCAAATAGATCACATCGCCATCAGCCACCGATGGAGGGGCGCGATAGAAGACTGTCGCTCATTCTGGAGCACATGCTTAGATTCAGATCATGCTCTAGTACGAGCGCGTATCTGTCTGCGTCTTACTGGACGTAGGAAAGACGCTGCAAGGAAACCTCTTAGGGGCCTACTTAATAATAGTCAAGCTAAGAGTATATTTCAGGAACAACTAGGAAAACAGTTAGGCAGCCATGTATGTGATGCCCACCCCGAGGCAGCATGGAATGATATCCGAAAAGCTGTGGAAACAGCAGTGATATCTGCAAGTACGGTAACCCGTAAGGTTAGGGAACGACACTGGATCTCAGCAGCATCTATCGCACTGATAGATGCTCGGAAACTCATTCCACCTGGCTCTGAACATAGTGAAGAGCGGAGTCAGCTTAAGCGCAAGCTGACAAGAAGTCTACGCAATGATCGCGAACAGTGGTGGGTAGCGAAAGAAAGAGAGATGGAGAAGGCAGCGGCAATAGGTAATAGCAGACAATTATTCAGACTCGTTAAGGAAACCAGAATTAGGAACCCGACCGTTAGCGAAACAATCTCAGAGAAAGATGAACATATTATTCATTCTCAATCCAGGAGATTGGATCGATGAGGAGAACACTTCAGGGATCAGTTCAACTGGCCTTCCGCCACACTTCGGATTCCCATGATCTCCAGTCGACCTGAATGGCAAGTTAATGTAGGTCTTCCAAATCTTGACGAAGTTGAAAAAGCCATAGGAAACCTGAAGCGAGGGAGAGCAGCAGGCCCTGACAGGTTTACTCCTGAGATTTTTAAGGATGGTGGTCTAGTATTAGCAGTGAGATTAACTGAGGTCTTCAGTAGAATTTGGGAACTGGACGTATTCCCATCTGACTGGACTCAATCACTGATTGTGCCAATCTATAAGAAAGGACAAAAGTCCTCTTGTGACAATCACAGAGGAATCAGTTTGACTAATATAGTGTCTAAAATATTAGCTTCAATAATACTCCAACGCCTAACTAAAGCTCGTAAAGAGCAGACTAGAGGAAACCAGGCTGGTTTTCGACCTGAACGTGGTTGTATAGACTAGATATTCACACTACGTCAAGTCCTAGAACATAGACGCACGTTTAGACGCCCCACAATGGTAGTATTTCTCGACATTGAGGCGGCATTCGACTCTGTTGATCGTGAGGTTCTATGGCAGTGTTTGTCACTGAAAGGAGTACCAAAGAAGTACGTTAACCTTGTAAAGGCTCTCTACTCGAACACAACTGGTAGAGTGAGAGCTTATGGCGAACTGTCATCAGAATTGATTACCTCAAGTGGTGTTCGTCAGGGCTGTTCACTCTCTCCATTCTTGTTTAACTTTGTCGTTGACGTGCTTTAAGAGATGACACTCTCCTCATCTAACTTTCCAGGGGTTGAACTTCTACCGGGAGGTTCACTTGTTGACTTAGAATATGCTGATGACATAGTTTTATTTGGTGAAGACGCTGACAAAATGCAGTCTTCTGACCACTCTAAGCAACAATGCAAGCATGTTCGGGATGCGATTCTCTCCCTCGAAATGCAAAATGTTGCTTCAGGATTGGGTTACATCGACACCCGAACTAGTGATAGGGAGTGAAGTAGTTGAGTGTGTCGATCGCTTCACTTATCTTGGAAGTCTCATCAGCCCTTGTGGTCTGGTGTGTGACAAAATCTCAGCACGGATACAGAAGGCTCGACTAGCTTTTGCTAACTTGCGTCATTTATGGCGTAGGCGAGATATCCGTCTGTCAACCAAAGGACGGGTTTACTGCGCAGCAGTACGTCCCGTCCTACTTTATGGCAGTGAAACATGGCCGGTAAGAGTAGAGGATATTCGTAGGTTACTAGTATTCGATCATAGGTGTCTTCGAAACATTGCTCGTATATCATGGGACCATCGAGTAAGTAATGCACTTGTTAGGAAACGGGTACTAGGTAAGGATGGCAAATCAATTGATGAAGTGGTGAAACTTCATCAGTTGAGATGGCTGGGACACGTGTTACGTATGCCCAACGACCGACTGCCTCGACGTGCGATGTTCAGTGGTATAGGAGTAGGTTGGAAGAAAGCTAGGGGCGGCCAGACCAAAACATGGCACAAGTCCATGAAGTCACTGACAAGTGGTCTGAGTCATGTTGATAGGTGTAGACTACCTGGTTGGGGACCGCGAGATGATAGCGACCGATGGTTAGAGACCCTGAATGACATGGCTCAAAATCGTTTTCAATGGCGCCGGTGCATCCACTCTTTGTGTTCTCCCAAATTCTAATCTTCTGAATTCTTCATGTCCCTTTTTTCCTCTTTCCAAATTTATTTCACTGAATTATACTCTTTAAGTAACATCTCCAAACCCTAATCTTCCTGATCACTGCTTACACTCTTGCTACCTCTACCACAATGGGATTTGAATCGACAACTGCATCTCTGTGTTAAGGTGGTGTGGCAACTCGAACTGATGTACGTACGTATGGAGTTCTAGGTTGTTCTGACTGACTGACTGAGTGAAAACATTGAAATAATAGACATAAATTCTCAACAATGTGTGCATATGAGTAAACAGCTAGTGAATTAAGAAAGCTGGTGAAACCTAGTTAAATTTAGCTATGCATACATATACACTAGTGACTGTCTCCAAAAAATTTTTTCTTAGTCCTAGTGGGAAGCCTTGACCAGTGGAGTTCAACCGAGTCTGTTGTAAGATAGTAACTCACAGATGACAATGGTGTGTGTCGCCCGATTTCGTGGATCAGTTGAAGTTAGACATTAACACCATTGGATGCCGCCTCAGTGGTCTAAAGGTTAAGCGTTCGCATGCGAGACTGATAGGTCCTGGGTCCGAATCTCGCGGGGCGGGATCGTGGATGAACACTGTTGAGAAGTTTCACAACAGGACGAAACGACCGTCCAGTGCTTCTAGGTTTTCCATGGTGGTCTAGCTTTAATTGACTCATGAATTCAATTGTTAAATTACATACGTATATGATGAAGAAAGAATGTATAAGAAGTGATATTTGTTTAATAATACTAGCAATACATTTTATGTATTTAAAGCTGGTCAAATAACTTCAGGTTAGATAGTGATCATTGGTCTAGTGGATAATGTTTAATGTTCACTATAACTCCCGTTTATATTGATGTAAATATCGTAAATTATCCATACAAAGTTGGAGTTAAATTTTGTACAAGAACCAAGCAAAAGATGTTACATTCTAACTTGAGGATGTTTCAAAATATGGTATAACGGTTCATTCTGATATTAAACCTAAAATTTCCATGACTTACATGAAGCATGTAAGCTTTGAACACTGAGATCTATTGATTGACACGTTAAGAATATCTACTATAGATGATGATAATAGGGAATGATCGCATGAGCTCAAGAACTCCCTGATGTTAAAAAATGTGTGTCACTAAAACCTGACATATGTTCATATATATATTTTTATTATCATACAACCTATCAAATGTACAAAGTTCAATAATAGATATGAATACCGAAGATTTATCAGCTCACATACTAAGCACAGTTGAACTAAAGTGTTTGTTAATAGTTAGATACACTATAATTTCTACCAATAAGACTAATTACAGGTTAAAATGCATATATATATGCGAAATTCATAACAAACATACTAGTTTATTAGATAAAAAATGCTGGGTACAGCAACAACAACAGAGTCAGCAGAAATCATTCTGCAGACACTTACCATTTAGGAGACTGAACGACTAAAAGAGCACACGATAAAGAGAAATATGAAGTGTTATCTTTTGTACAAAATATATAGACATGCTAGAATAGGAGGAAAATCCGTATTCATGTAGATTAGTTAGTGTAAATGATGTTTCATGAACGTCTAACAGAAGTGGACAAATATCCGGAGAATTAATTAGCCACACAGTTTTCCGGAATATCTAAAGTGATCTCTGATAAAAGAATTATGACATTTAACCTCAAATTCATACTTCAACACTGTCTATAAGATCAATGTCTAAACTTACTTTATAATGAAGAAGGTTAAGTCATTCAAAGTCTAAAGAAAACAGTACAATAACGATAAGTCTTTACGATGGCCTAAGGTCTACTACATTTTGCATTTATGTTCACGTAAATGTTTGTTATTTATCTTATTATTATTACTACAAAACGATCTTCTTTATAATTTTGATTATCATTTAAATAACATGCTAATAATTTCAACTATCCGGTTAGTAACATTTATACTCCCTCTGTTTATTACTTTAACAATTATATTACTATACAGATTCAAAAATGAACTAGATGACGATAGTTCTTATGCTAAATTAATTGTATAATGGTTCAATAGGTACATTAAAATTATTAATAATAATCCCATCGATAGTTAAATATCTTCATGAAATTACGTAGACAATATATCAAATGGAAAGGTGTGGAAAGATGATACGACTATAAATGTTCACCATAAAGGATTTTGTATATCACATACTAGAAAACATGAACAGACCTATTATGATTTTATGTAACTGATTGAATACGATCTGAAAAAAGCTTCAGCTCAACGAGTCATACTGTAAGATACATTTACATTCTTCCAATAAATGATTTCTTTTGTTGGATACAGAGGCGTTACAGTCGAGTTAATAGAGTAGCGCGACAGATAATTTTTTAAATTATCTATCAACGCATATTATCTAATACATAGTTCTGATCGAAATATGACTGATAATTTATCCTAGTCTGAAATATAATACATAACGCGGGTTTATACTATAGAAACATTGCAATGTTCGACAAAAGAAAACAGCAATAATGTTCAGCGCGTCGATATTTAAAGCACAAGTTGAATGCTTATTTCCTCTAAACTATCCACTGAAAAATACTGACAAGTAATTATTACGATTAATTTGAGCAATAATTGATTGAGATCTTGGACCGATCGATATTAGATCATCATTGAAAACCTGGAGGGCCGTTTCGTCCCATTGCGGGACTCTTCAGCATAAATCCGTTCAAGATCTCAATCAATAACTTAATAATCTCCCCCAACCCTATACTGATAATTACCGTGTGATCACTAGTGACTACCGTCTTGAGGGAATTCTCGGAGTTCTAGTGAGAAGCCGTAACCAGTGGGGTTAATCCGTGTCGGGTAGAGACAGGTACTACCTCAGTACAATGGAAGATGGTTGAAGTTAGACACTAACACCACTGGATGCCGGCTCAGTGGTCCAGTAGGTTGAGCGGTCGCGCGCGAGACTGAAGGCCCTGGGTTCGATTCCTGTCCGAGGGTCGTGGATGCACACTGCTGAGGAGTTCCACGATGAGACGAGACGGCCGTCCAGTGCTCCCAGGTTTTTAATGATGGTCTTACACTGGTTCATTCATGATCTCAATCAATAACCCAATAATCTCCACAACCCTATACTGATAAATTAAAAAAAGGTTAAAATGCAACCGTCTAGTGATAATGATGCATGAAAAATCGAATAAAAATTGTGTGCCACAATTAAAAAAACATCAAAGTAAATCATTTTAAAAAGTATCTGTTACTCATTCTTAATGAAAATCAGATGATGATATGATGCAGCATAAACATATGACTATATACATATATACGGGTAAGCATATAAAAGGCAAAAATAAATAATGAATCACGTGATGTTCAAGTTTCTACAGGATAAAACCTTAGTGGCATTTCTTTCGAAAACCCAAATAAAAAAACCACTGGGAGAAATATTATTAATTCAATGTAAGTTTCTGCCATCCTTTTCAAATTAAATTATTGTAATACAGATTTTTTCTGGACTTTAATTACGGCGAGATACGTTAAGCATAGAGAAGAATGCCAACCTGTGATCTTGGTGAAATCGAATCTAAACTTTGTTGCATAGAACGGAATAGTACAATATAAGGTTAAGCAACCTAAAGCGTGTTGGTTTGATCGATAATCATAACATACAACAGTTGGAAATATTTGAAATGATGAAAAAAGTTTCTAACACATCTAATTCTGACATTTTCCTACTGTAAATCTGAACTTTTCGACACATCTCAATTTAATTAATCTTATCTGACCTTTCGAATTAGCGGGGAAAGAGGAAAACTATATGTGGAGGCTGTATCTAGTATGTAGAGAAATCGAAGATATGAGTATTTTAACATATCAGAAGAGGTAGTTACAAACTGCATACGAAGAAATGATAGTGGTAAACTAAAAATGAAAACCATAGATACGAAGCACTTTTTGTTACATATGTCCCCAGTTTTATAGAACTTTGAATAAAATAATTAAAAAACAACAACTTGATAAGATCAATTAAACATAAGCATGATTTGATCGATATCAACTTAATAAATAAATATCAACTTACACGAAACCACAATTTATCGACACAACGTGATGATGGAATTCATATGCTTTATCTGATTGTAAAATTTTAGCATTTTCATTAAATAATAACCATAAGTTATCTGGACGAGGCCCAGCTATCATCGGTGCATTAACATTAGGATGATGATTTGGCAAAATTGACAAATCAGTGGTGTTGGTGATCATTTTTTCTTGACAGATTTGTATGGGATAAATACATTTACGTGGTGGGATACGATACAAACCTATTAGACTGAAAATCAACTCCGAAATACACCTACATGCAGTAAATGCAACTTCAGTCTGTTCACCAATCATTAATTTTAAAGCAATTTGAACAAATTTCAAAGATGGAGGACTCAAAATAGGTGGGTGTATAGAACAGTTATCTAATCTCCATACAGGTACAAATGGTGGACTGACAGGATAACGTAATATCTCTAACATTGTTACAGTTAATGGCCAACTTGTACTAGAACCATCGTTATGGTTATTAGCATTTTTATCAGTTATTGTACTTTCTGAATTTGTTGAACTATTCACTAGTGAATTTAACTGTTGATAATTATTTGAGTGTATACGAATAATATAATCAGAAATATTACGATTGAACAATGATGCAGCTGTACCACGGTTATGAAATAATATATTCATAATGTTGTTTGAATTATTCAATGTTTTCATATCAAATGGATATTGAAATGCATTTAAACAACTACTAATTTCAGAATAAACTTTGTTCAACCAACTAGTAGATGGAATTTGACTATTTTCACAATTAAGTGAAAGATATATATTACAATCTATAGGCAATTCTTTAAGCGAATGTAGAATTTGTTTTATTAAATGTTCTAAATGATCACGATTTGTCTGTAATTGTTTTAATTGATGTTGTTGTTGTTGCTGATGCCGCTGCTGCTGATGATGATGATGATAAGGTTTGTTTACTAAATCACCATTATGATTACTGGTTTTTTCGAAATTTTTAAACCAAATAGATTTTTCTTCTTGATAATTAATTAGTTGTTTTATAAGGCTAGTACAAAATTGTACAAATAAAAGTGGATTTAATCGAAATAATTCATCATATTCCCGATTCCAATGGTGACGTGCATATATCTGTTTCAATGCGATAATTGTAGACATACGTCGATGATGTATAAGTTTTTGTTTTCCTTCCAATGAACCAATGGAAGATAAAGATAAGACAGGGGAAGACGATGCAAGTGAAGATGTTGAGGAACATAACGATAGAGAAGACGATGAAGAATCAGGCGAGGACATTAGAAATTTTATATCTGAGGCTATATTATTTAAGCGATTAACCAATGATTCTACTACTCTTGTACCAATCTACAAAATTAAAAAAAGAGTCGAGTATTCGAAAAAAATTTGTAAAACAAGCAGAAATGTTGAAATCTTAATGTTAATGAAATAATCTTGGATGATGATTGTACTCTAATACTGTGAAAAGACTAAATTTGCAACATGTAAGTCACCATATAATCGTAAGAGATTTAGAGTTTGACCGATAGTGGTACCTAGTTCGAAATTTCAGGTGACAAAACTCCAGCATTTCAGTTTTAATGGGAGATATACCTTGTTGGGGACGATAGATCCCCAAACTCATATTTTTAAATTTTATCGCATCGATCAACTTATTGATTAAATGTTTAAATATTGTATTGGGGTCAATTGATGAACTATCGATTCAATGGGCAAATAGGTCAATTTATGAACTCATTGATTAGTGTTTAAAAATTTTCTATGACAATATCGATTATATATATATATTCAAATTGTGTTTGCTGCTGCTTGCTTGCTCGCTTTCTGGCTGGTTGCAGAATATACCTTCCATACCAAGCCTGGACTTCTCCTTCTAGATAGCGGGGCTGGGACGCGTCAATAGTTAGACCACTGGTCTTTGGTCACTGAGTATTGTTCTCGTTCGCAGTTTAAGTGAACTCGTGAAGTTTCAAACATAACAACCTTAAGTAATGTGTTTGAAGCATGATGATTTCACACGCACAAACATCCCCCATGGTTTACAAAACATATCGTTTTATTAAAGGCAGAGTGTGCTAAACAGCCAGGTTCTACTTTGTGATCTCTGGAAGTATATAACATTTATCGGTGACTTGTATTTAACCATAGATATTTTCGAAGCATTGTCCGTGTCTGGTGAAACAACCGAGCGAGCGTTTTTAAGGTTAGCGAAGGGTATGATGTGAAGATGATAAATCTTCATTGGCCAAGATGGCTTGAATATATACGTGACCGAATACCTCCTATCTAGGCGCACAATACTGGCTGATGGAGAACTAAACTGTAAGGGAGTTAGAAACATCTAAACCAAAACATAGTCTAGGCTGTATTGGTAGATGTGGACTACGTAATTGGTATGGATGTGATAGTTACGATCAATAGCTGGAGACCATATCTGATATTACTCGTGGTAAGTAGTGGTGATGTAAATGTGTCAAGTATGTACCAGCATCTAAACCGTGAGCCCCAAAATTATTTCATATGGTATAGGGACGTGGACTGACGAACATTTTTGTTATGATGTATGTTAAGTTCAAATGACTATATTAGTAAAACAAACCTCCTCGTGGAATGAATGAATGAACCTCACTAGTATCTTAAAATCATATTAATGACGAAAAAGATGGAGAGGATTTGCAGCTCAGATAGATCCCCAAACAAACCATCTAATATGGAGAAGTCAACAATATCCAAAACACAAATAATTCTACAAAACAATAATATAACGTTACACACAACTTAATATTTAAATATAAGGGCACTGAAATTTATTAAGTAAAACATTTAATTAATTACCGAAGGAACAAATTTAATTAATTGGGCATTGAGGAAAAAATTAGCCAGTTGACGAATATCTGATCGATGTGGAGATGTTGCCAAAACACTTAAAATATCTGTAAATTTCATAATTTCTAGTGATGGTTGTAGTATGGTAGAACAGGCGATAGAACGTGATATTAATTTACCAGTGGAATTTCTCACTGTAAGCATTAAGTGTTTTCGTAAATGATTTAACATTAATATGGAAAAACGATGATGGATACGTGCGATATAAGTGATAATGGTACAACCAGAATACATTTGTAAATTTTCATTAAATTCACTTTGATTTAACAATGAAGATGATGCTGTAGAACAAAAAGTTCCTGTTAAAGAATTTATACTAGGTATACATAATTTCTCAGAATCATTTTGACGCGAAAGTTCTTGATCTGGTAAATGTAAACAATTACGAGCGCCTAAATCAATAGATAATAAACCTCGTGGACCACGTATAATTTGTAAAAGATATGGTCTATGCTCTTCCATAGGTAAATTAAATAGAGCTTGGTGAGTGAATTCCATTAGATTGTAGACTTGAACATTATTGAATAGTAACCAGATTGATTTAGTAGTAGAATTACCTTAGAAAACAACAATTAGTATAAATACACAGTAAAACGTCTTAATATCATCTACAAAGTGATTTTAGATAGTAAAATTTAACGTACATTAGAATGTCATTCTAAGTTTCTAGAAGTATGTTCTAATAGAGTTAAAGTGAAACGAATAATTTTGACATTTTAGAATGAGTTAATTTTATATCAATTCGATTTTAGGTCACTACGGATGAATGAATCTCTGAAATTAGTGTCGCGATCATATCTTCTACCGACATATGTGATCAACCAATATGGTCAATGTATTTATACCCCAAAATAGACTGTGACACAACCCAGTTATTAAGCAACAGTTCGGCATTTGTGAGATGATAAATACATCACAAACATTTCAACGTAGTCACTTAAGATATTCATAGGACCTTATCTTTTCTTACTTTTTTTAAGGTAGTAGGATAACGTCAATGAACTTCATTTTGATGAAAAGACCTTTGCAAGGAAAAGTTTATGATAACGTTGGATTGGAAAATGGGTGTGGTAAACCTTATTTATAAACGAGACTTGATGCATTCACTTCAAAAGATAACTCGTCACAAACTTAGATACGACCGCGGGTATTCAAGTAAACATTCTTTATTAATGCAAAATGAATGCTCGTTGGCACTTATATCGCGAAACACTATCAGAAAACATTTTAATCGATAAGATCAAAAATCAAATATTTTTCCGAAAAATACACATGCACATGAGCTCATGTCCCATTAACTGACGGAAGACCTGGTCCATAGGCGTTAGACTAAACCTGAAAATTACTTAGTTTGCCAGTGGTACGCAATTCATAGCTTAAATTACAAAGCCTAGAATGTCATAAACTATGTTAATGAATCTGATTCCTTGAACCTACGTTCACTACCTAGCTGATGACTCAATAATTATTCTCATTCTATCCTCGTTTTTGGCCACAGGTGACGAATTGGAATGATAGTTCTAATATTCGGTAAGACATTATTTTTTTGTCTTCACGTAGTCGTCACTAAAATGAACTAGCATGAATTATAAGCAAAGATGGATAGTGGCTAGCAGTGGAATCCAGGACGCGTGTTTCATCCTGTCTGAGACTCGTCAGCGAATTAAACTTCACCCCATTGCACAAGCAAGTGGCTATCAGAACTCAGTAGCTAAGTGGATAACGCGATGGCATTTGAAGCGAACGGTACTGAGTTCGACTCGCAGAGTGGACATCAACTCTGAGATGCAGGTACATCCAGCTGACGAGTCCCAAACAGGACGAAACGCGAGTCCTGGATTCCACTGCTAGCCACTATCCATCTTTGCTTGTAATGCCTGTAAATTAAGGCAATATCGAGGCATACTCACAGTATGCACATATGCCAATAAGAGACTGATCAATTTCAGTCCTAAAACATCAATGGGAAGATTCAAGTAAAAACAATATCAAGCGAATTAGCATGGATTATGTTTATACAAATCAGGAGAATTCAGTATAACATAAAAAGTGAAGACAATCAAAATACTTACAGTCATTTGATTTCTCTGAAACACCTATATCACCAAAAATACCAGTCAAATTATCACAAACATTATCGACAATCTCATCACCACTAGTTCTGTCATGGCACGATATCAAATTATCATCAGCTTCTTTCATCAATTGTGAAATCACATCCAATAGTTTTAAACCGATTTTAAGTGCTGCATCACGTAACTCTTCACCTATATCATTTTTGCTATTCATATAAAAATAAGCGATATCCCAATCGGATACGGAAGATGATTGCAAATCGTCGATTGAAATTACGTTGTAAACTTCATGAGGATCAATGAGGTTAGATAGACCATGCCATGGCATAAAATGTTGTCCAATACGTATTTCGTTCACACTAAGGTTTTTTGTACGAGGTGCTAAAGCATCAGATAAACCATTCATTAAGTGATTCATCCAGATTGTTAATGATGTGAACCGGTTCCGTTGTTCAATGTAGTTTATTCCGTTAACAGTATTATGATCATTAGTAGTGGTAGTATGTAATAAAGAGGTTAAATTCTCATGAATTCTCTCTAATTCTTTCATGACGGGATGTAAAAATGATTTAACTAATTGTCGAGCTAAAGAAGTTGTCATTTTCGTCGGTTTAAACCAAAAACTGTGCTGTTTCTGGTTCTTATGATTGTAACAATAATTAACAATGGATTTCAAATTGACAAACGGGCTCCACCAAGGAGATGAAATATACGCATCAACTTTATTTAGTTGTTGTTGTTCATCTACACCGACAATATTGTCTAGTAAATTGAAACGACGTAAATCAATACTGTAACTTGTTAAACGATGCAGTAGCATAGCAAGAAAACTTGCTGATGTTTCAGACAAGGCAGGACATGCATTTACAAGTTTATTATATTCTAGATTCATATTATTCAGAGATGTAAAATGACTCCAATCTGGTTTGACAAGACATCCTGTTGATAAATAACATAATTTACCAAGTAGGATAATTAATGGTTCAATAAATTCTTTATAGATAGTTGGATCAATTAAACTTTCAGGTGGTAATGCACAAATAAACCCTGGTAGAATATATAATAGAGAAAGAAGCCTAGGTTCTGCGCGATAGTGATAAATGTAAGATCCATCTAAAGGGAAAAATCAAGTGAAAACATCAATTAAATTTACGAGGTTATGAAGTGTATAGAATTATGTATAAAGAGAAATGTAAATTGGTTCGATCCCAATATAAGAAGTGAAGGAATTTTAAAAAAGAACCCGAAATTAGAAACGTTAGTATACAAAAACGGGATGGCTTACGTAAATATGCGTTAGTAAAAATCAACTGGTTAAAAACATTTCTTTGGTAATTGAGATTAAACTTATATTTCTTTTTTAAGATTAAATTCGATGTTGAAGATCGCTTGAATCACGGATATCTCAGCTAGGGGAACGGGTAAAAAACATTGAGCTCTACAGTTTAAGATTCCTAGGAAGAGTGTACTTAAGGTTGCAAGAAAACCGAATGTACAAATTTTGGGCATTGTATTGAAGATTTTTATGACCTACGTGTACTTCAAGTAGTACTACAAACTAACGTAACTAGTGGTTAAATATAGTGCAACAGCTTAAATCTAGACAATTCATCAAAACTTATACTTGAATCAGTTTATAGCGTGTTACGTTAGTAACCCAGAGTATGTAACTATATATTTGAATATTGCTTAAAAAGATAGATAGATTGTCACTTGAAGATGGAGATAAAAGTCGATAGTTTATGCAGACGCCAAATACCCTGGTACGGCAGAGTTAGTTCTCCCTCTCGAAATGCTTTCACATGATCACTTGCATACAACCACTGCCAGGGACGTCCTACTCACTGCCTTCTCGCGTCACTACTGTTGTTTACGAAATTGAGAGGATGAAAAGCGAATGTCCGGTGATTTAACCGAGTAGGTGGACACGGAGGACCCACCTTACGGGAGCTGGAAAACCCTGATTCCAAACCATTGGCACACACAGGTTTCAGGTTATAAACCCAGGATTTTCGGTTTCGAGCGCTAGCGCGTAAACTTTAGACGACTAGGCCACCAAACCAATGGTGTTAACGTATAAATCCAACTAATTCACAATATTGCACGACCCTCATCCATTGCCCAAGGAGGATAATTATCTAACGCCTGATATGGTTGGATTCCATTGGTAAAAGTTTTCCACTAGAACTCCAGGTATTGTATCATGAAGCTAGTCAGTAGGGAGCAGATTATTATCAATATAGGAGGGCTTGTGGAGACTAGAATTTCCTTGGTTTGTATAAATCTTAGATCACTACTGAAAATCAACAAACACTAGAGATAACATGTTTCTCGGAATGCTATATATTGATATATTTGGACAAAAAAAGTGGGCGCCTAAACATATTAAGCACATATGATAATACTTGAACTCATTACTATTTTTAAATAATTATGGTCATACCCAAACATAGCAACCCTAGATCTAAGTGTGAATTTTAGCATGTAGATGTCTGTATCTTTTATACATGGTTAATTTGATAAAAAAAAAGTTGAATCACATTCAACTAAGCGTTTTCGACTCGGAGTAGTCAAAGTTCATGCCATACTCATCGATTCATTCTCATAGTCTGTTTTCTAAATTTTATGTATCAAGCATACGGACTGTCAACACTATTAGTATCCAGCTTTTTACATCTATTGTTATTAACGAGATTATTTGAGAGAACAAATATTTGAAGTTAATAAACATCTATATTTCACTATCATATTTCGGTTGGAGTCGATTAAAGGCCATAGGTTAATTTAGTGATTATGAATTCGATGTGACAGTGAAATAATGATTGGTCGTTGATTGTAGACAAACAGGCACAACTTAGTGAGTATTACATATGTGATTCCTTTCACTAATTTCTAGTCCAAACTCAGTGAGTTCGACTTCGTGTAATTATGTCGAATAAAGTAATATCTAGCGTTGATCTGGTTCCCTATTCTGGGTCATGAACCCTGAATCTGATATAACTTGACTAATCTCATTATCGTATTAACGCATTATGATAGTATACCAGAGAAATAGCCATTTGTTATATCAGAATAATTGGAAACACATTTCACCGATGTATGCTAATTACTTAACTTACTTTTCACAGTAATAAATTTACACGAATAAACAACACTTAATAAATATTAAAAATACAATTTGAATGTTTTAGTGTTTAACTCTTAATCAGCTGATGATACACATGTGTCCTAGAATTTGATGTTTTGTTGTCGTTATTATCATAATCCAACAAACTATTCTGCATTACACTAAATTTGTTAGTTTGTATTCAATAAAAAACAACCGGAGATTAAACAACATGAAATGCTTTAAGTGTATACACAGTAAAACACGAAAGTAGTGTTAGCATAATATAAACAATAAAGGAGCATGAAATAAATTATGTATAGTTTGTTTTGTTATGATTAACAAAAAGTGATGATAGTAAGAAATTCAATAATGGTGATCGCAAATTTGAGAAATTTAGTTTCATGAAAAACAAATAAATTGTAAGCGGTTAAAATTGAACTATTAACATAGAGTAATTAACTTGAAATCCAGTACTCATTGATGTCCAGAATGAAACAGATCGACTTCTGTTGAACTGTTTAGTGGGAAGCTCCTAGATATTTGAAGTAAACAACCAGGTTACGAGTAGATAAATCTGATAGAGACGATGTTAAACGATGGTTGCGCTAAATTGTGAGTTGGCAATGAAGTATTGTATCTCGACTCATTAGCGAAACGGTACAAGGCAGGCTCATTGTGAGACTTAAAAGTCATAAACTGGACCATATATGACGCTGTGTATGAGCCATAGGTAAACGTGTACATAAATATATCAACTTTTATGTTACAAATATTATGCAGTTATGAGATACAGTAAGCTGTTTTTATGGAATAATAATTTACCAATATTAAGCAAGTTTTAAGAAACAGAAATAAATTAATTGTCGAATATCAGTGTGACATAATAGGTAAGTGTAAATTCATCCAGTGGATATGAATATAGGCATGAGTACTAAGACTTCCATACTGGAGAATAAGACTCACAGAATTGACATAACAGATGTGTTTCTAACAGTTTGAAATATAGCTGAAATATAACTGAAGGTCAATTCCTCATGATTGACAACCTCTTGATTCTATTATACTCCCGTTAACACAGCTAATGACTGCTATTAGTCACATATGACTTCAAGCCAGGTATAAAAACTTGTATTTCGTCATTAAGTTATATGAAAAATAATCCTATCGAAATCATAACCTTTAACCACCAAAGTGCAAACCAACGCCATGTCAATCGACTGGTTGGGCAAACAAAACATTTCCAGAAGATAAGATTCGATCAGTTACTACTGGTCAATAAACTTGTCATGGGTTAGTGAAAAAAAGCTTTTTAGTGTTGAATTTGAATAGGTAATCTACTTAAAAATACCTAAATGTATATAACTGAATATAGTAAAGTGTTAAACATACCATTTTCAATTTCATTTACAATGGCCATAAATTTAGGCCATATTAACTTCAAAGCATAAATTGATGGATTTATGTTGTTATTATTGTCATTATAAGATGAATCAATCGTTAGCCAATATGCTTGATAACCAATTAATCGTGATGTATCTGGTGACCATTGACAAGAAAATATTCTATCTACTAGCAATCTAATTAATCGACAACGTAATTGTGAATTAGATGATGTAGATAAACCTAATGCAACACACAGACCAGTTAATCTACTCATTTGAGATGTGTCTATATATGAACGTGGATGACCATTAGGCGGTCCAGTTTGTGGTCGATACATTGTATTCGATAAATGTGAAATACTTTGTAAATTTACAGAATTTGTACTATCATCATTTAATATGGATAAATAACTCAAAATACGTTCATATATCATGAATACAGTATCTTCTACGTCATTTGATTCCGAGATTATCCTTTCAGCGGTTAAATGATTTGGATTGATATTGTTGTTATTAGTCAATGGCATAGTTGAGAAATCCCATATAGGCGTTGAAAGGACTAATAAAGAAAAAAAGACAATAAGAAAAATATCAAAAGCTAATGTAAACTGCGTTTGTTTAACAATTCTATTGATATAGAATTGTGCATACTCATAATTTTGTTTACTTTTTCACACTTATCGATTTAAAACATTTTTGTACTGTCTGTGAAATGTGAACTGATTTGATGTTGTTTCTTATTAAATAGTTATAAATCAGAGTCTTTTTGTTAAGGGTCTAACCCATGATGAAAACATATTGCTAAACGGAATGCACCCATTAAGACATTAAATAAGCAAGATTAGTTCAGCGAAGAGTTCTCTTTTCGGCGAATTCATTTTCAAAGCTTTACAATCGCAAATATATATATACTTATTTTTACAGGATGATAATAACACTGAAAATAAACCTATTATACATGGTGACAGTGAGGTTACACATTAAGGTGAATGAAATCGCACGTTCAAACCCCACTCCATCTACTTCAGAGTTTGAGTAGCTCACTTATGTTTTTAGTTTCAATTCACATAATAAGTAATACTGCTCGGTAACTTAAACTGAAGTCCCTGAAATTGGGTGACTTGGTGGGTAAAATTCGAGTGGCTTAACCACTGAGTGATCAATCCAAAAAAAATAATAATTAAAGCTTATCCATTGAGCTACTTCATCTAAAAAAATGTAACGTCATCAAAAACATCATTTTTTCAGTATCAATGATTTACATAAGAAAGAAAACATGACACACTATTCAATATATGAATGTATGTTACATTACTTAATTAATAATGGGGGTAAACAAAAAAACTAATAGTTAAATAGAAAAACAAACCACACACTTACTAATGACATTTAACTATTATTTAAGTGTTATAACCCTCGGTTTTCACTTCGTCTAGTGTTATAATGATTGAGTTTCCACGTTTACACGTATGGGACGTTAGTTTACCTTAGACGATTATCCACATTAGATTCCTTCCCAATGTCTATTCTACAGGACTTCAACACAACTCAGATCAGGAACACGTGATTGACCTGACTAGAACGTAACTAAATCTCCACACCAAAACCCGACACAATCCAACAACAATGAACAATCAATAATAATTATAAGCATAGGGGAATATAAAACTCATCTGACACCTGTCAGACTATATCTACATGTCTGACTAAGTAGACAACCAATTATTATCATTCTCGCTCACACATCACTAAGCATACATGATTTATATCTACATTAATTTAAAAGCAATCGACATATGTAAAATCATTATACAGTTTCCACAAATGATATTGTTGAAAAGAAATTCTTCATAGATAAATCGCTTAATAAGAACAAGTTGAGATTATTGTACTTGACCATGAACTTTACATATTTTTTTGTTGCTTGAAGCCTACTGATGATTATATTACGTTGACTAGATAAATTGAAATAGGTAGAGTATTGAAGTCAGAATCCATCATTCTCAAAATGTTATAATTATTAAACTAACAAATCAGTTAATAAAGATGGAGTTACAATTAAAATGTTGTTTTAATCGTGTTAAATTCCAATAGATTAGTAAAGATTTTATTTATAATTAAAAGATTACAAACAAACTTTTATTGATATTCTTTACAGAATTAAAGCAACAATAATGACAAAAATATGTAAAGATATGTGTTGATCTTTCTTTTCACATATGTGTTGATCCTGACCGTTGTTGCTACCTTGACGTGGTGGTCGGGCTTGCCTATCGTGATGAAGCAACCGAGCTATACTGGCTGGAACAACCGTTCCTCAAGGTCCTACCATGTCAGACAGGTCGATTGGTGAACGGTAAGACTAAAAGCAACAAACCCAAGGTCCGAAGGCGAAGTCGTACTGCTGACTGTACAGAGGTGTGATAGCAGTAAGGTGTTTCCTTCAGACAACTAGCATGACAGCGATGCTGCCTTCACACAAGGAGGGGTGGGGTTAGTAAAGGTCGACCCTAAAAATGCACACCTCGCCTTATCCCACGGATATCCGTCTCCGGCGGTAAGGTCTCAATAAGTACGGAGCTAACACAAAAACTACCCATAAAAAGGTCGTGTGTGACCGACCTCAAGCAGTTGTCCCTTGGGCGCTGCGGTCATGCTCCCAGGTCACCAAGACCACTTCCAATCCGATTTCCTTTTCAGGTACCTCCAGAAGAACCCTTCCACGGTGTGGGCAACCGGGAAGTGATAACCGCCCTCATACCTCTAACAGCACTCAAGACCACTGTATTCATAATCAAACTTCCTCTTCAATTCCTATTATTCCTCATTCATCGACTTTCAACCCTAAATTTCCTCTCTCGGCTTCCTGCTCAAGTGTCACCATAGCCAACGATTCTAGTGCTCAAAACACTGTCCCAGGTCTACTGAAACCTCGCTCCAAACTACACATTGGAGCCTTCAACGTACGCACCTTATGTCAAATCGGTCAACAGGCTTCCTTGGCTAAAACCCTAGAATCTCGTACCATTGATGTGTGCTGTGTCTCCGAAACACGCATACAGGATCCCAATGTGGTTATTCACTTGACCTCACCTCGGCAAAACGGAGAGCCAACGAGATACACCCTCCGTGTATCTGGCGACCCGATGGCCAGTTCTCGTGGACTGGCAGGTGTATTATTATTATTGTTATTATTATTATTATTATTATTATTCACAAACATCTTTTGGGTACATAAGTGTTGTTGTAGGCATAGCACTAAGCATGAGGGCCGAACAAGCACTGTTAGAGTGGATCCCCGTCAACAGTCGTCTATGTGCTGTTCGGCTAAACGGCTCCGTAAGAACTCGGAAGGATAGGGACACACGTCGTTGCCTTTTTGTCGTTTCTGCCTACGCACCCACCGACTGCAGCTCAGATGAAGTGAAAGATGAATTTTACAGAAAGCTATCTGAACTTCTTCAGAAAGCTAAACGTTCAGACATAGTACTCGTAGGAGGTGACTTTAATGCACAGATAGGTAGTTTAAACCAAACAGAAAGGCATTTAGGTGGATATTTTAGTATTCCGACACAGTGAACAGATAATGGTGATCGTCTGCTGCAACTATGCTCAGACAATCGTTTATTTCGAGTAAACACAAATTTTAAGCATAAGGAGAGACATCGTCTAACATGGCGACCCCCTACACCAAACCAACGATGGACTCAAATAGACCATATTGCCATCAGTCATCGTTGGAAAGGGTCGGTACAAGATTGTCGCTCATTCTGGAGTACCTGCTTGGACTCTGACCATGCCCTAATACGGGCACGCATCTCCTTGCGCCTCACTGGACGTAAAAAAGCCACATTAAAAAGACCCGTTAGAACTAAGTTCAGTGACGAGAAAATTAAAAGTAGGTTCCAGGAACAACTGAGGTCACACTTAGGTAGTTCTGAAAACGAGGCTGACCCAGATATTGCTTGGAAAGGCATACAATCAGCTGTGGAAACAGCAGTGACATCTATTAGTGACTTAAACCAGAGTTACAAAGAACCAGTGGATTTCTTGAAGGTCTATCACACTGATGGACTCTCGCAAACTCGTCCCATCAGGTTCCGAACATGATGAAGAGCGACAACAAATCAGATCTAGGTTAAGAAAAAGTCTAAGAAACGACCTTGAGCAGTGGTGGGTAACGAAAGCAAAAGAGATGGAAAAGGCAGCAGCTATAGATAACACCAGACAGCTCTACAGAATAATAAAAGAAACTGGAATTATTAAGTCAAGTGTAAGTGAGATTATTTCGGAAAAAGACGAAACTCTCATCCGCTCCCAGTCCAGACGTTTAGAACGATGGGCGGAACATTTGTACTGGCCCTCAGCTACTCTACAACTACCCTCCATGCCCAGACAGTGTGAATGGAACATTGAAGTAGGTCCCCCAACTCTTGCTGAAGTTCAAAAGGCTATAGATAATCTGAAACGAGGAAGGGCAGTTGGTCTAGATGGATTGGCTCCAGAAGTCTTTAAGGATGGTGGTCCAATTTTAGCGATTAGGTTGACTAATATTTTAGCTGAAATCTGGGAGTTAAACGTTATCCCATCTGACTGGTCGCAATCACTTATCGTCCCAATATATAAGAGAGGGTTAAAATCATCCTGTGAAAACTACAGAGGGATTAGTTTAACAAATATAGTATCTAAAATACTAGCCTCGATAATTATCAAACACCTAACTAAGACTCGTGAACTGCAAACATGAGAGAACCAAGCTGGCTTCAGACCTGGTCGTGGCTGCATCGACCACATATTCACCATTCGTCAGGTTCTAGAACATAGGCATACTTATCGGTATCCGACAATAGTGGTCTTTCTTGACTTAAAAGCAGCATTTGACTCGGTAGACCGCGAGATTCTGTGGCAGTGTCTGTCATTGAAAGGCGTACCCCAGAAGTACATAAACCTTGTAAAGGCTCTTTACTCGAACACTACTAGTCGAGTGAGAGCTTATGGCGAACTGTCATCTACTTTTGCAACCTCAAGTGGTGTCCGTCAAGGCTGTCCACTTTCTCCATTTCTGTTTAACTTCATCATAGACCTATTCATGGAAATAACACTCTCGTCGACTGAATTCTCAGGTATTGATCTTTCTTTCTACGAACTAATTCTTGCTGTACTATATCCTTATTGCAATCTTTCTCCTATATATTAACACCTTTTACTTAACCACTCTTATGAATCCGGTGTTCATCTTGCTGTGCTAATGTGGTATGGTAACCTGGACCGATGCACATATGTGCCTGGTCTTACGTTGTAGCTGACTGAGTGACTGTTGATTAGTTAAAATTGATTTTAATCAGAGAACGGGGTTATTGTGGATATTACAGTAATTTAGTAGTTGAAATCATGAGTCACGATGTTAAACCTGGATGGCCATTTCGTTCTATTGTGAGACTCCTCAGCAGTGTGTACCCACGATCCCGACTTGCGACACTCAAACCCAGGACCTGTCAGTCTCGTACACGAACGCTTAACCACTAGATCACTGAGATGACCGGCATCCAACGGTGTTAATGTCTAACTTCAACCAATCCACGAAATCGAGCGACACATATACCATTGTCATCTGTGAGTTACTATCTTACAACAGACTCGGTTGAACTCCACGGCTGTCCAGTGCTTCCATGTTTTCCATGGTGATCTAGCTTCAATTGACTCATGAATTCAACTATGAAAATCGATTTCTTTTGAAAAGTACTGTTTTTTTAATTTATATAAAACTGGCTTTTATTATTATGCAGTCGTCACACGAAGTACAAAACCCACAAATTATTTACTCAAAGATGAAAAATTGAACACCGTACTTTATTGCTAAATTACATCGGTTACTTCATTATTAGGGTACAATTTACAGGGTTACCTGGATTATGAGGTATTTAAAGTAGATGCAAATGTTAAGCTAGTTCAAAATGTTGTCGAACTTCATCCACCTAGGTAGTACTGTTATGAACGAGGACACAGGTGGGGAAAAACCAATGTACTTTAACACATAATTACAGAATATTTCTGGTAAAATATAAAAACAATACACTGAATACTTCATTTGCAAATTCCTACTATTTATCCTTCACACTCTGTAAGTCTTCTAATTCACAATTCCTTTATATTTACCTTTATTTTTCCTCCAATTTGATCTTCTTAGTCTTTTGCTGCCAGGTTTTCTACTTCCGATTGGTGTCACATACTACTTACGTCGGTCGACATAAGTAGGTTACATCACAGTACAAGCATGCATTTTGTATGTCTAGCCACCAATTAACGAAATTCTCAATGCTGAATAAAAGAGTGTAGACCAAGATATGGTCGTCGTTGACTGTTAGATTAAGCTGTATCAGAAGTTAGATTTCTCAAAACAATAGTAACCCTTGGTTAGCTTCTATAACTGATATACCTTAGAAATGGTCTAAGCAGCATCCTTGCACTAACTTTTCATAATCCTTTGCATTTTGAGTTTTGTCATTATTTTATAATTTTCATCCTCCGAAAATTGGAATTCTTATTTTCGAGTCACATAGTCTGTTCCTGTCAATTAGTCAGTCGTACGCATCATAGAACCAGGCACACATGCACACCAGTCCAACCTATTACACTACACATCAGTACAGTAACGTGATAAAGTAGTAGGAAATATTAGCTAGCCCTAGCTTTTTTAAACTTACATCTACATCAGTCATCACAGCGTACAGACGTAGGCGGCAATTGGGCATACGCAACACATGTCCCAAAAACCTCATTCGATGAAAATTTATCAAATTATTGATGGACTCGCAGTTTTTGCCTAGTGTTATACATCCAACATTAGAAATACCCACATGATGGTTTCAATAAACGCCTGTGATTATCGGAAAGTATTTATTACTAAATACTAGTAACCTGAGAATATTCTCTATTTCTAAAGGTCTCATTTACGTACTTACAACCATTGATATTATTAAACTAGCCTATCAAGATTTCATCTAGTTAATTCTCTCGTCTTTAGATGACCTCATAAACATTTCAATAGTCGAGATCATGAGTCGTGGATGCGCATTATTGAGGAGTTTCACAATAGGACTGAACGGCCGACCAGTGCCTTCAGGTTTTCCATGGTGGTCTAGCTTCAATCGATTCATGATCTCAACTATTGAAATTACTACCATTTCCACAAAACCCGTTCTCATCATAAATATTTATTTCACTATTTTCATGACTGACTGACTAACAATATTTGCTAAATTATCAAAGCTTTTTAATTAATTGAAAAACTAAACCTTAAGATTTTTTAATTAAACTGATTTTACGGATTTTTAAGCAATGTAGTTGAATGTATTATATAACTTTAGTCAGAGAAGAAAAGCTATTAACTAGGTTATATTGCTTTAAAAACCTGTAGTGTTTCGAAGTGTAATGTGTGCTTATCTACTTGATTCATTGATTATTTAGTTTCCGAATAAGTGGATCAAATCTGAACAACAAGGTAAGTACAAAGATCGCTAGGTATCACAACGCATCAAGCGACAACTGGGAGAAACAAGAGAATGGTGAGAGACAGGCAAATCTACGTACTTCCAACAACATAGTGATAGGCGACACAGTATTTTCCCCAAAACGCTACAAAAAGCTACATGGATTTCATCGGATTACACTACGGAAAACCAGATTGATCACTTCTGCATAAACAACATATACAGAAAGTTAATGGAAGACGTTGGCAAATAGAGAAGAGCTTATATGGATTCACACCACAACCCAATCGCAGTAAAACAGAAACTGAAGCAGAGGAATAAGACAACTGAACAGACAACAATACAGCATTCCTTCGAGATGAAAACAAGACAAGTACAGCTAAAACAGTTCACAAGAACAGGTTCCGATACCTACGACATCTACTAGAAGAAATGGAAAACTCTGTGAAGAGCAATCAGCGAGAGATGAAGGGAGTAATAACTTCAAAATGTCACGAGGTTATGTGTCCAACAAGCACTGCAGTAATGAGTGAATCTCTGTATATAACTTGGTTAAGATTGAAGAAAAAATAAACAAGAAGACAGCAATCTACAACAACCGGACGAAAGTAAAAAAGGCCAAAGAACAGGTTGAGTATACAGAAGCAGATAAACGAGTGAAGGAGAGTACAAGAGCCGGTGAGCAGAAACAATAGTAACAGACCAAGCAAAAACAAAATGAAAATCTGCAAGAGAAGGAAATATGTGGAAATGTTATGACAAAACTAAGAAGCCTAGAGCGAAACATGATAGACCAGAGTGACCAGTCATGAACAAAAGAAGAAGATCGATTAGTGTGGTCTCAGGGAAGCGAAATAGGTAAGTAGAATAGTGTGAAGAGCTCCCGAATAAACTAGTCCCCCCTGAGACCACCGGATGTCGAAGCGGCATATGAAGACCTTCTTATAAATGTTAACCCACCAACAATGTAAGAAACCAACAAGACCATGAGACAACTCAAGTGTGTGAAAGCGGCAGAATCAGACAGCATCACTTATAAGAAAAGAGGAACTGGTGCAGATGTGAAGACACGAGTTGTAAAGTGAGGGTAGGATTCCTACAATTGAAGAACATCTGGAACTCAAATAAACTGTCATACAACACTAAATTTGATAAGTTTCAAAACCAATATTGAAACAGTTCTATTGTACGGAGCTGAAACTTCGAAAACTGTCACAATCGTCATCGAAAACGTACACTTGTTTATAAATAGCTATTAAAGACATTCCAGATCCATTGGCTAGACACTCTCAGAAATAATCTACTCTGACAGTGAACAAACCAGCTTACAGCTAAGGAGGAAATTACAGCCGGAATGCATGATGCAATAGACTAAAATTAATCGCTTGAGCCTCAGAAAAGAAAATTGATTAGAAGCAAGTAATAACTTAATTAGATGAGAAACGATAAGTTTTACTTTAAACAATGGACAAAATGTCTCGCCGATCATCATAGATAAATGAATGTTCGTCTTCAAAAATTAGTGCACGATGGTTACACATTTTTTACAAAAGTACTTACATATCCGACTTAAACATGATACAGAATAATTAAATCGATCTGTGTAATTCATATCCAAACCGTGTGAAAGAAGTTGTAGAACACGATTCAGTTCGGCCCGACCAGATAAGTAAGTGAAGGCTTTTAAATGACTTTGACGAACAGACGGTGAAACATGAGTGTAAGCCGGTTTGTATGAGGACTAAAGTAGTAAAAAGAACATACACAGTTAAATAAAGTGATAACAATATGAAATCGTAATTGTGTTTGGAAAATAGTACATTCATATAAGCCTAGTATTGTTGTCTAAGAGAGCTGACAACCAACAGTGATGAGCAGGAAACTTGAGAGCTTTCTAGCAAAGGATGTACCTATGATCAATTAGGTAGCATCTATGATCGCGCTGTCAAACTACTGAAGTAGAAGTTTCATATCGGTCTAGAACACTTCAAGTTCCAGACTCGACCGACAGAACTCACCTGTCCGTAAGCATGAGACAAAATGAAATTAGGTAAATAGTAATCAATAACCGGTATTATTAGGGTTTAAAACCTAAATCTAGAGTAAAACATTAATTAATTTAAATAAACACATTCACCAAGTACTTGGGTATGAAACACGCTTTTAGTGTAAGGGTTAATGCCACTACCCAGTCACCCTAAACTAAAGTAGGTAGATTGGGTTCGAACCACGAACTTAATGATCGAAAGTCAATAAATTATTTTCTTGTTAGAATACTTTCAGCTACACTAAATGCCATAATTATAAAACCAACCTTCGTCAATTGTCTGCGAAATTCAAAATAATGGATATTTAAAAAGAAAATGTATCAGTGGTTTAAAGGCTGGTCACATCTGCATTCGACTTAGTTCGCATACACCATATATTTTTTATTTTAAAAAAAGCTGTGAGTCCTATAATTTTGCCTGTAACTGTTCTAGAGTTATTGCCGGTCCCAAGCACGGGTAAAGGAGGAGGGTTAGGCATGGGGTCAGCAACCCCATCCCGCAGAAAAAATCTTGCTAAAAAACACCAACGAGATTAAACAAATTAAATATTTAAACTCTGCCCTCCTAGTCGAAGGAAGAATTATGACGTATCATGATAAAAGCCGAGATTCTTCGGAATTCATGAGGCCGATGCTCTTTCTAGCAACCAGAGCAACAATTTTTATAGGTACATGGAATCTTTGGACAATGTGGGAGACCGGTAGGACCAGACATATATCAACAAAGATGAGGAGAGATTGCACATGCGCTATTAATAAACTATGATGACGGAGAAATACAACATTATATTCTCTGATAACAATAAAAAAGGTAAATAAATACACATGAATATGCCACTGATAACACCCACAGACTTCCACAAACGTTATAACAATTGTGGTTTTTGAAGGGAAGTGAACATTTTAGTGAAACAATTATCGAATAAGGCAAACATCTAAATCAATTGACTACCTTTTGAAAAATTCGCTTTTTCATTGTAAGCCTTTCAGTAGTATCATTCACATATCTATTAGAACTATGATTGTTTGGTTTATGATATTTAAGTGTATCGTTACATTTATCATTATCTACATCTGATGATGACGAGGATGAAGATGATGTTAATAAGTCGTCTTCTTCACCTTCGCCATCATCATCATCAACTATTTCACCTTCATTTTCTTCTTTCATTTCCTTATCACCAACTTCTGCATCAATGTCATCATTATCATAATATTCATCATCAATACCGTCCTCTAATTTATCGGGATCTTCGTTGACAGAATACACACTGGACGACGATGATGGTCCACGTGGATACAACGGAAATCTAACATAAATTAATGATTGTACTGAATAGGTTAAAGCGTGCAATGGTCGAGTGAAACGTAACGGCATTTCCAGTTTAGTTAAACCCGATTCAAGATTATTAAGTAAACATGGCATAACACGGCTAGGACGTAGTTTACATAACAGTGGAATAATTTTCACTGTGGTATTTACTACAGCATCAGATTTTGAATATAAAAAGTAATTTAAACAAATTGGTGAAAATAAATCAACAATTTGATCAACTTGTTCCATAGACAGATAAAACTGAAAAGAGAAAACAAGATAAAAATATACATATACGTCATAATGACAAGAAACTGTGAACTAGCAAGATGAAATACAGTGACGAAACTCAAATACGTGTGACCAATTTAAGACCCATTGTTTTTTATTCCATATGTAGCCAACGATTACTATTCAGCTGGTTAAACTAAGGAATCTGATGCTGTGAGTTCGAATCTGCAAAGCAAACATTAAGTGCTGGGGGGTTTGACTCCCAATCAACTGCTAAACATAACCAGATTTGAAACTTTGTTTTGAGTAAGTTTCAACTAAAAAGCCATACTATATGTTATGTCAGTGTTAATATATGCTTCTAAAACGGTAATAGCTGATATATCCGCTTAACATATAAAAAGATAACGACGAAATAAGCATCAATAGGAAAACATAAATGACACTGCTTTGATTCTTTTCAAATATAGTAATACAAATATGAGATGAAAGTAATGATTGAAATTTTTTCCTCACGGACTGATATTTCAGAATTAATCTTACGTGTGCGATATCCGATTGTGATGCTGATACGCCAGCTAATTATACCCAAGTCCAACCGATCACTTGGGTGAGAAAATTTTACTGGCTAAACCGAATCGAGAGATATCTGTACACTTGTTCACATATATTTCTACCCCTAGAATTTTAAGCCATACGTTCAACCAGCGACGTGGTCACATTACCTAGTACAGTCAAACCATGGTTAATAGTGTGAGCATATTATTTGACCGATATCTGATTGACTGATTGGTTAACACAGTGTAAATTAAACAGCTATTTTGTCTTAATTTGGAACTCACGGAAGTGTACACCCACGACTTCTCTAGAGGTTGAATGGACGACACTCAGAACCTTGACTGTTTTTACATGAGCGTGTGTGTGTTCGCGTATCGCTTACTCCATTTATTACAAGTCTTTAGCTCGTTTTTGTCTGGCTGTAAATATTGTATCACGCATTATCAAAAGTAGTTGGTACAGTTGTATTATCCGTCTCGCTTAGCTCTCCCGCTTCTCATTATTAATTTCTGAATAGTCTGAATAAACTATTGTATGAAATAAACCGGTCCAGCTTAATCTGCATTTGGTTTTTTATTATCTCCACACAAAAGGTTAACCTAAGTGTAACATAATTAAATGGAAGATCTATATTCTTGGAGTATTCATACACCCGTCCAAATCGGAGTCAGATCTCGGGCCACTAAACTGGTGAGCCGACATAAGAGTTAAATAAATTCTTTGAATTTACTAAGACATAATCTGTTGTGACATTACGAAGTAAGAATGAGTTCGTATGAATAAAAAGGCACATCAGATACATGCTTCTTTTGATCTAAATTGCATTGGGAACATTGAGGTTGAGGTGGCGGCCTGCTTGAATATCTGGGCTACCTGTTCCTCCGATCTACATATTTCATCAAGTTATCTGTTTTAGTTGCTTGTTTTAGCCCATCAATATGTCTATTGTGCTCACAATCTATTCAGGCGCGTTTATGAAAAGTTTACAACCTTTCGCTATACGGGATACAAAAAGGTACAATCAGTGACATTATGGTGGCTGGCAATATGCATTGAAACGAATGAACATTAATCAAATGTAGATTACCGAACTCCTAAAATCTAACTGATCATCATTCAAAATCTATCGTCACAATCGTTCAAGATATAACAAAAGGAAACGTGTTGAAATACTTTATGCTGAGAATTCTATGTTGTACCAAAAATATAATGTTCAATAAAGCTTCTAATAATAAATAAAATAATAAATTAATTACAACCTTTCAATGAAACTTTAGGGACCCACCTTGAATGCAGATGCGACAAATGAAAAAACTGTCATCAAATTAAACTGATCTTAAAAACGCCCTTAACTTTGACTGATAAGTCGATGAATGAACTTAAAAATATTTTAACGCTAAATGGAGAATTTAAAATAAATTAAAATGTTCGAATGGGAAAAGAAATGCATCAAGTCGGAAACTGATGGAACTTATTGTCCCAGTGTCGAGAACACCCAAAAACACTTTCACTAATGATAAAAGTTGAATGTTTGCTCTCTCGCAAAAAAACTTCACCATAGTTCTAGAAACCCAATCCCGTAAAAATACCCTCTGTTCTTCTTCTCTTGACAGATTAATAGATTTTTTCGCTGTTTCTTGCTCAATGACTTTTATCAACTACACAGATAGTTGTTTTGTGTAATGTTGTTGGTTTTATTGTCGACGGTGAGATTTTTCTCGAAAACGTCAGTCTTCACTCACTGCACGTGGTCATACACAATGTTTAAATCGTTCTCGCTTCACACCTCATTAAGTTCAGAGTTGTTGTGTTATGTTTGTGTAACTTTTTAAAGCAGAAGATAGATCTTCATCCCATTAAGCGTGGAATTTACCATAACATAACATCATTTCGACCAGTTCGTAAGCAACATCTTAAATGATAGAAATTGAGAGCGCAATTGAAGCATAACTTAGATTTGTAAATAAATCAAAACTAACTGCTTAAGAATATGAATAACAGTACGATCTTAGTACTTCTGATGTTATAAGTCTACAAGATGTAGATGTAACTAAAACACTAACATCATTTTCTCGTTTACTGTTTACAAAGTTATTCAATTCGTAAATTACCAGGTGTAAAAGTGGCCAAAACTTCGTTAAAAATAATAATGCGGTAATGAAAACTATGGCTATAATAACAGAAAGCCACTAGAATAAACTAAACGATCCGAGACTAAAGAAAGAAAGATATCGCCAATAAAGTTTTCCAATACATACTTCCGGGAGTGAAAACAACAATGAATCTTCTTTGATTAAAAATTAGAATATAACTTACCTCAGGCGGTGTGTAGCCTAAATCCAATGCTTCAACTGGTGGAAATAATTCATCACGTAAACGACTAATTAAACAACGTAGAAATTTCAATATAAAACAGCTTAACAATTTCCCTGCCTCAATTTGACTCGATGATGGATGATAGAATGATTCAACAGACTACATATATATATATATGAAATAAAAGTATTTAAACGATATGAGGAAGTAAGTTGTAACAAAATAGCATAAACATTATTATTATTATTATTATTATTATTATTATTATTATTATTATTATTATTATTATTATTCAGAATGAATATCACTTTCGAATTCACAAAATCATCGTACTGGCAATCATCATTTAATGCGACTCATCTATTACGGGATGGTGTAATCGGTTTTGAGTAAGTCAAGCATCGTTGTTAGTAAACATTAAGAATTTACAAGAAATCACTGAGTATCAACTTGAATGGAAACTATTTTTTAGAGACGAAAAGGACTAAATACAACCATACACTAGTTAATCAAAAGTAAGGTCATTATATGTGGTTAAACAAGTGACGAAAAACCATTCATCGAAACATAAAAAGAAAATAATCACATAGTATAGTGAACTTTTGACCTTCTGATTAGATCTTAAATGGGTTTTGATCTCAGACTTACACTACTTGGATTAACACTGAAAAACATGAAACCGTTCAATAGAGTTAATTCGTCAAAATTTGAGACCCCTGAACACAGTATACATCTACAATCTCATAAACAACCAGACTCAAGATGTTTGTATCTTACAATCAAAACGGATATTTCAGACTGCTGGCCAATGAGCTAGAAGCTTCGAATCATACTGCAATGTGGTCTACATAATACTATTTGACAGTTTATTTCGCTGTTATACATGTCAACTTTTAACATTCAACCATTTTCGTATAGTTTTTAGACAGTTTTTGGACAAACAATAACAAGTTACATAGAATAGTAAAAATATTGGTTTTCCATTCAAAATCAATCGCAATGAATAAATCTTAATTCTTTATTTAATTTTTTAAAAATTATCTTTATATTATATTGAATGTATATTGAATATATACATTTATGTGGGATAATACCAATAAATCCTATACACATGACTATCTTTTGATTAGAAACACAAAACAAAAGATTATGCAATAAACTGATTTTTTTAATGAGAAAATAACTGATATGCATACAAACTTTTAATAATTGCTCCAGTCGATATAATACTGATGAATGACAATCTGAACGATCAGGACCAATGGTATTCATGATTAGTTCAGCGTAAAATTCTATATCTTCTATTTTTAGTAATTCACCATGTACTGGCTTTTTATTTAAAGTGATAGCTCTTGAAAGACCAGTAAATATACGTTCCATATGTGGTTCCCAATCGATTCGTCCACGACCAATACGAGAAACATAACATAATATTCGGATAATTCCCTTTATTTTATAAAATGGTGAAGATATACTTAAAATATTACAGTTAAAACAAATGATGTTAATGATAGTAATAATTCTTCTGAATATTTTAGATGAACCAATCAACTATCTGTATATAAGTTTATTAAGCAAGACCTTTGTTACATTCACTAGTTGTGCACCAACTCAATCAATCTACTCCACTTTCGCACCGATATGATACTAATTTGTTCATATAGGTCGAGGGTACAACGTGAGGTATTGAAATTTCTCCTTTACATTATGATTCAATCAAATTTGCCATGGTACAACAGTAATTTCAGAGACATGTAAATACTTTTATCATACTTTTCCGCAACTTCCATATCAACTATCAATTGTCGATATTAAGATTGGACAAAAATAGAGGATGTAGTCAATTTCTGACAAGGCATAACGGAACGAAAGCATGGTTATCATAGCATAAAATATGTTGGCACTCTCTGACGATCCAAAATGAAAATACCTGGAGATCTCAGAATTTTGTGACCCGCCTAACGAATGGTGAACAATGATGCCATGTGGCTATTTAAAGTCTAATAGGTTAAATAAAAATCAAATCCTCGACCGAACACCGAAAGTTCGACTATTTAGATGACTGAACTACAGTGACAAATGTAATGTTCGTCAAGTAGATCCTAAATTTTGCACCGCACATAAAAACTTTATATGGATTAGTATTTAAACTGTACTAATAGGTATACATTGGTAATATAGAATCTTGAAGAATATTTGTATTCAACTGTTTATTTAACTTACACGAAAATTTCCTAATTCAGGGTGCATATACCACAAATTAAATATATCTGTTAACCAAACACGACTACAAATAATGGAAGAGTTATGAGAAAACAAAAATAATGAATAGGAGGCAAATTGGAAAATAACAATGAAAGTTATATCATCATAATAGTTGAATACTTCACACTAAAAATAATGGTCAAACTTAGAGTGAACATAGACAGTATTTTCTACGAGAAAAATTCAAAGCTGGATAAAGTTCCAAGTAGTCTTCTTTCTAATTTCAAGTTGTATAGCATGGAGGACGAACTGATATTATGTTTATCCCACTTACCACTCACATTCTTGCACCTTATATAGTATAATAACCCAGAAAAGATTTAGGGTGTATGCACATATGAAAGAATAATAAACAACTTCCGCAAGATATATTACAATTTGAGACAATCCGAAACACGTAACACTGCTTCAATAAATAAGTGTTTTATGGCTATTTAGTAAACAACGAAATTGAAAGCTATTGATGAATTTCAATATTCATGGTAGTTTTACCGATCAGATTTTTGACTCACCACTAATCAGAGAACCTCTTTTTCAAACTAATCAAAAACGAAAACTCTAAAGTACGAAATATGAAGATAGTGAGAAACTTGCAAACTCATCTTATGATATATTGGTTGAATAATGTTTGAGCCATATAAATATCAAAAGATGATTTTGTCTGATTCAACTTGATTCAATGGTTAAAACACTTGATTTTCAATCAGTAGGTCGCAAGTTCGAAATGCCCCCCGCTTACTTTAGTTTGGGCAGCCAGGTAATATCACAAAGCCTCACATAAACAAGTTGGCTCAAAACCGACTACATCGACATGTATATTAGTTAATGCCACAGAGTTTGCAACTCTTCAACAAAAGTCTAAACGGGCTCACTCCCACTTTAAATAGATGTCGATGGTATTATCTATAACAACCATAAAGTCATTTTAATTAAACCATCCAGCTTAAAGAAGGTAACAACACCGAAAATACCCACCTAAGCTACAAATCTCCACCACATTGAAGATAGAAATAGAATGATTATCGGAGCTAACTACTAAATAATCCAGATGTCTAGAAAAATATCATCATGATCAACAGCTTACTATGTTCAAAACCTTATGAAAAAATTCCAAATGCAGATGGAACATGAAGCATGTTTTAGCCATTATTTGACATAATTTTACAAAAGTTAAATATTCTTAAAACCAGTGGATCGATTCTTTAAAATGAATTCCTAAATAACTCAACTAATCTTCTTTATAGAAGTCATAATAAACTTGAGGATCTCTAGCTTCAGTGGTCGCACAAATTTGAAACACTGAAGATTAATATTACCAACGTGTAACACCATCAATATATATGATTTTTCAGCATAACACAAACGATAGTAGACACATCGACTTTTATACGGTTTCAAAAGCTAGCTTTATATTGAAGAACCAATAAGCATGTCAAGTAGTATGCTATCAGAAGAAACAAATAAAACCCAGTAATGATTTAACCTTGAGCAAAAGTGTAGTAATAAACTCTATGTACTAAATGCCTACCTAATCTCATCAAAGTATTTTGGATAAAATGGTGTATAAATTAAAAAATGACCCAAATATCTGATTGGCGCTCCAGTCAATATATCACTACAAATATGATGACGAAATTCTAACCAGATTTCTTCAATTGAACTTTTCGGAAAGAACCTGTTGAACAAAAAAAACATGGTTATTGAAATAATTATAACATGAATAATAGACAGTCAGTCAGTCACAGTCAATGAGTAAAACCTGATATGAATATGAAACCATCTAAATTGTTATATCTTAACAACATGTTTGATATGGTGGGACCTCAGGTAATCGGAGCCCAAACCAAGATAACTCAATTAGTTTGTTATGAGAGGCAAGAGTGATCGCTGCACCAAGATATCAGTGTTGCCTTCAACTAATCATTCACGATAAGTCCACTAACTCTGTTGTATTCTCAACATGATCTATAGGTCATGCAAATCTACAAGTTTCCTAACCTCTTATAAGAACATAAGTACAGTCTAGTGATCATAGATCCTTTAAATATTTAGTCAAATGATTTCGATGATTAAACAGGTATAGTACTGGACAACGATACACTGCAATTAGTAGGTCGTAATAGATACATAACTATGACATTTCATATGCAAAGCTGAGTAACAAATTTATGGCTGACCATAATTTATCAACAGTAAAACTATAGTCGTCGAAGGATGCAGCTTACAATAAAGGCTACATATACACATCAAAACAGTAGCTAACCACACTCCACAATACTATTTAGGCTTCTTTCGAACAAGCTGCTAGTAGTTGTTGGAATGAACAACAGATACACAACTATATAACCATAGATTAAAATAAAATAACTAAGAATAAAACAATTATTATGCAAACATGAAAATATTAATCTCCTTTATAATAGCTAAACAATGTATAAAGCATAATTTATTATAAGATGTTTATTATACTACTGATAACAAGAATTATAATTAAATAAAAAAATAACCACAGTTTCATACAGTACTTACTTTGAGCATAATACAGTGATCCGTTGTAATTTTGCAAATTCTGTTCTGTTTGATTTTCAATTTTTTTAATTAAGAGAAAAAGGAAAATGTTAAAATCGAATAAATAAATAAATGATCTTTCTTTAAGAAATCATAGAAGATAATTAAACTAAAATAAAAGTGTTATAATCTCTTCTTACGGTTATGACCCAGCTAATCCTATTGCTTAGTATTCTCGGACACCGATTCACCCGACAAGTCCCCAAATCAGAACACGGTTGAACAGGAAAGAGATTACATCCCAAATAACAAGATTAGATGGAAGCAAGAAGCCAGTAGGAAGCACAATAGGGAAAAACGTCAGTATATTTATAGTTTTTACATGAGAAGATTCTAGAGTATTCTCCAACTATCACTAGTGCTGATTGGAACAAAGTTGCTTAGTAGTATATCGAATGTTCTAAAGAACACCTCGATGTTCCATTAAAGTACTCTGTTAATTTCATCTGTCATTTATTTTAAAAATTTTGGTTATGTTCATTAGTCCCACTTTCTTCTCTTTTTCACTTGTCATCAACGTGTGTGCCCTTCTTAAAAAGCTGAAGACAACTGATACTTTTTCAATGATGGAGTGTGAGGATTTCGAAACCTTAATATTCGTTCGAGTGCGTTGCCTTTCCGAAAACAATCACATCAAAATATCCATTTTTATCCCTTCTATAACTAGGCAATCCAGAAAAGGTAATATACCATTGTCTGAATCCTAAGTAAATCTAATATCGGGTGATTCATTATCTAATTTATCTAAATTATCGAATTTCATCAATGGCTCTAACACTAAGATGTTTATTTCCAAAGTTATGTACAAAAACTCATAATTGAAATGTTTTATATACCTCACTCAAATCGAATACGAACTGTACGACCTTAAGTCTTCAATTACGAATTATGTCTGTTTTGAAAATTACAATCAGAAAGCCTGAACCTAAGACTACAAATCAAAACGCTAGTCAATGATTGTGATGACTGATACCATATTTTAATTGAATCATAACCTTTAGCCTTTGTTATATTTACTCCAACCTTAACCATAATAAATTGCGGTGGTAAGTCGCATGAATAACACGAGTTCCAACAAACTCAATAAATGAAGAATTTTCACTTCATTAAACAAACAACTCTCTTAGTTAATACATTTGACCCGATATTTTTACTGGGCAGTTGGTAGTTCCAACATATATCCTCTACTTTTAAAGACATTATTTCACAGCTGTAAGGTGGAACCTTTGAGAATCGATTAATCACAAATATATACATAATTGTCCACCGAAAAGAAAAACTACAAATTAGGGGTTAATTGGAATCAGCTGAATAGCATAAACCATTTAAATATCCACCAATAAAATTCATGATACGCTAATACCTAGTGATGAAAAACACGATATTTATTAAGTTATGTGTATAGATTTGATCGAATATTCGTGATAAACAAAATAAAATGTATATTTATTGTTTTGTTGTTATATTTATTATAAGTCATGTGTTTATTTATCCATTATTATAAATATATGTTTATCATATCCTATAACAATGAAGAAAGGATAAACAACATTCAATAATAAAACTGTGTAAATTTGAAATTGCTAGATTTCGATAAGTACAGTTGACTACTTTTTAATTTACAAAAAATAATCAGCTCAACAGATTTTTAATTGAGATGTGAATGGTCTACAAAACTATTACTAATTAATCGTTTATTTGTTAAATGACGTAACTAATTATGTTTACTTTTGTGATCAAAACTAGACTAAAAGACCTATTCTATTGATCAGATCTTTTTTGATACTGATTTATTTGAGTGTTTGTATCAATAAATCTGTCTTGTAAACAGTTGAAAATCAGGAAACATTGTGTCGTTGCACTGTTGACACTATTTAAGAGAGCTCATCATTCATTAAAATCCAACGTTATCCTTCATTTCAGTAATTTGCATGATTAACGAATAATTTACTTATGTACTAAGTAAAGATTTATGTACTCAGCTTTGAGGTATATTTTACTTGTATGGGAGGACAAGTGATACTACCTGGTTGCGCAAACTAAAATAGGCGGAGAGAGGAGTGAACCTGCAATAAAACGGTAGAAAGCTGAGTGATTTACCTGTTCCATAACATAAGAATAGTCAAAACCAAGCAAACAATGGATCATTGGTTCGTTTAATGAATTTTTACCACTTTTTTTATAACAATATCTTAGAAAATAAAACTAATTCCCTTTCATCGTGCAAAATATTTCATTGGGACTATTCAAACCTAGAAGCAAAAATCTAACGCAACGCCCCAAGTATTAGTAGAAAGTCAAAATTAAAGATGAAAAACACACATGTTATCATGCCAACAGTAAGCTGTCAAGAATTAAAATCCCAAAATAAAGATATTGAAGAGTATTCTAGAAAAAGTAACCGTAATTGATGCAATAGGATATAATTATGCATACACAAGGAAATATCATCAGTGAAGGTGGACAAGGAAACAGAAAGTTCTCAACAGCAGGTGTATTATTTAGGTGCTTCATAAAACCGTTGGAAATTAATTCAAAAATACAATAAGCTTACCATCGGAAATGAACGTTTTGCGTTTAATACTAAAAAAGTCAAGATTATGTATTGCTGATAAAGCTCTAAACCAATAGTAACGAATGGATTCCCAGTGTTCTCTCGTCTGTAGTAATCATTTGATTGGTTTATGTGTTCTTCCAATTAAGTAGTAATAAACTAGTCATTCTGATAGCATTATGGTTGAGTGAACAAATAATAATTACTATAACTTACTTAGACAGTTGAATTAAGTGAAAATTCGCTTGCCACGCATCATCAATCCATTCTCGCATATCAAAGAAGTTTTTCCAGTTAATAGACAAGGTTGATGATGGTAGTGAATATGATTTACTGCACAAAAGAGTCAAATGAGAAAATTATACACTATAAACAATTAAATATTAATTTATAAACACCACAAATGTGGTATGAGATGTCTGTCTACCTATTTAAAAGCAATGATACTGAAGTATATGTCGTTATGCGTTATTTCACAACTGTGAAACCATGATACATTAGTTCGTTCTAAGCATTTAATCATAAGTGTATGAGAAACATTACTTGCATATGGTGGAAGCACCAGGTGAGTAATGCCGAGGTATTCTTAGGGTTTAAGAAGAAAAGGTAAGTTGGTTAATGAAGCTGTAAACCATCATCAAAACGGATAATTGAGACATACGTTAAGCATGACTAATAATGGCCTACCTTGACGTGCAATTGTGGCTAGATTGGAAACCAACAGAGATCAAACCAAGATATCATATCAATCCTTGAAGTTATTTTTGCTGATCTATGGTTTCAGGAAGTGCAAACCTTCAGGTTAGAGATGGCACGATAATCACAATCTATGATTAAAGAACTTGGGAGATAAGGGGTAAAAACCAGTTACAGAGACTTAGTGTAACTTATCATCTGTTTACACTTAAATCTTGAAATTATTCTTCGATCGTGTCTGTTTCTTTAGAATTATGTTCTTTTAATATCCACCTTTTTCTCGTTTTGTCGATTTTTTATATCGCTATAACGATGTGATATGTTATAGCCTGAATGGTTACGAATTCATGGCACGTTCGTAGTTGTCTACGACAGAATGACCAACTCAATATTATAAGTAATATCTGTAATGCACATAATTAAAAACTCACTAATTATAGGTTAATCATCTATACCTACGACTGAAGTCAGTCAGTCAGCTACAACGTGGGACCAGGTACACATACGCCTCGGTCCAAGTTGCCATACCTCATTAACATGACAAGATGGACACCGGATTCATAAAAGTAGTTAGTTCAGAGATGGTAATATATAAAAGAAAGATTGCATATGAGGATATGGTACAGGAAGAAAGAATTAGTTTGTAGAAAGAAAGATATGAAGCGACTTTAATCTCATAGTTTAAGGGAAGATAGAGAGTGTATACACCTATGTCATTGCGATCGATTCTGAGCCATGTCACCCATAGTCTTCAACCATTGGTTACGATAGTCGTGCAGACCCCAACCGAGTAGTCTGCATCCACCAACATGGCTCAGACTAGAAGTTAGTGACTTTAAGCACTGATGCCACGTTTTCGTTTGGTCGCCCCTAACTTTCTTCCAACCATCTCCAACACCGGTTAGCATTGCGCGTCGTGGTAATCAGTGTTCGGGCATACGTAACACGCGGCCTACGACTGAATAAAAATTTTAAGTGATTGAAACACTAAGTACTTGAGTAAATGCATATACACGTATATACTCATACCTCATCAACTTGTTTAAAAGCTCTAACGCATTGAATATAACCTGCGTATCAATATTTGGACAACATATATAAGCTACAGTTAGACGAATTAAAGCAATGCGCTGTATTTTGGATAAACGCATTCCAAATATATTGATAAATCTAGAGGGATAGAGATAAAAAAGGAAATTTCATTGATTATGATTAAACATTAGGATGATTGCACAATCTAAACAATAATGTATATTCATAGGTAATACAATGGATGCGGTAGTAAAAGTTGGTCGGTTTTTTGCAGCTTCCTCTCATTAATCATTGTTGAGCTGATGAAGCATACTACGTTAGCTAAATATCTCGTATAAAGATAAAAAAATAGATTCTCTAGTGGTAAATTCAGCCAGTTAGTGATTCCGTTTTAGAAAATCTATTCGATTTGAATGGGTTATCGGGAAACTTATCAGTGTGGTCATATCGACTAATCTGTAAATTCGATTCTGCAAAGTATTTCTGTAATGATGTGTGTCCTTCAGACTGACATAGATGAGTTAAGTTTAAATCTATGAACTACCTTATTGTAGCTTACTTACCAAGTACATGTTTATTTGCCCAGTTTTAAGCGATACCTTGGATGCATGGGTGGTAGAGACACTACTCGGATGCCCAAACTGAAGTAGATGGAAAGAAGTTAGGGCCCGAAAATAACTGGTTGAAAGCCGAGTGGTCCAACTACTAAGCTACCACCCCAATGTCTAGATTATTATTGTGTACATTTAATTTGAGGTGGCTATCACATAACAGAAATTCGTATCGCTTCTCAGCAAATTAAGTCCTTTTGAATTATCTCACTAAAAGGTGATCTAATTAATAATTAAATATTTCCTGTACAAGCGGATGAAAGTTGGTTATTACGGATCAAAACACATACGTTTCCTCGAAAAGTTTCCAAATATACATCGTGGATTAAGAACCAGATTAATAAAATGACCATCAAATGTAATAGTATCGACATAACTAACCTTTGGATAGTAGTAAATACTGGATTAATTTCACACATGATATCACCAGACGATAAAACATCACATAACCATTGTATAATTGTATTCCATTCATCGTGTATAACTTTATTTAAATTATGCGGATGAATAGGAAACAAACGATCACTGCGTCTGCGCATGGACCCCGATTGAATTAATTTCATCTTAAAAGAATATTCTTCAAATGCGAAAAAGTTTTAAAGTGTCTCTTTCTTCATAAAATATTATTTGCCCTAAATTGAGAAAAAAGGCAGAGATATACTGCAAACTTTGTCAAACAATTTTGCTTCTCTAAGGAAAGCGCTAATAAAACGAGTCATACGATTGTAAACACATTCCTTCAATACATTCGCTATTTGTGTAAGGAAATAATGATAGAAACCCACAAACTATAGAGACCGAACCACTAACCCCAAAGGTAACTGAAATTATAACACTAAAGTCATAAAACTTGATAAAAGGACATGAAATCCTAATACTTTTATTAGCCCACAAGTATCGGTCGGATAGGATGGGAAGAATAAACGAGATAGTATTCTCTCTTAGAACTGTTCGTGCCTCAGAAGCATTGAGACAGGAGCCGATTTCTTCTGTACATTGAGTTTTGTTCTACAGAGAACTACGAAGTCTGATACAAAAGTAAAAGCATAAATCCAGCCGTAACTTAATTACACATCAAAGATAAACCTATGATTAATATTTACAGAATGTAGAAGTGAACATCGATTGTAGCCACACCTTTTGACATGGCACGTAATCTAACAACTACTTTATTCCGAAGAAAGTAGTGCTGATAATCTATTATCAATGAAAAACAAATTAATGAGAGGTATATTTTACGGATACTAGCCCTCTGAATAATCTTATTAGAAAGTGGAGCACTAAGAGCTGTATCAAACCATAATCGGCTATCTGAAAGAGTTTGTATTTTCCGGTTGTTGATATTCAACACAACCTCTGTGGACACATAAACATCCTCAATAGATGCATCGACATTGCTTAGAAATGGGTGTTTTTGGTAAATTCTTGAATTATGATAGGCACCGAAATTCAACAGGCGTATTTCATATTACTAAGGAGTTATCAAATGTATGCATCCGCATCGCAGCAATAAATACTAGGTTATAGCTCTAGTATGATGCATGAACGTCTAGTTGTCGAGTCCTAAATAGGACAAAACATGCATCCTTGACTCTTTTGCTCACCGAAACCCTAAAATATACTGACAAAATTTCCCTAATTAAAGAAAACTTTAAATTAAATTTGATACCGTGTAGTATTTTACTGTATGATTATTTTGAAATTTTACTCCCTTTACACTTCCTACCACATCTGGTCGAAGTATGATTTAGTTAACAAAAAACAATGCCATACATAGACAGGTATGTAACAAAACAATATAACAGATACAAAAATAAGCGTTTATTTATTTATCATCAACTATGAACAACAATATAAACACATCGCGAAATAATAAGCAAGCTAAAAAGTACAAAGAAGTAATGAAGACAAATATATGTCAAAAAGAAGTAGAGAAAATTAACAGGTAATGGAAGGAAAGGTTTTTTATTTAATAAAGGAACTCCACTACTACTGCTTTTTATCTTCACGATATGGACCCGTTTTTATTGACGTTAAATGGCTATCAACAACAGATACAGAAATCAACAACTGACCAGCATAATACGTTGGTAAAATTAAATTACATTTAAATGACGATATATCACTAGAGAATAAACAAATTCCCAATATAGTGTCAGATACACCAAATAGTAATCCACCAACGGCAGAAGCTATACATGTCCATGGTATAGAATATTCATGTTTAGTTAATTGGGCTAATGCACGCCATATCATAATTACTAATATTAATCCATAAGCTGGAATAACAAGTGTATTGATACCGTCTAGTCCTTCTTTTAGAGAAACACATACACAGAGAAGTATTGGCAGTAAAATGAACAATATAGATAGTTTTAAACGTTGAAAACCAAATGCGTAAATGTATAATATATGTGTAATGGCAAACATAGCCATGCCAGGAATAAGAAGACTAGGCCATACCAAAAATGCATCGCCTAGACAAGAGAATAAAAGACCAAGGAAAATTTTTAAAGAATAGGCTTGATTGTTTGGTATCTTAACCCCATACATATAAACAAACGCAACAAGTGATAAAATAGGTGCGCATTTAAAAACACAATAACCCACAGTTGACTCATATTTCGGATAAAGAACATAGAACAAAGCAAACGTTTTAAAGAATAAAACTAAACGTGGTCCCAAACATTTGACCTGAAAAACAGAAAGAAGGATAAAGTGAAAGTGATGCTGAAATTTTGATATATCGATAAAAAAAAATTACAGAACGATCTAACATGACTTGGATCATTTGTATTGGTAATTCACTTGGTATTGTTTTACTTGAATCTTCCCATTGATGTTTTAGGACTGAAATTGATCAGTCTCTTATTGGCATATGTGCATACTGTGCGTATGCCTCGATATTGCCTTAATTTACAGGCATTATAAGCAAAGATGGATAGTGGTTAGCAGTGGAATCCAGGACGCGCGTTTCGTCCTGTTTGGGACTCGTCAGCTGGAGGTACCTGCATCTCAGAGTTGATGCTCACTCTGCGAGTCGAACTCAGTACCGTTCGCTTCAAATGCCATCGCGTTATCCACTTAGCTACTGAGTTCTGGATTCCACTGCTAGTCACTATTCATCTTCGCTTTGTATCGGTAGTTTGAATTTTTCAAATAAAGTTGAGGGCTGCAATCGATCAGTCTGTTATTGACATGTGTGAATTCTGCGTGAATTGCCTCGAAATTTCCCTGAGTCGCAAGCATTATAAGCAGAGATGAATGGTGGCTAGCAGTGTAATCCAGTACTCGAGTTTCGTCTTATTTAGGTTTCATCAGCTAAATGTACCTGGATCTCATAGTTGAATCTCATGCTGGAATTCAGGTACATCTAAACGACGAGTCTCAAATGGGATGAAACGTGATTCCTAGATTACACTGCTGACCTTTACTCATCTCTGCTTATCATGATTTGAATCGGTTGGCAATCCTAAATAATTTGTCAATGTTTAGCAGCACAATACCTGTAAGACTGAATAATTATTTTACATTGAAATTTACATAAGGTCACAATGAACAAGCAGCAATTTAGCAAACTTGCTAAGTTAATACGAAGAGATATGATACATTCCCCTACATATATAACTATGGCGGTAAATGGACAAATAACATCAAACGTTCAATGAAAATATGCACTGAACAAGACGATAAGAGTATGCGTTATATATACTGAAAGGTAATCCGACGTGATATAAGATATTGTTTGCAGTGAAACTAAAAAGAACGAGTGCAAACGGAACCAGTCGATGAATTTGTACAAACCAACTTAAGCGGGAGACTGAAGTACTGTTTTAAATCAAAAGGTTTTAGACTGTAATAACATCCCATCTACTCCAATTTTAGATAGCTAGATTTTAATACTAGTGAGATATCAGTTTTCAGTCAAGAAGCGAGTATACTGTGCAGCAGTCCGCTTTATATCACTCTATGACTGAAACTGTCTATGAAAGTATAAGACATCTCTAGGCTGCATGGTTTTATCATGGCTGTCTTCGAAGTACTGCTCGCATCTCGTAGAAAGACTAAGTTAATAATCCTGCCGTCAGAAACAGGGTACTAGGTAAACTGAGGAATCGATTAACGAGGGAGGAACACTGCATAAGTCGGACCACTTCCTAAACCGATAGGCGGCAATTAGCTGAAAAAAAGAAAGTGATGGTTGAACCAAGGCCAGTCATTCAATTTCAAGTTTAAACAAAACGTGATATCAGTCCATTAAGCTATTGACTGTTGAGATGAGTCAAGATGGTAGATTCACAGCACTCGCGGCATTCCCAACAGATCTTAGTCTAGGGCAGGTTGGTACATTATTCAATCTGCGAGTTCAGCTTGTGCTGTTGTGCTCTCGATGTCCTGGATAATGGGTTGCTGATCGAGGTCAACCGACACTAGGGTTCATTTTGTTTAGTTGTTTAGACTATGGCTTAAAGATCTAGACTAGTTTTCATGACACATTACTCGATAGTGTACGTCAATACTGATGAGGTATCAGATCTGAAGGGTTTTGGTCAGACTCCCTCGATTTCTGGAGTTAATAGACGTTATGTAGAGAGGCCTGATTATTTTTTTGGGTTTGACGGGCGGGAGAAACCAAGACACACCACTTACCATAGTCGCACGTACGCCTGGTAATCGCGACGACGACAGTCACCGTTGTGTCGTGTAAATTTGGTTGTCCGAACTTCTACATATTAAATTGCTAACCCTAAAAATCACTGTGCTGGATGGTTATTGACTGTTCATCGATGGTTTTGTTAGGACATCCCTAACCATCTACGGTTTCTTATATCTGAGTCGGATGTTTGAAGACCGTTTAATCGCTGTCCTTCGAGACGTACAGATAGTCTTCTTTGGCAAATTACTGAAGTGGTCATTCCTGGAAAAAGGACTTACTCATCGTTGTACTTTAACAACTGAGAAGACGCAACCACAAGCAAGGCAACTATAGTTAGTTTTCGGATTGATTGGACAATGTCTGTACTTTTCCAAGAAAACCCTACTGATTCAAGTAGGTTGACAGCATTTGGTTGGTTCGTCTAAAAGTTATAGTCTCGCCATGTAATCATATTGAAAATGACGTGTTCGCCCACTGAGGACAAGTGCTACATAATTCAGACTTTATCAATAAAGAAGGCCATAACCTATTCCTAGAGGTATATAAATCAGCTCTTTTATGAATCTTTTGGACTTATATGGTCTCCTGATAAGTGTTTTCATTATACAAAGCCGACCGAAGGAATAACCGTTAATGGATGGGTATTTTGGACGAATTTTCTGATATGAAGTAAATTTACGTGGACGCATTAGAACAACAAACTCATGACCACCTTATGAGTCAAAAAATGACAATTGATAGACAATGCCGTACATCCTTTTAAGGCTAAATTCACTTAAAAGCGATACACAGACTGGGTCTAAATTTATTTATCTTCTAACAAGCAATCATATGAAAATATACAGAGTATACTTACAACAGCTATTCGACTGATTGGCTCGAACGTCAACATTGGAGCGCGCCTTA